GTTTTTTTTTTTTTTTTACTACCCGCCGCCCGGCTGAACTGGAGTTGGCTGGGCTGAGCCGGATCGGATAAGACCAGAGGGTGGATAGGTAGTAGGTAGGTAGGTATTAATGGGACGGAAGGTGAAACAAACCAGAAAGATACAAAGGCTAGGAGATATCGTTAATGTTGACAACAAGGGAGATAGGAGGAGCTCTTTGTATTGTTTTGAAAGAGCATATTTTTGGCTCGGTCTCCCAGCCAGATTTAGAGATGGATGGATGTTGTAATTGTAATGGTTCAGGAAGATGGAACCTGAACCAACAAGTTTTAAGTAAACTGAAGGCCCCCGCGAGCTTTAGCTGTTTTGAGCAACTACTTGTACTGTGCCAATGGAAGAGGGGACGGGCTAGCCAATGACTATGGGCGTATGAGGTAGGTAGGCATGGAAGTCTCAGCTGCACCGCGGTAGTAGGAGGTAGGTAGGTAAGGAAGGACTTATATCGATCCAATATATGGAAGTTAGGTAGGTACCTAGGTTAGGTTGTAATTAGACAGCCGGGCTGGGCTGTAAGGGATGGAAGGAAGTTGGGTTCAATGTTATAGGTATGTTCTATAAGTAGGTCAAAAAGGTCATGTGCTTCAGTATCTTCTTAGGCAGGTTACGTGCATACATCACTGAAATCTCCTTGTTGTATCGGTATATTCAACTTCTGTCTCGTAGGTATAGTAGGTACTTTCAAGTTCGTCCAGAGACCGGGCAGGGGTCAACTACTCGACTAAATGTTTCCATACTGCCTCGCACAATCTACGTCTACAGACGCCAAACTCGGAACTTATGTCCGTTTAACTCGCAAGGGATAAGGGTTGGATTACAACAAAGACCAAAAGACATTGACCCAGAACTCCTTGATATAGATATAGATATCTTACTGAGGTTCATGCAGCTCCCGTCGTTTCCTAAAGGTTTACAAGCCCTACGTCCATCAACTGCCCCTCCAAAGACCCTTCCATTTTCTCCACTCGCAAGTAGATCCACCGACAATGCAAGGCGTCATCCACTTAACTTAGCAGGGATTCGCTAATTTAGACAAATGCCAAATTCATCATCCTGACCTTGCATTTCCATGTCAAGGTGCTCTTATCAATCCACAGCTTCCTTCAATCCATACATCGCCAAGTTCGTTGGCGATAATAATAATCAGAGGCCGGGATGCTACTGCGCCATATTTAATAATGTTTGTTCCAGCTGCTGTTTCCCCTTTGCGCCGTTCCACAGCCAGCTTTGGTCGCATCACTCGATGCCAAACTTTTCGTCGTCATGCTTTGCGCACTCAAGTGCGATGTCTGGCTGCGGTCGCTAACAGCCTCGGATCAAGGCAGAAGAACACCCTTGCTTGTAAGACTGCGTCGCTCCTTTCGCACAAATTACCAGCTACTAATTCTCCCTCAGTATCTTCTGAAGCCCGATACAACGAGATAGGCGTCCAGCAGCTCAGCTCCCACGTATTCGACCAAATCTTCCCCGACGGCGCAACCCCCCCGCCACAAGTTCTCGTTGACCTATGTAAAGATCATTTACAGCGCCATGATCTGCTTGGGAAGAACACCGACAAATCCGAGCCAATAGCTTTCGACATGCCTCCGCTTCAAGGGCGTACGCTTGACGAGCACTTTCACAAGCTCGGTGTAGACGCATCTGAGCCGTTCCTTACATATGCGAAGCAATTTGCCCGCGCCAATCCACCACCAAAACCACGGCAATGGGTACGCCAGAGTGGTTGGACAAAGTATTATCCCGATGGGCAGACCGAAAAAGTTGAAGTTCCTGAAGAAGAGATGCTGTCGTTCGACACCGAGGTCATGTGGAAAGTAAGCCCTTTCGCTGTGATGGCCTGTGCCTCGAGTCCGACTGCTTGGTATGCGTGGTTGTCACCGTGGTTATTAGGAGAGACCGAAAATGATCGACACTTGATTCCTTTTGGCGATCCTAGCAAAGATCGAATTATCGTAGGGCACAATGTGGGCTTTGACCGAGCGCGGATCTTGGAAGAGTACAGCGAAAAACAAACCCGGAATACCTTTCTCGACACAATGTCGCTACATGTAGCTGTGAACGGCATGTGCTCTCAGCAACGACCTACCTGGATGAAGCACAAAAAGAATCGCGAGTTGCGGGAGCGAGTTGCGAACGAGACCCCGAACCACGACCTGGCGACAATGCTGAGCACACAAGGAATGCACGATGAAGAAGATCTCTGGGTCGAACGAAGCTCTGTCAACTCTCTGCGGGATGTGGCTAAATTTCACCTGAATGTTTCTATCGACAAAGCAATTCGAGATGATTTTGGTGAGCTGGATCGTGAAGGAATTCGGGCAAAGTTGGATGAGCTTCTGGATTATTGCGCCGCCGATGTCTCGATCACCCACCGTATCTACCAGATTGTCTTCCCCAACTTCCTCTCGACTTGTCCCCATCCTGTCAGCTTTGCAGCCCTTCGGCATCTCTCCTCTGTCATTCTTCCAGTCGATGATTCGTGGGACGCATATATCAAGAATGCCGAGGCTACCTACCACAAACTCTCCGATGCTGTTCAGGAACGCCTTATCGGTTTGACTGAAACAGCTTTGAAGATCAAGGACAAGCCCGAAGAATACGAAAAGGACCCTTGGATGCAACAACTTGACTGGTCAGGGCAAGAAATCAAGATGGTCAAAGGGAAGACCAAAAACGACCCCCCAAGACTAGCAGCTAGGCAGAAAAAGCCGGGTATGCCCAAATGGTACAAGGACCTCTTCCCAACGAACGACTCTCCCATCAATATTACTGTTCGAACTCGAGTTGCCCCTTTATTGTTGAAGATGGCCTGGGATGGAAATCCACTATTTTGGTCTGATAAATACGGTTGGACGTTCCGCGTACCTCGAGCAGAAGCCGCGAAGTACACAGCCAAGCAAGCAGTAGAGTGCAAATTTGATGAGTCTGAAAGCAAGCTACGTGACGACCATGCCCATTCCTACTTCAAGCTCCCTCATAAGGATGGTCCAACAGCGCGCTGTGCCAATCCCATGGCAAAGGGGTATCTGTCCTATTTTGAGAATGGCATGCTGTCTTCCGAGTATACATATGCCAAGGAAGCGTTGGAAATGAACGCTTCATGCTCTTATTGGATAAGTGCAAGAGATCGGATTAAATCTCAGATGGTTGTTTATGACGCAGACCTCCGCACAATGCAGGGAGTTCGTGGGAGGCGGAAGTCGAATAACCCCGGTTTCATTCTGCCGCAGATTATCCCAATGGGAACTATAACTCGCAGAGCAGTCGAAAACACGTGGCTCACAGCTAGTAATGCCAAGAAGAATCGCGTCGGCTCTGAGCTCAAAGCAATGGTCAAGGCACCCAAGGGCTACTGCTTCGTAGGAGCAGATGTTGACTCGGAGGAGCTTTGGATTGCCAGTCTTGTGGGCGATGCAACGTTTAAAATTCATGGTGGAAATGCTGTCGGTTTCATGACCTTGGAGGGCACAAAGTCTGCTGGCACGGATCTTCATTCGCGGACGGCATCTATCCTGGGCATCACCAGGAACGATGCCAAAGTTTTTAACTATGGGCGAATTTATGGAGCTGGTCTCAAATTCGCCGCGACTTTATTGCGACAGTTTAACCCTAACCTCTCCGAGAAGCAGACCATGGAAACGGCGTCGAAGCTCTATGCAAACACCAAGGGTACAAAGACCAATCGTAGGGTGCTTTATAAACGTCCTTTTTGGAGAGGCGGTACCGAGTCATTTGTCTTCAACAAACTCGAGGAGTTTGCTGAACAAGATATGGCAAGAACACCAGTATTGGGAGCAGGAATTACCGAAGCGCTTATGGGACGATACATCAGCAAGGGTGGTTATTTGACATCGCGAATTAATTGGGCTATCCAATCATCTGGTGTTGACTACCTTCATTTGCTTATCGTCGCCATGGATTACCTGATTCGTCGCTTCAACATCGATGCCCGGGTCGCTCTCACAGTCCATGATGAAATCCGATATTTGGTGAAGGATAAGGACAAGTACCGTACAGCACTTGCTCTTCAGGTCGCAAACGTTTGGACACGAGCTATGTTTTCCCAACAGGTTGGCATCAATGATCTGCCTCAGTCTTGCGCTTATTTTTCTGCCGTGGATATCGACCACGTTCTACGGAAGGAAGTGGACATGGAGTGTATCACCCCAAGCCATCAGACTCCTATCCCTCCGGGGGAGAGCATCGATATCACCACGCTTCTGAACAAGGGCGAAGCTGCGAGATTAGACCCTGCCATCGTCCCAGATGCCAAATATGCCCCCAAGTTGGATCACATTGAGTACACCCCGCGCGTACCTATTATGCAGGGCATCCAGGAGTCGGCACAAGAGACACTGCCTTTCCTCAAGGCTCAGATCGTCAATAAGGATGCAGAGCTTGGAGAAATCATCAACAAATTGCAGAAAGAAAGGCTAGCAGCAGCACCAAAGAAAGACAAGCCGCTGACCAAGAAAGAAATGCAAAATGTGTTGCCATACAGGGCATATCCACAACTTGTACCGATGGAGGAACCTTTTATTCTGACGGAGGCGATGAAGAAAAATCAGAATACTTATGCACACAGGAACAAGTTCGGGTTGGGACGGCACTCGAACAAAGGCTCGAGACCAAGCTGGATGTAAATACCATCAGCTTTGGCTCGGCCGGCAGAGGCTGAGCTTGTACATCATCTCTTATATCGCTCATGTCCATTTTATGTATCATATTTTCTCATGTTGACACGGCGAATATGTGTCGGATTGCATCTGGGAACGGTGTTGGGCTGCGGTTTGAGGCGGGTGTCAATACGGGTTTAGGGCGTTTAATGAAAATCAAAAAAAGGTTGGAGGTTCTTTTTTTATATAAATGTTTGTACTATCAATTGTTGGATATTCTGCTTGAGCCAATCAACGATGCCTCTTCAGCAAACTCATTTGTGGCTGTGATACCTTAATCGTACTGCCATTAAAGTGCTGACTGACATCTGGAGGTGAAGGTTAGCTTTAAATGACGGCTTGCGGGAACTGGCTTGGCGATCGAAGGTCAACAACCCCTGTAGTACATCAAACAGTCTCACTTAGTAAGGTACTATAGATACCTACTCTAGGCACCTAAGAATAGGTCAGTAGTTTGGGCCGTTGTTTGTTTTATGGTGGCGTGGGTTTTTTATTCGGTCCGTCGGGTCTCTGATCTTCAGTTGGCAGTGTCAGATAAAACAAGAATATCATATCTACTATCCGTGAAACTCGGCTCACCTCGATAGACTGTAATTCCATCCATACAAGTCATCTCTCTAGATACTGTATAAGCCTCTAACTCGAAAGGAAAACAAGCTCATGGCTGCAAGCGTAATGACGAAACTGTCCCGCGCTAAGAAGCAAGGTCTCCACTAAAAGCTCCTCGTCATCCCTCATCAGCACGTTTCGTTCTTTCCATGCTGTGACATGCTCCTTTATCTCATCTGCGAGAGACCACAAAAATACAATACTTGCCGATCAGGAGCCTATCCGTCTTTTACTGTACTTGCTTTTCTTCCCCGCTATCTTTTTTTTTATTTGCGCTCCAGAACAAACCTCGCTCCTTCTCTTCGCTGAGTACGAGTACGCTAAGACTTGTCACGAGCCGAACGATCGACCCCTCCTCAGCTAGGTACCGATAGACCGTGAAGATCCTGGACCGTTTTGTTGAGCTAGGTACCTCTAGTTTACGAGAGACAGACCAGACATAAGTTACAAAGGAGGGGGAAACAACACGATTCAGCGATCATATATCAGGAATCATGGTGACCACCGAAGAGGCTATCAAGAGACTCAAGGAGGCTCGTCCTCCTACCACAGACACGTTTACCTATCTCACCGTTGTCGAAACGAACCTCTCCCCTGAAGTCCTTCCAACCCTTCAGGAAATCCTCCAAGATGCTAAGCTTACCAGCGAAATCGGATGGGACCTCGTGGAGATGCTGATTGCTGTTCCTGGCAGTGAGGGCTGCCTTGAAACCATTGCCCGCCTAGGAAACCCCCGCGAGGTCATCCTCAAGGTTATCGAGGTTCTTGACAGCAACGCAGAGTCATCCGAGGCCGGCGATGCATCCGCAAGTGCAAAATTCATTACTCTGGTTGGTATGCTCGGCATCCTTCATCAAAGACTACAGGTCAAAGCGCCATCACGATACCTCCATACCACACTACAAACGGTTTATCGAGCATACAACCCACAAGGAGCCGAGACGACGGCAGCGGTTATTGATCTCGTGCGATCCCTTTCGGGGAGAAAACGACCACCTCTACCTACACGACAGTCTAGCACCAAGCTAGAAACAGCTTTCCAGGGTAGTGACATGACCAAGAGTGCTCCCGACCCCGAAGCACATGCCGGTCAGGCCGGCGAGGGCGAGTCTGAATTAGTATCACGCCTCTTACAATCCTTCGTAACAAGCATTCTCGAAGCATATGTCAACTCGAACAGTCTGGAGTGGGCGGCAAGGCATTTGGAATACTTGAATCCGGAGAGGATCCTGCCAGGGAAGCCAACTATGTTGCAGGCGTTCAAGCAAGTAGAAGAGCTGCAGGCCAGGGATGCCTTGGTTGGACAGTTAGTTGTAAGTGGGCGACATCGTATGGCACGATCCCGATACTAATGTGTTCAGGCTGTTGCTCGCGACTTAGGCTTGGCAAAATTGCCTTCAGATGAGGTCAAGAAGGTTCTGAAGTCACCATTTGCTGCAAATCCACTGTCTGTTGAGCCCGATCCCAAGAATCCCGAAGCCATCAAGCTATCATCCGGTGGCTTCCTTTGTCTGACTGCTTATCGCATGTTCGCGTCAGATATTTTTGACGCCAACTACGAACAACCCAATGCGCATATTTTTCCTGAACACCATAACTTGTTGAAGCGATTTCTCGGCGACGAACCACAGACGCAGATTGAGGGAAATCCTGGCACTGTTGAGGCATTGCTTGTTATAGCACTTTGGCTTCATGACCAGAGACGAATAGTTGGACCTAGCGCGGCCGATGACAAGGATGCGACATTTATGTCATATCATCATTTGTTAACTCTTGTCTCTGTATTCCACCCATCATTACGAGTGCGGAACGCAGCTACAGTGTTGGCAGGTCATATACTTCACCAGGACCCTGACGAGGAGGATAGATTAAATATTCTGGAGGACTTGTTGGAAAACTGCATGTTTTCTTCCCTGCAGGCATGTGCCGTAACGTGGTTACGAGAAGAGATTATTGCCGCTCAGAGGGATGGCTCAAAGGGACGGTTTGCTGATTCTGACTGCTTGGACACGCTCCAGTATACACTGTTCCAGGATCTCGAGTACCTTGCTGACACGGACTTGGAGGCGCTGTGGGAGTTCTGGATACAGAATGCGCCCTTCCATCTTCAGGTTGCGAACTTTGCTCTGTTCTTGTTTGGTGGACAGGGCTACAAGAACTTGGCTCCTGCCGGTATGGCTGCGGCAGTAGAGCACAGATACGCGAGTCCTCTGCTCGCTGCAGCCAAGCGTTTGAGGGAAGCACTGGATAAGAAAGAGATTGACGGACAGGGCCAAGAAGACGATGTGCAAATGCAGTTGGGCATTTTGACGGATACCCTTGAGCGAGTCCCTTTGCACTAGAGTCTTATCGACGAGAATCACAATAGCGTTGCAGATGAGTTAAGAAGTGAGGTACAGCAATCGTAAATATAGTAGATAACGATATGTCATATCTGTCGATCATAGTCCCGAGAAGTAGGGTCGACCTGAAAGATGCATGCTGGCACTTGGCACTGCCATATTCGCTGCTTTTCTTGATCGCGGATGGCTTGTCCTTGTATCATCCATGTAGATGAGCTTTGTGGCTTTCCACAATAATCGAGGCTACATCCGTCCCAGCTGCGAGAAGCATTGTACATATACATGTTCAAAAGAACGACGAGGAGATAAACGAGTAAATCGAATTTCAAGGTTAATCTGGACATCTTGTGCATGTTCAGCTGGTTCCTATTGCTAACTTGGATCTTTTGCTTCTTGTTTAGCCTGGTATAGGGTGGCAGTTTAGGTGAGTAACAGAGGTAATGTCCTTTAAGACTAGTAGGCTACAGAAATACACCCTGCGGGCAATCGCACTCACATTTCAAGCCCGGAGCAATAAGTCCGGCTCAGGTAAGACACAACGACCCGCTAGCAAGCAAAGCCAGACGAAGCGGTAATCGTCTTCTGTAAATTTTGATACGTAGTAGCTGTCAATTTGTATGACGGCAATCAGTAAGTACTAGTTAGTTTAACCCACATCATTAGGCACATATCGCTAACTACTAAGTTCAAAGCGAGCGGCAGCACAGACGGGACAGGTCATGATAACTCATCATCTCTCGTCCATAACTCTGAGATCCGCTGGCGCATTGACTAAAGAGGAGCTACTACGTCATGATGTTTTTCTTCTAAATGTTGTACTGTACCTAGGTCAGTGCCCAGTAGGTATCTTGTGGCTGCACCTCACTGATGCCGATGAAGGAAGCCATCACGAGATGATAAGACGGGCTGTATCATGAAGTACAGTACGATACTCAGAAATGCTGGTATGACAGCAAATCAATGCATGACTGCAGCTCTTTGAAACCGGCATCTAGTAATTTAGCGGTGCATCATCATCGATCTTCGGGCGCCTATCCCCTGCACTCGCAGGTTCGACACTGAACGAGACTCTGCGGAGGTCCATTAATTTAGCCTTGCGGAGCAAAAGCAGCCAAAACACCGAGCGCCAAGGGGCTCCGCAGTGGAAAAAACGGCAAGTGACATCATTGCATCTCTAAACCAGAAATTAGGAAAGAACATTGCCGAGACCAGAGAGATGGGCTTGTGACGCCTGCCCGATTTGTACGATGGGACGGGAGGGCCGGAAAATTGTCAATGCCATAGGAACCTTCCATCAGATGGTCTTGGCCCCGATCATGACTCTCTCCCAAATACCTGTGCACTGAACCGTGGTATAACATACGTGACTCTAGCAACAACATCCGCCAAGCAGATATATTGCCAAGGTGCGACTGATCAAGTGGCGTACGCGACAGTGATACGATAACTACGCCAACTCATCATCACGATCAGGCTCGCCGACATATCTCTCTGAATTTGCTATATTGATATAAAATATCGGGAAAGATACCGGCCCTACCTACTCCCACAGAGGAGGTGCAGTAATACTACCATGGATTCTCAACCAGAAGATTCCGAGAAGCTCAAACTCGAGGTATCGCAACAACACAACAACGAAGAAGACGAAGAACAAACCACAACGGTAATCACAGATGACCATGGAGATCTTGCCTATCCCGCCCCAATCCCACGCCCGATCCTGGCGCCCGAGAGCCCATTATCGCCGAGAAGCCCCAAGGACGTTGTCACCCCTGGCACTGTTCCCAACGAAGACACTAGACAGACACGAGTTCAGTCACAACCTGCGTCTGTCCCCGAAGTATCTGGCCAGGTATCGCCAAAAAAGTCAACAGTTCGCGAGAACAGACCCAAGCCGACCAAGACATGGCAAACCGAGCAGCCTCGCCGCGATCATCATCGTCACTCATACTTTCGACCCGGTCCAGCCAGGGCTGGCACGTCCTATCTGAACAAAGCGATTTGGGGAGGGCCAGACAATACGGGACTTGATCCTAGAAGAAGTTCATCATCGTCATCGTCCGACGAAGAACAACCCCCAGCCAGCCCGCGAGAACCGCCAAGCGGCGGACACCGGAAGAAAGATAAGGCATCACACAAGGACCTTAGCGAGGATAAATATGGCCACTTTAGTGTTGGCAACCAGAATTACCAAACTTCAGGCAAAGTCAAGAAGGATGGTCGTCTGCGCATCACGGTCAACGAAACTGCTGGCACTGGATACCTAAGTAAAGCTTTAGGGGCAGCTGTCAACAAGGTGGCACCCCCAAGGGTTGAGCAAGCAGAAAAACCGTCGAACCTCAATATTCCAGAAAGCCCACGCCGGTCTTCCTCCTCAACAGCCGTGGCAGACCCACGGCCCCAGACGCGCCTGAACATTGTTATCATGGTTATTGGTTCGCGAGGAGACGCCCAACCATTTTTAAAGATCGGCAAAGTTCTCAAGGAGGATTATGGACATCGCGTGCGCATCGCTACACATCCAGCATTCCGTGACTTTGTGGAGAAGGATTCGGGGCTCGAGTTCTTTTCTGTTGGCGGCGATCCGTCAGAACTTATGGCCTTTATGGTCAAGAACCCTGGTCTGATTCCGACCCTTGAGACTTTCAAAGCTGGAGATATCGGCCGACGACGAGCTGCCATGGCCACTATGTTCGATGGGTTCTGGCGTGCATGTGTAAATGCCACAGACGATGAGTCGGACCGGCAAAACCTAAAGATGATGGGCGAAAAGGATCCTTTTGTGGCGGATGTCATCATTGCCAACCCACCAAGTTTCGCACATGTTCACTGCGCCGAAGCTTTAGGAATACCTGTTCACTTGATGTTTACATTTCCTTATACGCCAACACAGGCATTCCCACATCCTTTGGCGAGCATCAAGAATTCTAATGTGGACCCAGGTTATACCAACTTCATCTCCTATCCTTTGGTTGAGATGATGGTATGGCAAGGGCTAGGAGATCTGGTTAATGAGTTTCGTGTCAAGACATTGGCTCTGGACCCAGTATCAACTCTTTGGGCGCCAGGGGCGACCTATCGTCTCCATGTGCCTTTCACGTATCTGTGGTCGCCGGGACTTGTACCCAAGCCACAGGACTGGGGCAGTGAAATTGACGTAGCTGGGTTCGTATTCCTTGATTTGGCCTCAACCTTTGAACCACCAAAGGAGCTAGAGGATTTCCTGGCAGCCGGAGACGATCCCATTTACATCGGATTCGGCTCTATCGTTGTTGACGATGCTGATAAGTTCACTCAAATGATTTTCGAAGCCGTTGAACTGGCAGGCGTTCGTGCCTTGGTGTCTAAGGGCTGGGGTGGACTTGGAGGAGAGGACGTTCCCGATAACATCTTTATGCTCGATAACACCCCCCATGACTGGCTATTCCCAAGAGTAAAAGCCTGCGTGATCCATGGAGGCGCAGGTACCACAGCCATTGCGCTCAAGTGTGGCAAGCCAACCATGATCGTCCCCTTCTTCGGCGACCAGAACTTCTGGGGCAAGATGGTGAGCAGCGCAGACGTGGGCCCTGAACCGGTTCCCTACAAATATCTGAACGCCGAGAAACTTGCAGAGGGCATTGAGTATTGTCTTACGGACAAAGCAAAGCAAGCTGCCGAATCAATCGCCAAGCGAATCGCGGAAGAAGGAGATGGTGCTGCCAATGCTGTCAAGGAGTTTCACCGTCAGTTGAACCTCAGTTCTCCTAGCATTCTACGATGCTCCCTTCTCAAAGACCGTACAGCTGTCTGGGAGGTTAAAGGATCCAACATCAAATTGGGTGCCTTGGCCGCCGATATTCTGGTTGGAAATGGATCACTGACCTGGAAGCGTCTGAGACTACTCAGACATAAGGAATGGAACGATTTCGAAGGCCCCGGAGAGCCTGTCACAGGGATCGCTGGTTCCATTGCTAGCACAGTTGGTGAAGCATTCCACGGCGTCGCCAGCGTTCCCTACCATTGGGCAAAGAGGACTAAGTCGATCAGAAAGAGGCAGAGTGTAAAAAGGTCGAAGAAGACCAAAAAAACAGGCAATAAAACGCCGCAGAACAGCACTGCAGACGCCGAAAACCCTGCAGACGCTGCTTCAGTACACAGCGAGACCACTGCCGAAGAAACAAGCGGGCAGTATGTTGGCGACATGGCAAGCGGTGTTGAAAGAACTGCTACCGCTATCGCCAAGGCGCCAGTGGACCTCTCGATGGCTCTAGCACAAGGATTTCACAACGCCCCTCGACTCTATGGCGATAACACGGTACGACGACCCATTCGAGTAACAGGCTTCCACTCTGGCCTCCGGGCTGCTGGGCATGAGTTTGCCTATGGCGTCTACGACGGTTTCACAGGAGTCGTTCGTCTTCCGATTCGCGGAGCGAAGGAGAACGGACCAATTGGTTTTGTCAAGGGCACAGGTATGGGCTTGACAGGACTGGTGCTCAAGAATCTCTCGGCTGTTGTTGGGCCGATTGGTTACACGCTCAAGGGCGTTGTCAAGCAAGCTGAACGATCCAAGACACCGCAGAAGTATATCCGTCGGGCTCGTATCGCCCAAGGTCAGAGAGAATACAAGACACTCCCAGAAGATCGTCGAAAGCAAATCGAAAAGGAGATAATGGAGGGATGGCACGTCATGAAAGAGCTGAGAGAGAAACTCCATGAATTGGAGAAGCAGCGAGGTATTGCCGGACAAATCGATCGAGTACTTCTTAATACCGAGACCATGTTCGAAGACGTGGACGTTGCTAAAAGATCCTTGACGGCGCTCAAACAAGGAAAGGATCTTGAAGACGTAATAGACCCAGATGGAGACCGTGGTCGCAGTGAAGGGAAATCTGGCCAAAATCGAAGCATGTCTATTCGGAGGTCGTTGAACTTGACGAAGAGACATGACGAGAGGAAACGCCTCGCATCGCTGGCTGATGCTGACGGCAACATAAACGAAGGCAGGGTTGAAGATGAAGGAGAAGTGCCTTCTGGAACAGATAGACTGACCGTGCCAGCAAGGTAGAATCATGTGCTCGCGAGGAAATGCATGGCGTTTGGTTGTCCTTGAATTGTTTTTGAAGGAATATAATATACGTATACCCCCATCATGCGGTCTAGACTGTAGTTTTAGTATTACTTTTAATCGAAAATACTTGATACCCGGATCAAAGCCTTCACGTTATTGAAATGATTGAGATGTGTGGTGGCTTCATGTACTAAAAGAATCTTGATCTGTTTGATATAGGGCATTCTGAAAGATGGCTACCCAGTGAAAGTAGCTACATGCCATAAAATACAATTGCGCTGTTTTGATGGATGAGAGTAGTGTAACCCAATATTATGATGTTATCCCACCACCTCAACGTCGCCGCTCATAGTCTCGGTGACCTCTGTGTCGGTCGTCATCTCTGTTTCTATCACGATTTCTATCGCGGTCACGGTCGCGGTCACGATTTTCATGCCTGTAATCCCGATCTTTCTCCCGACTGTACTTGTAACTGTCTTCATGTCGACGGCCATCTTTTCGTTTGTTCTCCTCTCGGCGGTATTCATCAAGACGTGGCCGTCTGTTCTTTTTCCCGTTCTGATTCCACCCGCCCAAGTCCTCTTCCCCTTTGAGCTCCTTGGCACCGAGCCCGAGTCGGTTCGGACGTCGCTTGACTTCTTTTACTGCTCCGCGGGGTTTACCGTCCCAACCCATTCCTCGTAGGAGAGCTGCACCAAATTCCTCCACAGGCATGGCTTCATAGTCGTTGAGAGTAGATGCCTCACCAGCTTCATGAATATCCCGGCGGTAAGCGTCCTCTTCCGTAGGATGTATGATCTTGTCTTCCTCCTCCTTCTTCCCGAGTAACGCATCTATGGCTTCGTCGTCTACCGATCGCTTGGGAGGTGGCTTCTTATCGTTATCCTCTGAGGGTTCTTGGTCGTCGTCGTAGTTCAATTTGACGTCCTTATTATCGTCCGTTTTCTCCTTGATTGTTAGGCCCCATTTTAGACCCTTATCTTGGTCCGCCGGTTCTGTTTCGACTGTTGTTCCGTTCTGTTGCGCCCTGGCCTCCTCAGGAAGTAAATTTCTGCCCTTCTGCGCTCTGGCACTTGATCTCCAGTCGCGATTCGGTTGTCGAGCAATAACAAAGTCTTTCTTCTCTGTCCTTGGGTCCTTTACTTTGCGCTCTGTTTCAGCGCCTTCCGCGCCAAAGCCGGTGATTTTCTCATGTCGTCCGCGGTGGTCATCTTCGTCGTCTTCCGAATCAGATCCTCCCCCTAGCGCGTGTGATCGCGGTCTTTTCCCTAGTGCCGACGGTGGATTTGGTCGTGGAGGCTTTTTTGAGTTGTTGTTAATCGACGGCGTGCCGAATTTGATTGCTATTCGTGGTGCTGCTGGTTTGTTGTGGTCGGACATTGTGGCGAGTCGTTTCGTTGATGGATTATAGATTCACATGCAGAATACTGTCAAGAGGATGGAATTATTTTTGAAAGACGTCAGAAGCAGGCAGCACATTGAATGTGGCGCATGCATCGTGGCTGAGCTGAATGGGCTAGAGCTTCCATTCCGTGACAAGAGTCAGGTACCTACTATGATTCCTTCCTCAGATGTGAGGTACCTACGGAGTGCTGTGATGACCAGCAGTGCTTAATCGACACAAGATTCAACATAAAAAGATGGAATTTTGTTGGAAACGAAGTCCTCTTAACTTTCCCCTGCAGAATCCTATTCTTCTATCTGATTCTGCCACCCTAAAATAAGTGGCTGTAGTTAATTTAGAGCTGTGGATGACTGGATAGAAAAAGATCAAAGATTATACACGATATTATACAGATTACAGAGACATCACTTACACCTACGTTTTTCCTAATTGTTTGCTGCCGGGCTATCGGGTTACAAACAAGTCCAAGAGGGTATGTACTAGTACTACCTTAGTAGATATCAAGAGATACAATTAGTAGGTTTCTCTGATGCACTAGCATGTACTTATACTTGGTGGGGATTCAAATGACTGTTCTACACGCAACGATGAGCATATTGTGTACAGTGTGTGACGCTTACCACATGACTGTGCTTTTGCAAAATTCTCAACCCCTTTCTGTTGCCTTTCACATTCGGGACGCATTTGGCGCCACGTTTGGGAACAATCTTAGTACAGTGCGAATGACAAAGTCTTGGACCAGCCATTTGAATCTCATCTTCCACAAACCTTGGCTTTATCCCAAACCTTGCTCCTCACTTCTCCTGCCCACCACTCGCGCTACACCCACTATTTGCTGCAAGCCTGGTTGATTGCCCCCCCTAATCCACCGCCAGTCCCGCACTCTCTTTAGTCTCTTCTGTTACCTTCCCCAGCGTTGAATTGTCCCCCGTGTGCCCGCGCTTCACCTAAACTCCACTGCATTCAGTGCTTTGAGTTACAACCGCCAAACACCACGGTATCGTCTCCCCAGAGACAGAAATTTTGACGCCCTCCAGCGACGTCGCCCTCAACATCGGCACTCCAAAATCAATCAAAACAGCCTATTCCATCGTCAAAAAAACGTGCATTCATCTCAGACGACTTGAAATATTATTTTGCAACGTCCTTTGCCCCCCAAAACGGATGTCGCGGCCGTCGATGCTATGACTGAGGTCGGAGCCGCCGATCTATCAAGGCTGCTTCAATCAAAGCGCAATGAGTGCAGGTCAGTATGGGCTCAATCGAAAGAGCTGATTTTTCCGATCATGGGCATCTATTTTTCGGTATGCTAACTTGCTTCAGTTCAATTGTGACGTCGCGGAAGCGAAAGCTGCGCGAGCTGTTCGCTGTTGCGACACAGTCCGAGGGTCTGCCGCACCCAGTCTTGACCAACCTCGACGCGCCGACCACAACATCGGCCGAATGGCAGTTTTTGCAAGCCAACGATATTATCCAGTACGTTCTGCAAGTCGAACACGCGCTTTTGGCAAATAATTTTCGCGTGCATTAAGCTCCTAATGTCTGTAACATGCTAACTAACGCCGGTACAGAGGCAAGACATTGAACGAAGCCAGTATTCCCCCAAGACCAAACTTCTCCCTAGAAATATTCAAAAAGTCCCTTGCAAAGTCGATATTCATTGCGAACGAGTCAGCGCCAAAGCAAACTTTCGACAATCCAAACAAGTCTTACGCAGCGGATGCGCAGAATGAAACCCAATCTAATGGTGGCCTTTTATCCACGAAACCCGATGCTCCTACTGCTTCGACAAGCACTTCCACGCCCGAGACTTCAACAGAACTAGTTGCGACCGTCAATACCGATCCTGCTCCTACTCCAAATGGTCAAGCTGTGCCTTCATCTGCCGGCACGACGGTGAAACCGGCACCAAAGACCTCTCCTAGTGTTCCTGCTTCCACTGGCGCCAATGCAAATCCGGTACAGAAGGGAGAGAAGGACGATGAATCAATTGAAACTGGACTCATACCACGCCAGCATCAAGTCACCTTTGAAACAGGAACCAAGGGCGAGCATGTTGAGACTGGAAAGGCCGTATTAGAGAAGTCTGGGCGAGGTTTCGGAGCTTCTGCGACGAACAGAGGTGTTCCATTGACGGTTAACCCCTCTACTGATGCGGCTCGTCCTGCGGATGCTTTGTCATCGCCTGGTTCAACAGCACAAAGTGCTACAACACCTGCGGTGCATGATGATGCTTCCACGGACACAAGCCCAGAACATGAGGGGTCACAGTATGCCGAACCAGTAGAGCAGAACAAGATTGGGGATGATCCTGATGGTGGGTATACGGATAAACAGTCTAGGAGCCAGGAAAGCAGCGCCACTCGAGCCTCTTCAACTGAAGCCCTGGAAGATCGTGTACTGGAAGCACCCCCTGACTCTGCTGAAGCACAACTTCTTCAAGAGTCTATTCGATCGAGTGTCGCAGCCAAGGCAGAGACAACACAGTCGTCAACGAACACTAGCCATGAAGCAGACACTGCTATGGCAGTGCCTGTGTCCGAAGATGTTGATATGTCGGGCATCGATGATGCAGCCGACAAGAATGTGTCTACAGTCAGGGAAGAGCTTGAGGAGAAATGTGCTCAGCAAACACTCGATGCTGATGTGGCGCCCGCTGTGGTAGCTGGTTCGCCTGCAGAGGCTTCGGACAGTAGGGTAATTCCAGACAGTCAAGAAGAGGCTCCTGAACAGATGGACGTTGATGTCCTTGAGCCTAAAGCAAGTGCTGAAAGTCAAATTGAAGGGACGTCAACACCTGCACCTGAAAAGTCAGATGCAGCTGAAGCCCCGTCAACACCTGGGCCCGCCCCTATTGACACCGAGCCTATTGCTGCCACTGTGGAACCTGGTCGTAAAGACTCGCCTCCGAAGGTCGAGCGTGCTGTCACTAGAGTTTCTTCTGGTGCAATGCGCCCGAAGTCAGTCAGCGAAATAGTTGGCGCGACCCCACGCCAGACGCCGACATTGGAACAATCTTCTACCAACAAGAGCTTGGTCAACCAGCTTACTCCTCTAACTTCCACTCCAAAGTCACCGAGCCTGAGGCATCGCCATATGTCCGCCCACCGAAGACAGCGATCTCGAAGCCAACCCTCAACCGTCGTGTTTGGAAAGCAGTCCAAGAAGGTCGAAGAAAAGTCATTGGTGGCAAGCCAGCGAGACACGATTCTCCCAACCGAAGACTACTACACTCCTCTTTTTGTTCAAGGCTTTGCTGGAAGTTCATCCTGGATGCAGCCAATCGAGAAAATCCTGTACACTGCCAACAAAACCGTCACAACCCCCGATGCCAACCTGGCGATCCAGGACCACCAAGCATGTAAGGTTTTGAGGCGCGTCTACCATCTCCAGCAGCACGACAAATGGTCTTTACGACAACCCAAACGTTGCCCTGAGCCAACTCGGCCTCCGTCTCACTGGGATGTCGTGCTTCAGGAAATAAAATGGATGCGAACAGACTTTCGAGAGGAACGAAAATGGAAGAGAGCCGTAGCCAAGAATCTTGCGTATGCCTGTGCAGAATGGCATGATGCTACCCCCGAGGAGCGCAAGATGATGCAAATCCAAACTGTCATACCGCCCAAGATACAGTCAGTAGCCGATGTTTCTATGGCTGACGTCGAGGGTGTAAACCAACTGACACCCGACCTCGTCTCTAGTGGAGATGTTGAGTCTATAGACAACTTGGACGATCTTATCGAAGACTTTCCGGAAACAATAGCGCCATCTGCAATATTCAATCTGCAAGATGACGACGTTGTGTTTGGTTTACGTCGAACTGCTGCTGCAGACCAGCTTTTGGAAGAGCTTCCTATGTTTGGTGCGCCTCTTCAGGTTCCCAAGTTTGATCTTACTGGCCCTGAATGGGATCCTGATGCTCACTGGCGAAGACCAGCTCTACCATTGAGCAAATATGTTGAGGGCCACATGAAGTTGGTTTCAGATGGCCCACCGAGAAAGCGCAGTCGGTACAATTATCAGAACGAGGACTCCGATGACGAGAGCGAAGCTGGTTTCGTCAGCGGTGATCCCATGCCTAGTCTTCCCCTACCGCCAGTTACCGACGAGGTCGCCCTGTTCAACCCCGAAATGAAGCACATACGTGATCGCTTGTACGTTGGTCATCAGTTCCGGCCGCCTTCCGAGTACCCCATGCCTTCACAAAGTTTCTTCGAGTGCCGTAATCCATCACAATGGACAATTGCCGAGGATGATGAATTGAAAAGCCTTGTCCGGGAACATTCCTATAACTGGTCTCTTATCTCCAGTATACTTACACCCAAGTCCACTTTCAATTCTGGCGCGGAGAGGCGCACTCCCTGGGAATGTTTTGAGAGATGGATCACACTGGAAGGGCTTCCGGCTGATATGTCCAAGACACAATACTTTAAAGCCTACACGGGTCGTATCAATGCGGCTCAGAACATTATTAACCTGCAGAACCAGGCAATAGCACAGCAAGCCAGCCAAGCCAACGGAGCTGTCACTCCTGGACGACGAAGGCCTCAATCTGTTCCTGTTAGAGTTGAGAGGCGACGTAACCAGAAACACCTTACGATGCTTGATGCTATGAGGAAACTGGCCAAGAAGCGAGAGACGACAGCTCAAAAGCAACAACATACAGCATCGCAGAATGCAGCCAACAAGAAAGCCAATGACCCAGCGGCGCAACGCCCGACTAAAACACCAGGAGAATACAGCAGGCTACGATACGAACGAGACCAAGCTCTGGCCGAAAAGATGGCGCAGTATGCGTCAAGGCAAGAAGCTCAAAGACGAGTAAGTATCACAGCAGCACGGCCCAGCGGAAGCGCAAAGCTGACAACCTCACAGGCTGTTTTGCAAGCTAGAGCTCAAGGTCAAGCTGCCCAGATGGCTGGTACTCCTGGAGCTGTGCAGGCAAGTCAAAATTCGGCACAAGCTGCTGCTGCTGCAGCCGCCGCCGCAGCCGCCGCAGCCAATGGTATGAACGGCGTTGGCCGTGTCAATGTTCCCAACCAACTCGCCGTCGCTGCTGCTGCTGCCGCGGGGCAGGCGCGTCCCCGGATGCCCATGCAATCGCCTGCTGCTAACGGCATGGGAGGTGTACCGGCTCATATGACCGGCGGACTCGTGCCGCCAACTCAAATGAACGGTGTACAGCAGGCTCAAATGCAGGCAATGCAGGGGCAACACAACCGCATGCCGATACCGAACCCCCCACCTGATGTTAGCTTGATGATGCGCGCCCAACGTATATCAGAACAGCAACGAGCTGCACAGATGCATGCTCAGGGCGGCCCTGGCACCCCAGGTCAGGGGGCAGCGACAGGGGCTCAGCAGAGCCCCCCTGCGCAGATGCGAAACGCAGTCAATGGTGTTAACGGCATTAATAATAACAATCCGATGAACCAGAGTTTCTTGAATAACGCACAGGCAATGATGGCCCAGTTCAACCAAGGTAATCTTAGCTCGCCGCAGGCTAATGGCCTGCATATGCCATCCGGTCCTGCAGGGTCAATAGCTCCACGACCACAAACCCAACTCCCTGCAGCTATCCAAGCTCAACTGAACCAACTTGAGGCACAATTTCGTACCAAGAACCCCAATCTCACCCCCGAACAGGCTCGTCAACTAGCTACGGAACACTTGACACGCCTCATGATGGCTCAGCGTACTGCAATGAACTCTGCTGCTGGTACGGCTAATGGTCAAGGTGGACTTGCCGGGGGCATCGCAGCCACGACTAGCCCTCACCAATACGCTGCTCTGCTTCGCCAACAACAGCAGCAGCAGGCAAGTGCGGCAGCAGGTAGCCCCGGCCAACAGCATCAGCAACCCCACCAGCAACATCAACACTCTCAGCACCAGCCTCAGCAGCAGCAGCAGCAAGCCCAGGCGAAACAACAGCAGCCTCAGCCCCAACAGCAACAGGCACAGGCGCCGGTGCAGGCCCAGCATCAGGCACAGCAACAGCAGCAGAGGCAGACGAGCGGCAGTGCTACACCCTCAGCTAGCTAACGGAATGGTTGGTGAAGTAACGCAAATTTCCTGTTGGGGTTCTGGAACAATGGATGGGTTTGGTTTCGTATATTGGAAGCGATCGATATTGGTGTTTGTCTTATCATGAAAAGCGTGCAAGCGAAAGAGGAGTCATTACGATTCTGGTTGTACAGTTGGCATCTATGTATGAAGTGACGGGTTAAGCTCTGAAAAGATGAATTGGAGAGCATCTGTAGATTATTAGTTAATCATAGTGAAGGCATGGAAGTATGCGGATTGCTACACATGACCTCCCAAGTCCTTGACTCGTTCAAGGCAATTGAAAATACCACCCTCTTATTATTCAATTCACATTGCTATCTGCTCACACGTTTCAAGACAATCGTTAATGATCAGAATCAAAATGAACTAAGCGACTACATCATTTGTCTATTATGAATGTGTTCTATAAGAAACCTAACGCCAGTTCATGCACATAAAATGGTACAGCCCGCCGCCCAACTTGGAACGAGCAACATGGAATTCCATCTTTCACTACATATAAACCTACTCAGCTAGGTCCACCGTTGCCACCCCTGGAACTGTCTCCCTGGAGAAGCAGTCTAGGCTTAATAAAATCCTCGTCAAGATGGTGAAACACGCTGGCGGGATCTTCCGAGGTCCAGAGTTGTCGGATAGCATTGGATGCTGTGATCGGTTGACCTCCTGGTGTCTCGGATATGGGAGTAGCGTATGCACTGTCCACTCGCGATGGAGGAGCTGTGCTGGAGCGTGGAAGGGGTGAGCGGCGTGCCGGGGGAGGCAAATCAGAGACATCAATGTCGCTGCCGATGTCTGAATCATCGTTGTGTCGAAGAAGGTCAGATCGTTCGGGAATAGAGTTCTTTCGAACTTTACTTGTAGGCCGGCCGCCCGTGTGCGGAGACGAAGCGCCCGATACATAACTAGCGGATTGACCTGCCTCGAGACTACCAAGGGCAACGCTGCCATTCCTACGAGGGTTGTAGCCGATGCCCGTTCCTGATCGCTTGACCTGGAGACCCCCGCCAAACGTTTCTATGTCGAACTCGTCATCGCTGTCAACTTCTTCGACAACACCTGTGCGGATTCCTAGAATCTCGAGCATACGAGCAGTAGTCCCTCCGAAGATGATCACCGTGAGTACGACAACAACCAGGACAGTTGCCCGAAGTGCGGAAGAGTTCTCGCCAGTAAGCAAAGCAGCCAAGGCAACACCGACAGCTCCTCTTAAACCGGCCCAATAAAGCATGGCTTGGTAGTTGTAAGGCAGCTCGTCGCCAACTTCTTGGCCTCGTCTGCTGGCGCGGTATCGAATGAACCAGTTGATTGCTTTGGACAAGGGGAATACAGCAACCCATCGAGCAGCGCAAACAGCAAGAATAGTGACAATGATGAGAGGAGGCTGAAACTGAAGATGGTTGTCGGTGAAGAGAGCCAGTCCTAGATAAATGAAGATGAAGTTTTCAGATAATTGTGACAGGATTTGAAAGATGAACTTTGTGGTAAGCTGGGTTCGTCGCGACATATTGAAGTAAGCATAGTGCTTGAGAGTGATGCCGCAGAAAAGCAGCGACACAATACCTGCAGGAAGGTTAGAACCACAAGGGAGGGAGATACATCGTCCAGATTACATACCAGACATATGGAGACCATGGGAAAAGAAGTAAGTGGCGTACGCGATCAAAAAGATTAAACAACTCTCGATCTTTGGAGTCCTACGAAGGTAGGTGAACTTCAACAAAAGGGCAGTGGCGACACCGACAAGGAAGCCGATGAACAAACTGCAGAAGAAGACCAACAGGAAGATACCTGTACCTTCGAAGAAACTGACAATACTGAGGCCAGCAGCCTCGCCCTTTTTATACTTTTGCGCAGTTTCGAAAATGACGATGGCAATGGCATCGTTCAAGATAGATTCTCCAAAGATGATGGTGTACAGCTTGGGATCGACCTTGTAAGTGTTGAAGATGGCCAGAATAGTAACAGGGTCCGTTGCAGAAAGAGTTGCGCCAACTGAGATAGCGTCTACAAAAGACATTTCCAGGGATCCAGGGATAAGAGTGAAGAAGTACAAGATGAGGCCAATGACGACAGCTGACATAAAAGTTCCAGCAAAGGCGAATGTCAAGATGGTACCAATATTGCGAAAGAAGTTGGCCTGATGCAGCTCATAGCCCGAGGACAGGATAATAGGGGGCAGTAACAGGTTGAAGAAGATTTGATAGTCGAAGCTGATCATGTTTCGAAGAGAGTCGCCGCCGAAGATTAGGAGGGTGAGTCCAACCACCATTCCTATGAGAGAAATAGGTGTAAGCCATTGGTCGCATCAAAGGGGGTTGAAGAACGTACCAGCAAATATAGATATAACAGTTTCGTGTATAGCAGTGACCTTCTTCATCTGCAGCATGTAGCTTGTGAAGAAGGCGATAATGAGCAGCATGATCGAGATGAAGAGCGCCCATGCCGCGAACAATTCCTTTTGGGCAGAGTCACCCTCTGGAGTTTATCGTCAGTAATTGCTAACATATACCGCATCGTCTCTGTCTTGCGTGGGGGGACGCACCCTCGGGGTCGGTCTCTTCATCGGTGGCTCGCTCTATGTTCAATACGTCAGCCTTCAAGTCGCGGGAGTCAAGGTGACCCAAGATGTAGCGTACTAAGGAGCTGAAAGCCCATCCCGACGAGGTTTGCAGAAGCCATTCCGAAAGAGTCGTGTGTTTTCGAATCGGATAGAGTTGCAAAAGGATTCGAAATAATACAACAGCCGTTTCGTTTAGGGCGAGATCGAGTAGGAGTCTCCCTGCGCGAACCTCGTAAGCTGGGATACCGAGATCATTCGCAAGGGAGCGAGAGGGCGGGATTTCTGAAGAGGAGCAGTAGTCTAGTCGTAGGGTCGAAGGCAGAAGACAAAGATACGGAAAGAAGGGTTATGTCAGGCCAGGCCCAAGTCTAAGTCCAAGTTCCAAGGTCAAGGTCAAGTTCAAGTCCAGGCAGCGCAATAGATTGGACAGTTGAAGAAAAGAAGTCGCCGTGCCTGTAACTGGTAGGTACCTACCTACCCACCTGCCTAGGTAGATAATGGACTGGAAGCTAAAATCAAATCGGTAGGTACTACCTTAGTAGGTACCTTAGGCGGGCCAAGCAGCCAAGACAGGCACAGGAGATGAAAGGCGACAGCTTTCAATAGAACAAGACTCTGATTGGTTCCTTATCTCTATTAATCAATGCCTATTTAGTTACCTAGGTATGGTGTGTTATCGGCAAGCAGCCTGTAGATTCCCGCGGACGTCTACAGCAGCTTTTAATACCATAAACCAAGTTTCTACCTGACGTAATTGCTTATCATGAAATGTAAGTTCATAGCGTTCTCTACAAGTTTTGAAGCGCCGGAGCTCTGTCAAGGGTCTACCTACTTATTCCTATAGACTACCTACAGTACCTTAGCAGGTTGGATCCTAGGACAATCTGTCTACTAAACTGACCCTGAACTTGAACAAAGAACATACGATAATCAAATAACAAAAGACTCGACCAAGTCTCGATTGTGATAAAGCTACCTAGATGTCCCCTTACCTATAAAGTGCACATCTGCGGGCTCATCGACTGTCCGTGCCTACTGACCTACCCAACTAGAGCTGGAGCTCCATACCTACTGTACTAGACGTTTCTTATGAGGCTCTTCAGTGGCCCAGTCCACTAAATCATGCTGAAACCAAGCCCCTGCTGCACATACTGTAGGTACTGGACCTCTAGGGCAGCCCAGCTGTCCCGGCGGGACTTGAAACCTTCCACCCAGGATGTATCCATATTTCACTTTGGAAGCTTAAGTACAGTCCTCATCTTCAACGTATACTCTGTCGCATGCACCTCTTACCTACAAGACTTCACGCTTAACCGTTTAAATCGCCAGCTGTGAGCTCCGCGACAAAAATGTATCACCTCGCCAAAGGACTCTACCTTTATGCAACGAGTAAAGAAGGTATATGCAGCTGCCGTCTGCTCCAGAAATACCTACCACTTGCTAACGAAACGTTGCAGAATACTCCGTTATTCTTCTAGGTCTCGATAATGCCGGCAAAACAACTTTCCACGAACAAGTCAAGTCCATGTTCCTACCAAACAGGCCCGATCCGAAGCTCAAGACAGTGCCTACCGTTGGGCAGAACGTCTCAACAATACCGTTGCAGGATATGTACCTCAAGCTATGGGACGTGGGAGGACAACACTCATTGCGCAAGCTTTGGGAGAGTTACTACACGAGCTGTCATGCGATAATCTTCATCATCGACAGCACAGATATCGGCGACGGAAATATCGAGCATGAGGAGAATCTTGGTAGACTAGAGGAGTGTCGCCTTGTCCTTGAAGACGTTCTACAACACTCTGAGACCGAAGGCGTGCCACTTCTTATCCTGGCGAACAAGCAAGATCGCGAGGACTGTGTTGAAACGATACGCATCAAGGAAGGCTTGGTCAAGAAGGTCATGGAGGGAGACAAGGGGTCTGCCGTTCGCGACTCACGAGTGCTGGCCTTGAGCGCCCTGACAGGCGATGGAGTTCCAGAAGCTATCGAATGGGTGAGGACGCGAGTGCAATGGAACAAGGAATCTCGGCCGCCTGTTATGCGGTAACCAACCAACCTCGAAAGCCTTTGTGTGCAATTAATGCGGTTTATGATCGATGACAACGACTGGGATAGACCAGACTGGCTGGCGTATGTAATGGGGGCTTATTTTGAGCGTCACTGAACCACTTCTATTAATTTTCAAGTATGAGAAGCACAGGTAGTCTGCGGGGTATCATGGTTTCTATTTTCCTTTTTTTATTGCTTTTCGTTGGTATTAAGTTGTAGACATTAGCATCACCTGTCGTTCTCGGCGGTCAGCTCTGCCGTCAGGCCTCCCTTGTCTCTTCTCTTTGCATCTTCGGCAAGTTTGCTATCCACCAGCTCGGAAAGATCCTTAGATCGATTGAGCGCTCCTTGGGCACACTGGATGAACAGTGGCGCATCGAGTGAGTTCCCTCCGAGCTTGGAAATTTGGCATATCTCGCCGTGCTTGTTAAGACTGTACGTGCAGTGGGAAACACGCATTTGCTCCTCGAGCCAATTTGTATCAACAAGAACCTGGCTACCATCCTCGCCAAAGAAACTGAATGTGACGCAGAAGGGGGAATGGAGCCAGCTCAGAGGGACAGGCTCTCTCTCAGCAGGGGTGTAAATAGTCAGGACCTCTCCCTCGATGCTTGAGTCAGGCTTGCGAAAATGCCGAAGGGCTGCAACAACGGCCAAGCAGGCAGCATCTGTAAGGTTGCCATCGTGGGCAAGTACATGGAGATCGACTCGGATGGACCAACACTTTTGACCGGCGATGAGGCATAACGATTCGGTATCCAGTGCACCAGATCTTCTGATTGTTTTCTCAAGAAGTCTTGAGAGGAGAACCTCCTCGAGTGAAGGGCGATTGACCTCATACGAAGGGGCGACCATAGGACTGAGTTCTGATGTAATTGTGAAAACTCCGTCAAAAGGACGGTCTGAGTAAGGCACCGTCACCTCTGCTGAAACTCTGGCTAGTACTCTAAGCAACTCGTTAGTTTCAATTCAACTTTTAACAGACACTCTTGTTTTACCTTGTTTTTTCATATTTGACCTCTGCCACTCCATACTCATCTCCAAAAGTGAGTTCAAGAGGTCGAAATTCGTCGAATTTGCGCCCATCCAACCGCAAACCCTCGTCCAGAGCCTGACTTAGGAATGTCTTCTCAGAGAGAGAAGGTTCAGCTTCGCGAGGCATGTTTTGGTGTTGTTTTTATGTAAAAATGTCGTGAGAGTCAACGCCTGTGTAATAGAGCGCCAAAGCGTAATAGACACAGACAAACATTGAAGAAATTCTGCCGGGCGGTGAGTCGCCACTTATGGCACGCCTGCTTCCTGGATACGCTTCGCGTCGGCCGGTATACGAGACTCAGTATTAGTATCAACATTGAAACTGCAATTTTTCACGTTAAAAAATACTGAGGAACTGTCACCATGACTACAGCTCATAGACCTACGTTTGACCCGGTTTGTGATTTTACCTGCATCACTTTGGGCGCATACTAATCTTTGCAGGCCCGTGGTAAAGAAGCCCTTCGTGGCCCTGCCTACCATCAACGTCTTTTACCAGCCCATACCCAACTCAAGTATCGTCAGGCCGGTCAAGGCGGTGCCGCCGACGAGGAACCCACTCGCGATCTCGCTGCCGAACTTCTTGCCGCTGAAGCCGCTCATTTCACCAAGAAGAACGGCGCCCCTGTCCCAATTGACGATGCCGACGAGGACGAAGAAACCAGCGTTTCCGGCGGCGCTAAACGAGCGCTTCCAAGCGCTGATGGCGAGGATGAAGATTTAGAGGCGAAGCGACGACGCATACTAGCAGAGACGAGAGATATCGATGCCGATGACGACAGCGAAGAGGATGAAGACGATAGTGACGAAGATGATAGCGATGATGACTCCGATGCGGAGCTGCAGAGGGAACTAGATCGCGTGCGCAGAGAGCGGGAGGAGAGAAAGAAGAAAGAGGTATGTCCGCGCGGCCATCTAACGTTGCACAGGTTTCGCTAATGCATATTGCAGGAGGCAGAGCGACTCAGAGAAGAACAGGACGCTCGAGAACGAAACATTGCTCTTGGAAACCCTCTCCTCAACAAGCAAGATTTCAACATGAAGCGTCGCTGGGACGACGACGTGGTCTTCAAGAACCAAGCTCGTGGTACAGAGGACAAGGGCAAGAAGAAGGAGTTCGTAAACGTAAGTCCTGTATTGTCTTGTTTTTTTTTATATATCTTTCATTTCATTCGTTCTTGCGCAGCAATTCTTGCTAGCTTCTATATGCATGTCCCTCGCTACTCAAAATCTTGCAAAAAAGACATCATTCGCTGACCCAAACCTGTTAGGATCTCCTCCGTTCCGACTTCCATAGACGCTTCATGAGCAAGTACGTTAGATAATGACATTAGACAAACTCCTCCTTTTTAGACTTTAGATACCCTGGAAATAAATCAACCGCTCTCCTGCACATGCTTTTGTCCGTTGTCAGAATCTGCAGCTTGTTCGGCGAGAATCCTCTTCTCCAAACCTTCAAAGGCTCCGAGAACGTTGCCATATTTCTGGTACACTCCCTCGCGATAGCCTTCGTCGATTCGCTGAATGTTACCCTCCTCAGTCCATCGCTTGCCGATGAGTTCGTCAAAGGTCTCGTTGGGCTGGCGCTCAAGAGCCCAGAGAGCCTTGTAAGCTCCGCCGAGGGCGCAGGCGTTGCCACCCACATCGAGCTTATAGACACCATCGCTTCCACCAAGAGATTCTCCAATGACCCGGGCGATGGCTGGGTTCAGAGAGCCGCCTCCGACGAGGTAAATGCGACGGGGTTGAGCAGGTAGGCCAGGTCGAGTGCTCTCAACGAGGTTCTGGGAGCGCAGACGCATGGACAGGGCCTGGGATTCGACAATAATGCGGGCATCGGTTTCCTTGTCCCAGCCACCCTTGACCTCCTGGAGGTCAGAGCCATCAGGCTCACACGAGTATCGCCAAGTGCCGGCTCGAATGTTGGGGACCACTTCAGTGAGGTAGAAATACAAGCCCAGCTTGCGTCTATCGTCATCCTTCGCAGCGCCGAGAGCAGGAGTGTTTTCGATAGCCTTGTTGAAGTTCTCCCAGCCAGTAGGGCCATTTTCACGCTTAGGGAGTTGATCTCGGACTCGCTCACGCGCCAGACCTCCGTTCTTGTAACAGAGCATGAACATGTAGTGACCATCAGTCGTGGGATGGTTGAAGAAGTGGTAAGCACCATCAGGCTTGTACTTGGGCGTGTTCATGAGGAAGGTTGTGGAAGTACCCAGCGAAACAATGGCGTCGAGGGGTCGGAGGGGCAGAGCGAGAATAGTTCCGGGATTGTCGCCAGTGAAAGGTGTGATCTGGCAATCGGGATGGAAGCCATGGCGGTCCACAAAGTAAGGGGAGATAGAGCCAAGAACAGCCGCGCCGTCCATACAGGGCTCGCCTAGCTTCTTCTTCAAGTTGAGAGCATCGCGCTTGCTGCCGGCAGCGAGCTCAAGAAGAGGCTCGCTGAATGTCTGGCGGGACATGTCCCACAAGTTCATACCGCAGACATCACTAACATCCATGGGGGCAATAGCACCAAGGAAGACAGAGGCGAGCCATGAAGAAACGAGAGAGATGTGGGCAGTCTTTGCGTACATCTCCGGGAGGTCTTTCTTGAGACGCATGATTTGGGTTCCAGTGAAACGCTGGAACATTGTCAGTACTGCTTCAATTTTGAGGTCTTGGTTTCACTTACATGGTGTGCACCACTTCCGGTGGTCTCAGCAAGCTTCTGGCGGTCTCCAAGTGCAGCATCAAAGGCATCGCATTCAGCCTGGGTGCTCTGATCCTGCCAGTTAGGCGACCACTGATGGGATAGTGCCTGGGGGAGCTGAACAACGAGAGGAAGGCGAGGGTCAAGGTGGTGAAGAATCTCATAGGCGTGGCCGTTCCAGAAGACACTTCCATGCTGCTGGCAAGAGCCGCTGATGCCACGAATGTGAGAAAGAGGGACAGGCATGGCCTCAGTTAGCCGGTCAAGGACGAGGTCTACCGACTCCATCCACATAGCGACGGGCGCATAAACCTCACCCGTTTCCTCGTAGACATGGACACCTTTCTTGATGCCATATTTGTGGCCAAAGTCCTTGTCAAAATCGACCTTTGCTTCTCCGATGACCTTGAGGTCTGAGTCGACAACGAGAGCTGGATATGCTGTTAGCTAATTGTGTTGCGGGCAACATATGTTGCTGAGCGTTTGACGTGCCTTTTAGCTGCTGCGTTGACAGATCAAAGCCGAGGTATAGAGGCTTGAAGTCGGCAGACTTGTCTGAAGAACTATCTCGAGCGAGAAATGGCATTGTGAATTGATTCAGTCGATGGAATGGTACCCGACGTCAAGGATCGGTCAATATAGGTAAGTAGGTAGGTACTAAGGTATTGAGCCCGAGATAAGAAACCAAGTATCAAAGAATTGGAAGCCAACCGCGGCGACGTCAATGGTCGGGTAGTAGTTATGACGACAGGCGATGGATCTAGAGGGGAATGGATGTCAACCAGAGGCCCGTGACGCTATAAGTTAGGGGCAGTACGGAGTTTACAGAGGAATGATGAGACCGGGCAATGAATTGAATTGAATTGAATTGAATTGAGTGAGACTTTTGTTGGGAAAACACCAAGGGAAAAAAAGCCACGAACTGGGCTTTATACCTTTTACCTAGGAATATACCATTGTACCTTGCCTTAGCTGAGGTAAGGTAAGGTAAGGTACAGTACGCTTCACTGTCAGTCAGTAACTGCATCATGTTACAGTACAGTACAGTAGACCGCCACCCTCTTAACTTCAGCAGGGAAAAAGAAGAGATGGGCATACTAAAGAATATTGAGTGGGTAACATGCGCAACTTGAGGTGTGAATATAGTAATTACAACAAGATGCTAATGAAAAAAAGAACCAAACTCCCAAGTTTAAACGCGCAACATCTAATTTATCCAAAGATGAGAACAAGAGGCTATTAAAAAGCGTCGTAAAATCGGGTTCAGAGGTCATATGAACACAATTCCATCCATGGATCCGGGGGTCTATATCCGTGCGCCGGCATTGCATAGACTGCACTTTACTTTATTTCACTGTACCAAGCATCTGGTGTTTTTGTTCCTGGGTGAGTGTTAAGGTATAAAATCTCTCCAACTTGGACGGCTGTTATTATCATTGTTTAGTACCCTATGTATCATGACATCTCTGTTCGATCCAAGGAACCAGGCTGCTTTGTAGGTACAGGACCTACGTAGTTTTTCAATAAAAGAATGGAGACTTTTCTCTCAGTTTCCATCATTCATCCATATCAACGTGGGGTTGGGTTACCTCTTCTCTCCAAGAGCTTTGTTCTGCTTTTTACTGTGTCATGTCCCGTCAAGACAGATCCAGTTTTTTTTTAACCCTAGAGGATCGATAAAATGGCAGCCTAGGGACTAACGTACAATACAGTAATAGTACCTCATGAGGGGCGTGTATCAAAGAAAAGAAAGAAGAATTAAACTGAACATACGACACTCAACACCATGCAGACAAGCATTGGGACAAGTCACGATACGGATCAAGCCGAAGGAGGTGTGGAACAACACATACAACACAAGGGAAAAAGGACGATTCCTTTGTGAAGTTGTGTCCAACCCCTAAGTTAAGCAACTTTTGACTCTTGTTTCCATTGATTCCAGAGTTCTGTTCGCATTTAGCCTAAATCGTTAAAGAGGTATGTACTGTAGGTACTGTGTTTTGAACTTCACCCCATCACTTTTTATATCCCGGCCAATAGGACCCATGACCTCAAAGACCTGACAACTTGCAAGGCCGGTGAAGCGCCAATGGGCAACGAGCGCTTGTAATGGAAGTGAATATCTCTAAGTGCGTTGCCTCACTTCAAATCCAGAAGAATTTCTTGCCGACGAGCTCGATCCTGACAAGGAAAGAATGTTAACCAAAGCAATCAAATAGACACATGTCATGTCCTATCCTTGTCACATAGATTCACTATCAAGATGGTGAACTGGGTCTCGATGTTGATTTATGAGGCTCAAACGTAAGGCTCAAATTCGTTGATTCAAGGTATTCTTTCCCATATCTACCTACCTATCTAGATACGGATACCTAGGTACTAGGTAGGTAGGTGTGCACAATTCTCTTTCGATTCTCTATCTTAGTGGGTACAAAGTAGGTAGTCTTCTTACATCGTTGGGGCGCATCTAATCTGAACAACGCCACAAGAATGGCATGCATGTCTCTTTAACTGTCCCTTCTCTTCATACAGACAAGCCCATGTACAATACCATCCAAATCCAATGAGTTGCCTTGCTAGGCACATATGTAGCCATTCGGTGATTAATTCTTCCACCCATGCTGTATATCTCATGAAATCTTTGGCTACACCCTCTCTTCTAGTTTTGTAAGTGTCTATAATATACCCTTGTGCACCTATGTAAACAATTTCGAGTCAAAGCTCTGTTAGGGAAATTTTCCCAATTTGGAGAGGAGGAGCACAAGAAGAGATGGGCACATACATGCGCCGTCGCTCTCTGTTGCAACGTCTTTCCTCACAAACAGCTGCCGATTATTGCTAGATCCTAGCCTCATGTTCTGACGACCCTTCACTGGTCAGTCACTCATCAATTCAGCTCACCCGGTCAGACTCCACTGCCCCGCAGCCAAACACCCCAGTCACTGACCAGGTTGGCTTTGACATGCCGGAAGAGCAGCGTAGGAATGAACGAGACATAACGAGTACCAATGGGAAGCAGCATGAGGTTATAATCGATGCCAGGCTCAGCGCCACTCTGTTGTACAGCATCACCTGCTCTAATGCTTGTTTCTGTTCCTGAGGCTGTTGTTGTGCTCTTGACTCCCGCTTGATCTCAGGCCATGGTCACTGTTCTTGTGATCATGATGACCGTGATCATGGTTCGACTCGCCTTCTGTCTCGGACACATCCTCCTCTGTCTCCGGGGGTAGAACGACGGTACCGGGAATAAAATCGTCAAACTTAGCTTTGGAAGTTGCCTCCTTTGGCGAGAATCGGATGCGGACCCTTCGCACACCACGCACCTTGCCTCCGACTTGTGTTCGTACTGCATCTTCAACATGTTGTGTTGTATCGACAGACCATGCACCGGGTACCGTCATCTCAAGGTCCACGAGATAGTTCTGGCCTGATTTGATGCCACTCACTTCACGCAGGGCAACTTCATGCCCTCCTGCCACGTTCTTTAGCGCTTTGTGCGTATGCTTTGATACCGAAGACTTGATATCATTATCAATGCCTTGATCTGCCAATTCGCGAAAAGCGGCAACTGTATTTCCGGAACCAGCTTGGATAACCATAATTGAGATGAGAAGACCACCGACAGGGTCCAGCCACGCCGCATTCTCCATCATATTGGCTCCTATGATGGCAGCCAAAGTCGCAAAGCCCGTCAGACTGTCAACTCGATGGTGGACGGCATTTGACGCGAGAACCGAAGATTTACGTTCACGCGCAACCTTCATTGCTGAGATTGGTCAGCCTGTATTCTTTGCTGTGTCCATCTTTCAAGAGTGCACAAAACTTACTAGCATGATATAGCCATTCCTTGATCAAAATCGTTCCTGCTGCGAGCCAAGCTGCGTGCATGCTTGGAATCCCGAGTGCTGCAGCTCCGTGAGAATGGCTATGACCATGTCCGACGTGTCCAAGAATGCCATGCGCTGCTTCCGGGTAAAAGTGTCCGTACAGGCTGATGCCGCTGTCCCAGCCCATATAAAGGCCTCCGGCCAACAACATACTCGAAACACCCAATGAACCCAAACTCTCGACCTTGCCAAAGCCCATTGGAAACTTGTCTGTCGGTGGCTTCAGACTCCATGTAACTGTGGCGAGCGTCAAGATATCGGACGCAAGATCGGTAATGCTATGCCAGGCATCGGCAGTCATGGCTTTGGAATTGAAAGCGTATCCACCAGCGAACTTGGCAATTGCCATGCCCAGATTAGATACCAGGCCGATACGAGTAATTCGAACGCCAGGATCGTCTTTATTGCCAGATGTTAGGTAGGCATTATCGTGGTGATGATGGTGGCCCCCTAGAATGCCATGACTATGCCCGTGGTCGTGGCTGTGGTTGTGACCATCTTTATGGTTGTGACCGGAGTCGGCATGCGATCGTATCTGGGACATTGAAGCTTTAACGAAAGATGGTGTTTGTTGAAGTCTGGTGCGAAAGGAAGCTAGATGTGGCAATGAATTCGTTGAAGGAGGCGCGAAGGAGAAGGTATTTGAAGATACGTGGTGGGTCGAGAGCTTGGACGAGGCTGTGAGGTATGCACAAGTCGATAGTGCAGCAACAATAGAAGCTGTTAATCGTAGGCGAAGACGAGGATAGGCGACGTGGGGGGTCCGAGGGCGGGGGGCTGTATTTGACTGTAGAAGAAGCATCTGGCCACGACGAGAAGAGACACAAGCAGCAGGGTGTCTTGCATGTGGATGTCCTGACAAGGCAAAGCCACGAATGCGACAGCTATCCGTAATGTTAGTAGTAGTATTGCGACTGCTGCTGCTGCTGCGACATTGCGCTGTGGCTATTGGCGACGTCACTCGTGTTCCTACTACTGCGACTGCGCCTAGGCCTGCGCCTACCCCCGTAGGAAAACGCCCGGCCTGCGGTAAACTCATATATCCGAAATTGGAGGAATTCGGTAATGTGGGAGGGCAGCCGACTTTCCGTGCTGGTCAATTGATGAGTGACTGGATGCGTCGTGTTGTATTGCGTTGCCTGCCTTGCGTTGCGGTGCACGGTCAGAAGACGAAAGTAAAGCAATATAAAATATCAGGGCGATGAGACAGTTGGTGTTGTTATCAGATCCTGCCTTATAATTGACTGACTGACGTTATGCCCGTTAACGGAGGCGCTCAAGCTTCGGGATCGGTTCAGTGAGCGGATTTGGCTCGGTCGAGTGCGGAACAAGCAATTCAAATTGTATTGTGTAGCTGTATCCGTAGAGGCTCCGCCGATAGAAGAAGAGAATAAAGGTAATGAGGCAATTGGTTAGTAGAGGTACAGTAGCTACCAAGGCAGGAAAAGAAAGAAAGAAAGAAAGAAAGAAAGGAACGGTGGCATTGAAACAAGAAAGGTGAAGCCAATGGAAATCCAGCAATGGAAGTAAAGTAAAGTAAAGTAGATGAACCCACTATCTACGACACTCTCGCCTGACATAGGATCGCAACGTTCCGGTCTCCGGACCTAACTACCCTTGACCGCTGAGACTCGATGGATGGAAGCCGGGCATGGAAGTCTAGTGAGCTCAACTCCAAGGCTCCTTTCAGGGGTTCCTGCCCGCCCAAGCTTCCATCCAATGGATGTTTGAAGCTTGGAACTTCCATACTGACCTCCATACTAAGGTATACAGAGTATATGTGCTTCCATTGAAAAAAGGCCAATTTAGATCTCGTGATACTATGCTTATCAACAACTACTATTAAGTTATCAGCGACTTCTCCAAACTGATTCAGCTCTGTTTTTTGGTCATTATCAAATCAATGGATCGGTCAGGCTCGGAATGTGGGGGATTAGAGTCTGGTCTGGTCGGTCTTCCCCGTCAGGAACTACCTACCTACCTACTGTACGTTAGCAAGCTAAAATAAGGCATCCATATGGATAGGTAGGTACTAACTCCAGTCTCCAACTGAGAAACGTTCCTGAAACCAATGACGCGCTCTTTGGCCAAGAATAATCAAATCCTTGTCGCTGATAAATCTTTGTAACTCAAATTAACCACTTTCCAACCTATTGTCTACCTGCCCAGACTACTAGGTACTACTATACGCAGTACGGATACCTACCTACGTACCTACACTATCATATTGCACATACTGTACAATCACGACCCGGCCCCGATGAGCAAGCCTCTGCTCCGGATCCCTTACACGGACCTCCCCCTGCCCTCAGTCATCGCACCAGCTTCAGCTTCTACCCTGCCCGGTGCCATTGCCGCCCTCCACCGTTTCTTTGTTGCTCCGTCTCCGGGACATTTGCCCTCTTCGGCCGTCGTTCTCACAGGCGCAGGTCTGTCAGTTGCTTCTGGCCTAGCAGATTATCGAGGTGTCAAGGGCACTTACAAGGTCAATAAGACATATCGTCCCATCTACTATCCCGAATTCCTTAAGAGCCATGAATCTCGCAAGAGATATTGGGCTCGCAGCTTTCTAGGATGGTCTAATCTACAAAAGGCAGCGCCAAATAGCGGTCACTATGCTATAAAGGATTTGGGGGATTTAGGTCTGATACGAAGTGTTATTACTCAGAATGTCGATTCGTTTCATCCGAGAGCTCATCCTAATCTACAAACTTTAGAGTTGCACGGATATCTAAGAGCCGTTGTTTGCACCACCTGTAAGAACGAGTTCTCGCGAAACGAGTTCCAGGAGAAGCTGGCCAGCCTCAACCCTCGATGGGCTGAGCTACTCAAGAAAGCCCTCGAGTCGGGGGCGCTAGATACCGAAGACCCAGTCGAACGCCGCTTCAAGGGTCTCAAGGTCAATCCTGACGGCGATGTTGACCTTCCAGACGCTCCGTACACAACTTTCAGATACCCCCCTTGTCCTAAGTGCTTGTCTCACCCACCAAATGATTCCGACGGCCACAAACATGTCGTGCAAGTCGATACGGATGGAGCCTGGAAGATCCCCAGCACAGCAGGTATTTTGAAGCCTGCTGTTGTCATGTTCGGAGAGAGTATCGACCATCATGTCAAACACGCTGCTGAAGAAGCCATTGACAAGGCTGGAAAGCTGCTTGTGGTCGGCACATCGCTTGCCACTTATTCGGCTTGGAGGCTGGCCAAGCGAGCTCAAGACCGGGGCATGCCCATAGCCATCATCAGTATGGGCGGTATCAGAGGCGAGGACAAGTTTTTTGCAGATATGGATCCAAACCAACAAGGCGAGCAGGGTGTTAGAGTCGCTTTGTCGACAGACGATCTTCTTCCTGCTCTTCTTTCTGCCCTGCGCAATGATGTAGCACCATCAGAAGCACCAACAAAGGCTTCATTGCAAGCTTCCGTTGCAAACCCTGGCATCTTCAAGGACATGCTTTCTTAATATCCTTAAATGTACACTACTACCCATTGATGAGGATAGACTTGTTTATATTTAGAAGAAATTTTTGAGACTTCCGCTTTTTGCCTTTGCTGATGCAGCCTGAGCGGGCTCCGTTTTCTGTACCTCGGCAACTGGCGCTGTAGTTACGGTTGAAGATTCAGTTCGCTCAGCCTTCTCCCGCTTCGCTTTGCGACTTGCTTCATCGCGTTCGATGGCCTTGAGCACTGCCGAAAATAATTAGTGACAGCTCCCGCTTACACATTGGAGATTGTTCTTACTCTCTTCCCAGTCGGCCTCTCTTCCTGGATCACCAGTGCCGAGTGCTTGCTCGACATCAACCGTTTCTCCCCTCTGGATTTTTTCAACAACTTCCCGCAAAGACGTAATCCTAGCCTCTGATTGTCGCATGTATCGATCGAAGGAATTTCGTAGCGCAATCATCTGTATCGACATTGATCCAATAAAAAGGAATATAACAATGAAAAATGTTGTGGGGTTCCATTCTTTGGACTTTTTTCTCAATTGTCGATTTTCCTTCCGCAAAGGCTTCGGTATTAAAGAACGCCAGAATTGGCCATCGGCAATGGTTGCAGGGGCCGTACTCGACCTCCGAATTCCGAAATTGGAGATATGCGATGCCCTCAATGCAAGTGAGACTGTTCGAATCTGACCTGGCCGAATTGGGAGTGATCGAAGCGACATGTTAGAATGATTTGAGGCTGTCGTTAAGGTACCAGCTCAGGCTCAGGCTCAGACCTTGAAGTATGACAAAGATCTTCTACCGAAAAGTTCAGAGCACGGGCCATTCAATCCGGGATCCGAGTGTTGCCCCAGGCAACCACCGCTGTTTGCCAATTCCGGGGCTAAACTTACTACCTAACTACCTGGGTATGTACCTAAACAGGAACTGAACCCAACCTATTCACCAACGGTAATTAACGATTGCGGCTTACAACTGCAGCCTTTTGTTTTTTATTTGCATATTGTATCTCCAGTAGGAGTTCTTGGGTCTTTTTTTGTTTTTTTTTTGTTTCATGAGGCATGGTAACGAATTCACATACATAATATCCGAACCAAAATGGCTTCACTGCAAGCAAAGACTGACGCGGTCAAGACGGCCCTAACGTCTATATCGACATGCACAACCGCTACCGTTGTGACGCTCAAGGAGTTACTGTTGCTCGACGGCGACAGCTCAACAATGACATCACAGACCAGCTCGCGAACCACATCCAAGACGACAGCAAACCCGAAGACGAGAAGAGCAGCGCCAGGTAAAGCCCAGACAGCAAAGTCCAGCAACGAGCAACTCTCCTCCAAAGACCGTGCTGCCCTCGCGACGCATGTAATCAATGTCTGTATCAAATCCCTAAACGAAGCCGCGAGGCCATCGGTTCCTGCGACTCCTAGTAAGCGACAAGCATCTCAAGGTGACTTGAAGAAAGCTCCCGGACCCCGAACATTGCGCAGGTCACTATCTGCGCCGTTGTCACCGTTACAGCCCCGAACCTTGAACCGAGTCGCTACTTCACCTAATGTCACATCCAAAGCAACATCCCAATCGTCACCACAATCAACGGGATGTCTCGCTGTCGTCGAGTGCGCGCGCACCGCTTTTTCCTGCCTACGATCTATCATGGGCTGTGTTCAACCTACTCAAACAGATTTCCAACTCGAGAACGGAATGTCAGCATTCATCGGCAAGCTTCTGGCTCTAGGATTTCAGGACCAGGCACTCAAGGAGCTAAGGATCTTGAAACGAAGGCTGGATGCTGGGGTTAACAAAACAGCAAAACCAGCACCAACCGAGGGACAAACGGCGGCTCAAGTTATTGCAGAATTGCTTGACTTTGGCGAAAATGTCCCCGACAACATGCTTCCCGTGGTCACCAGCTGCCAGTTCCAAGTTCTGCGATGGATTTCGCACGCCAAAAAGCCAACCCATATCGAAGCCGCATTGCCATTCCTTGAGCAATCACATGCGTCTTCACCTGTCAAGCTTTATGAGAGAATGGGAGCCAAAGACGAAAAGGAAACACAAAAGGTAGCTCGGCAACTGGCATCTTTATCACAGACAATCTTGTCATTCGCGCCCAGTGTGTCCAGCAAGGAGGATCAAGTTGCAACAGAAACGAGATTATGCCCTTCTCCTACCTCAGCATTTAAGTTGCAAGTGTTGTGCTTTAAGATTCAGCTCAAGTGGTGGAAGATGGCCGGCCATCGTGGAAGTATCGACGACGACATACTCTCGCCATTTTCTCGTTGCGTGCGCGCATATACTCGACGACATCCTACCGCTAATGGACCAACATACGGGTTGATTGCTGCGTCATATCAAGAACTGATGGAGCTGATGGGTTCTGAGAAGTCACAAGCCAAGACTACGACCGAGTCCCCCCTAACTTTACTTTATCAGCTTCTGGGTGTTGCAGCTCAAACGGATCGCCAGTACGAAGCAGCAAGCCAGTGGTTCCAAACACTAAAGGACGTACTTGACCCTACGGAACACTCAGATATTCGCATATTCTCGGTCTCCGCTCGATTACTCGCTGCTTTACTGAAGCAATGCAAGTACGATTCCAAGACAAAGGAGATTGTGCAAGAAGTCACAGAAAGTCTGGAGGGAAGCTTGAGTGGCAACATAACTGACCTCAACGAACTATTGGACAGCCTTTCGCTGGCTCGACGGTCAGCTGTTGGACTTCTCGTGAGCAACTCGAAGGGCTCCGAGTCCAATGACGGTATAGCCGGTTCTATTATGCAAAGTCTCAAGGCATTTATTGTGAAATTTCCACGATTCGGTCGCCGCTGGCTCGGAGCTCCTCCTGGCAAGGATGCCTCGACTAAGAGCCTTCTACAGTTCGATCAACGACGAGAAACTTTGATGCAGACGATAAACCAGATTATCGATGGTGCTTTGGTGGTTCTCAACGGCGATATTCAGAACGGCACGGTTGCATGGAAGCAAATGGACGAGGTTTTGTGCGATTGCAATAAACTAGTTGACAGTGTTCTCGACCCTACGATTTCGATATCACGAAAGGAACAGCTCACCGGGTATTTCGTGAAGATCTCTAGTTTATATTTCGCAAGGTATAACCAGCTTCGAAAAGACCTCGGCAAATCTAAGCAGATCAACAAGGAGATTCTTCAGTGTTTAAGTCGATCCATTGAGATGATCCAGGATCGACCCATGGCACAACAGGAAAAGGCCCAGATCTCAACAAAGCTGGAGTTGTTTGCCGATCTTTGCAAGGCCGCAAACCGAAGTGAAGACGCGGTTCGAACATTGCGATCGATCTGCACCAATATGATTGAAGAGGGTGCCTTGTTAAAGGTCACAGCAGTCCTTGACTCGCAGCCTCCCAGTGTCGCTTGGAGTGCCGATGAAAAGGCAGAGACGCTGTCGCGTACCCTGCGTTCAATCGCCAAGCTTGACCAGTCATGGAATGATTGGGCTTTCTTCCTACCCGAGAGCGAGCGAGCTGCAGTGCTTGAACATCTGATGCAAATTGTCGGGGACTCGGCTTCCAAGGGAGAGCCGCTTAAATTCCACGATCCATCCGTGCAGGCTCTTCTGCGTATATATACACCTGAGCGCTTTCCCATTCGCCGCCTTCGAGTTTTACTCCAACTACTCTTCCAAGTTATTGGCGAAGAGAACGAGATGCAACAGATCACCAAGTTGGTCCAAGAATTGGTTGAGCAGCTAGACAACGAAGCCTATGGCGAGGACAGCTCCCTGGACCGTTATGTTCCTCATCTGAAGACCCTGGAGAGATCGGTGACAGCTTTGGCTGTTACTGATGCTCCTCTACCCGTGTCGATACTCAGAGACGCCGTCATTTCTTGGAGATCCATGACCGAACTTTGCAAGTCAAGAAGCGAACTCTGCGAGCTGATTGACAACCCAGACGGTCTTGTTCTACACCTACAGTCAGCCAGTCAACTCGCCAGTCTACGAGGAGAACATGGTCTGCAACTGGAGATCTTGGAACTATCAACCCCTTTGGCTAAAGTACTCGCCGAACCAACACACAATAACGTGATTCTCAATCAAACACTACTCGCATCCCAGCACCTCAACATTGGTCATTTTACTGAAGCAAAGGAGACACTCGATGTGACAAAGAAGCTGTTGGACGAAGCAGAGGGTGTTTCTCGCGGACTGGTTGCCGGATTTCATCTTACCCAAGCCGAGTACTATTCTGGTATCGGTGACATTGACGAAGCGTGAGTTATCACTTCTATGAAAGCAATATCGCAAAGTTTCATTCTAACTGTGCTTAGGAATTCTTCCCTGGCGGCTGCCAAAGCAATCTACAACGGATCTACCTCGTCGTGGGCTTTATCAAGGTCTCAAGCTAACCTGTCTATCGCTCTCAGCTCCTTCCTGGATTCGGTTCTCGCGCTGAAGCGAGGCCAAGTCCAAGAAGCCCTGACTAGCGTCAAATCCAGTGTTCGGGTTTTATCACACGACTGGTCCAAGATAGAAGCATCTACGTCCCGAGCTACTAGCCCGAGTGTCATGAGCACTTCAACTACCAGCCTGGATAGTGTCACCACTGGTGCGAAGCTTGGCCAGGTGATTGGACCACGATTCTGGGCACTTGCGTTTCCCCTTCTGCGGGGCCTCCTGCATGTGTCTTCTGTGTATGCTCATCTTGGCATGTATCAAGAGACCATTTACTATGCCGAATCTGCTCAGAAGATCGCGGAGACCACCGGTTCGCCACTCTATCGAGCACAGGTCCTGGCCTGGATAGGCTCTGTTTATCATCGCGCTGGAAAGCTGACCAAAGCTCTCGAGTATGGTAACGAGGCTTTTATGGAGTTGCCTCAGGATATCTCTGCCTCTCGAGTTAGGGTTGCCTGTCAGTTAGGTAGCCTGTTCCGCGATACGGGTAATGAGAGCAAGGCTCGTCAGCTCCTTGAGCTTGCGGAGGAAACTGCTCAGCGCCTTGGGGATCACGGCAAGGTGCTCAGCATTCAAAACGAAGCTAAGAACACTGCTCCCGCTGCTGCCAAAGCACGAGCTGCTACCACCTCACGCGCTACACGTGCTACTGTTAGGACAACCCGAGCCAGAGCTGTGGCGGCTCCGGCCACAAAGGCTCGAAAGCGGCAGGCAACGGCCAAGGGTCAGCTATCTACTACGGAAGTGCCCAAACTGCCCAAGGACGCCTATCAGGCTTCTCTGATGGCTTCAGTCATTCTGTCCCGAGCTCTGGGTTTCATCAGCCAAAAGGACTGGTCATCCGCTCTGTCAACTTTGGAGCTTGCCAAAGAATTACCAAAACTGTTCGGCACCCTCTCTCAGGAACAGGTTGTGACAGCGATCTCTCTCATCGGCCATAGTACGGAACAGATGATTCATGATCCCGTCTTCTCTGTTGTCCAGGACTCGACAATCTCCTTCCCTGCGGTTGCAGCTTCGGACAAAGCGAGACGCTCACTAAGCCAGACGCCTCCTCGCAAGGGACGCGCAGCTGCATCAGCTACCGAACGAAAAGGTCCGAAGGAGGCCAGTGTTCCTGCGTTCGCCGAAGCATTGAGGCAGGCTCAAGAGCTTCTTCTAGAGGCACATGCTTCAACTCTTTCAACTGCTAATAGCACGATGGTTCACCGAATTTCGGCTTTGCTCCAGAATACAGTCATTCTTCTTTCCGCCACATCAACAACGCAATCGAAGGTTCTTGCCAGCTCAGGATTTGCTACCTTCTCTGTCGATTTGGCTCGTAATGTCACTTGGAAGCGTGAGCAAAGTACACTCCAGAACAAGGAGTGCCCCAAGGAGGGCGACTCTGAGTTCACTCACACTTCAAGACGAGATAGCCTCGGGCTTACAACCGAGATGGCTAAATTCCAAACAGATTACATCGAGTTAGTACCCCATAAGTGGAGTGTGATTTCCATTTCTTTGAGCGACAACCATCATGACTTGTGCATCACCAAATTCCGAGCAGGTCACAGCCCTTTTATTCTCCGACTGCCGCTCGAGCGTGCCAACTCTCGGGATGCGGACTCGGAGGTCTTCAACTTTGACCATGGAAAAGAGGAGATGATGGAAATCATTCGGCTTGCTAACGAAACAAGCCACTCTGCCAGCCGCGACTTCAGTGTTAAGGGTGCGAAAACTGCATGGTGGGCCGAGCGAGAGGCATTGGACGGACGACTCAGAGATCTCCTTGGCACAATCGAGACAACTTGGCTCGGCGGTTTCAAGGGCATCTTCTCTCAGCACGAGCGTCGACCTGATTTACTCGCGCGTTTTCAAAAGAGCTTTCAGCAGGTCCTCGACACCAATTTACCTTCACGAAAACAGGGCCGAGGCAAAAAAACAACAAAGACATCCAAAGTGTCACTCGACCCGCGAGTGCTCGATCTCTTCATCGGTCTTGGTGATCCCAGTGACCCAGACAGTGATTATGATGAGGCACTCAACGATCTGCTCTATTTCGTCGTCGACATTCTTCAGTTCCATGGAGAACGCAACGCTTACGACGAAATTGACTTCGATGCAATGGTGGTCGAAACCTACGATGCTCTACGTGGTTACTACAATGCTTTAAAGACAGGAACAGACCGAGCAGAAGATGCCCATACAGTGTTGGTATTGGATAAAGCTCTCCATGCTTTCCCTTGGGAGTCAATGCCATGCATGGAAGGTCTCGCGGTTTCGCGTGTGCCTTCTCTTGCTTGTTTACGGCAGCTCATTACAGAATCTCAACCACTTGCGGGTAACGAGACTTCGGAAGATGCGCCCGAGGGTCACTATGTCTCTGCCGAACGAGGAACTTACATCTTGAACCCCTCGACTGATTTGGTTAACACGCAGTCCACTTTTGAGCCAATTATGAAGGGCTTCAGAAACTGGGACGGCATCATTAATCGCGCTCCTCAAGAGTCTGAGTTTGAGAAAGCGCTGTCAAACTCTGAGATACTCCTCTACTTTGGTCATGGAAGCGGAGCGCAGTATATCCGAGCGCGTGCCATCCGTCGTCTCGAGAAGTGCAAGCCAGCAACATTCTTGATGGGGTGTAGTTCAGCATCGTTAACGGAAGCCGGAGAGTTCGAGAACTATGGGCCAGTGTGGAACTACATGATGGCAGGATGTCCAGCTGTAGTAGGCACACTATGGGATGTGACGGATAGGGACATTGATCGGTTCGCGGGCCGATCGTTTGAGGAATGGGGATTGTTGCCCAAGGGCACGTTCAAGGAGGATAAGCGAGGCAAGGGCAAGAATCGGGCCTCGGGCGAGGACGAGACTACGACGAGTGGCTTGGGAGAGGATGGGAAGGTAATGCGCAACGTGTCACTGGCCGAAGCGGTTGCGCGATCCAGAGAGGTGTGTAGATTCAAGTATCTCAACGCCGCTGCGGTGGTACTGTATGGGATCCCGGTGTATATCAAGGACAAAGATGACGAGTAAATAGGGGCGGAGAGTTTAGCATTCGTTGATTGCCCAGGGTTACGAAGCATCTTTAACTGACTGACTAGAAGCAGGGGGCGCAGCATAGCATAGCATGGCGTAGCACAGCATAGCATAGCATAGCATTTCCGAGCGTTTGACGGTTTGAGTCTTGATTCGATTGAAACTAATGAAAGAATTGCACTTTCCAGTAATCAAAGGACTTGGACGGAAACGCGAGTGATAATATATCTGAAAGCACCTATGTAAGGTGTTGTACATTACCTTGACACATGGGCCATTGTTAAGCTTTTCCCAGCAATGATACAACTTCAAATTTGAGGTTCAAATATTCTTTAGCTTTAACCCCTGGCATCGATTGATAGTTTGGTAGGACTGCTTGACCACAACCGGGAGATAACATTTGTGATTGATGCAGTGAAACATCAACAAGGGTTTCAATGCCGCAGTCAAGATCGGGCCATGATTAAAACGGACCGAGGCTCAGACACTTCACATTACCATACTGTGCTGTACAGGTCCAACCGTTAGTGTAAGTGACCTGGGATGGTGGTTGGTCTTTCGAGTTGCTGATTTCATAGGTATGGATGCTGAGCAACCTGGGGATGCTGCGACACCTTCCGAAAGGAGTGTAGGGAGAGACACACATTACCGTACTTAGACTCGAGTTCAGTCTAAATTGGCAGGTGTCAAATTCAAAAAGGCATAGGGTAGGTAAGGTAGGTAGATAATCTGAACATATGCTCACAATTACTGTAGGTACTACGTACAGTACTGAACGTAGCATAGCATCCAATGTCTGCCCGGGCAGTAGGCAGTTGACTAAAGCCGCACAGAGGCGTAGCTTATATTGTCCTGTTTGGGAATGTACAGTACCGTATGTATTCTCCCAGCTGTCAGGTTAGTGACATTGAAGCGGCTCCTTGTAGGGCTTAGGCGAGTTCAAGTGGGTGCAAGGAGCGCGCGTCTGGGATAATTATTAATGACCTAATTTCCTTGATATTCGTCTATTTATTCATCAATCCCACTCCTCACACGCATCTACAATCTCTATCCCACTCATCTACCCATACCTAACCCAACCTATCCTATTCTATCCCACACATCCTTGTACCTTGACTTAGCCTACTCTACAAGTCGCAGTTTCTCATCTCCTCCTGGTCTACATCAAGATGTAGTGCGGTGCAAACACACAAGTGGAAGAGCACAGGTAACATAGTAGCGTTGCGGGCGGAACATGGTATCGTTACGCCCGTCGAGGCATAAGAGAAAGGACAGAATGATTCATGGAACGAGGAACATAGGGGAGGAGAGGGAGAGAAAAAATACAACACCGGGCCGAGAAGACATAAACAACCCATGCGACGTTGTATGGATACAATACTTTACGTATGTCATGACATGCATGCATGTGCGAATGCTGTAGGCACGCTATGGGAGTGAAAGTGAGAACTGTACTACTAATATAAAATGAGACGCGATGATAGATGGTGAGGTTCGAGACCGGATCGTCAGTTCCAAGTTACAGCACGATAACCATGCAAACTATTTAGTTGTATGTATAATGATGATATCCATATCTCTCAGCGAACAATTCGTCTCCATCATCCAGCCCTAACGTTTGGGGGGTATCCATGCCGTGATCCATGATCCATGACCATAATCCATCTTAATTACACTAACTAGGGACTGTACTCAGCATCGCGAGACTGAGAGGTGAGGAACTTTTGGCCCAGCAAGGGATCCATGTATGTGTGTGTTGAAGTCTAGTGTCTGTGCTGAAGGAGAGAGGAGAACCGTTACTTGTCTCGCGATTTTTACTTTTCACTTGTAACGGTCAAGGTATGGGGATGTGTGATGTGCTATTTCCAGATGCAGGTTGGCAGCTAATGAAAGACATGTCGCCTCATTTATCAAGGAATTGGAGCCATGGATAAGTTACTCTACAGTATATGCTTGCTCAGATAGATACTCTCGGGTAGAGTACTAATGTATCAAGGCGACAGACAATAGGTAGCAATACCTTTGCTTTCTGCCCAATTCCCCTATTGCTTACAGAGGTCCATGTAACATAATGACACCTAGTTATTCGGGCTGTAAAGTCTAACCTGCCCTGCTCTACAGTATCTTCAACCGTCCTCGGAAGTTACCGTCAGTTCGACATGGGTGGTGGTAGTTGGAGGACATCCATCCTTGCTGGGATAAACAACGAGATACCCCGTGGTCGACTCAAGTGGTGATTCCAAAGCAACTAAGACTGCAGATCATCTGCACTGGACCGCCAGATGAAGGAACGTTTTTCCCGATAGGTATCGCCGACCCTGCAAGGAGGCATCGTGTTGGAAAGAAAGAGGACAACCGCGGTTGTGACTGCTATATAAAAAGAAACTGCAGACAGACAGACAGATAGATAGACTGGCTAGGTAGGTAACAGAAGAAATATCCTCTCAGACTTAGGTTACAGAAATAAAGCTGCCTAAATGCTAGCCTAAGCTAGCATAAGGTGACCAAATTCTTTCGTCTTTTGTGCTTCCAACGGTCATTTCTTCTGACACCTGCGGACTGGGAAGAACGCCCCGGTACGTATAACAATACCTAATCATAGCCCAATATGAACTGCCACGGTAGTCGCAAGATTAGACCCTGGTAGAGCCCGGCATTTCTCGACTAGTTTCATGCACTTGCATCTGCAGCAAGATCTCTCTCGAGCTGAGGCGGCCTCTTGGTTGTCCAGGCCTGGGCATCATAGACAGACCCAACTATCGTCCAGGCCACGCCCTGTTTTGTTGCGCTGCCTCAAAAAGGCCCGGGCCCGGGGCCCTTGGCAAAACCAGAACCAAGACTGAACTGTCACCTTTCCAGGGTCCCCTGGCCTGCCCGCGTTAGCCTTTCTGTATCCTGCCGCGCCTTGTCTCAGTGAACCCTGACAAGGTGACACCAATCCTAACGCGGGAGTCCCGTTACTGAACCTTTTCAGTGCGTACGAGGAAGATCATGATGCGACGCAATGGTAGCCGTGCGATGCTATGGTGATCCGGATTCCCGTGGGATATCAGCTCAGCAGTGGGAAACTTAGATCAAACCAGAAGGTCAGCACATGTCAATAATCTTAGCAATGCCTTTTTCTCTTACAAGGAGATGCTTGAGTCTCGTTTCCCCCGGTCGCATTCTAGTTGCAGTTGCAGTGCATTTTCATATGAACATCATAATAACATGCCAACAAAGGTGTATCCGCATCCATCAGGCCTTTAATCAAGTCACCGACTCAGCTCGCTCTTAGGCTCCTTTAGCCTTGTAGGGATGTTCCGCGTCCATGGAGCGCAGGTGCTGTGCCGTTTGAGGTACGGGGGTCCCTTGATGAGCGGAGGTTCCTCCTTTGGCATACTTTACTTTGCTTTACTTTACTTTGCTTTACTTTACTTTGCTGCGTTGGTTGTGCTGTGCTTGTGATGTTTCTTCTTTCCTCTTTGCTCTACGGATACCTACCTACCTATCATGGGGAAGGAGGGGAGAAGGAACGATGTACCTACCTATTGGAACTTGGAAGGAGGCAATGAGATGAAGATTCGTTTATCTCAATCCAACCTTCTCCCAACAATAAAAATTGATAATTTATTTGTCCTATACAACATCAACCTCAATAATGGTTACATCAATACAAGGATCAATGCAGTACGTATGTATGAACAGTACAGTACTGTTTATTACTACCTATTCAGAGATATCCATCCTTGGGCAATCGTTTATTACACAATGACATGGACTCATCAACCACATCACGTCACCCCTACCTACAACTGTTGCCAACGTTCCTACCTGTATCCGTAGGGGACTCTCTGGCACCTTAGTAGTACCTACCTACTGTACGGATCCGACTGGTTCCCACTACCCGCCTCCACCGTGTTTTCGAGTAGACGGCTCCACCACATCCATACAGCATGGCTGGTTTTGACAACCATCCATTGTTAACTATCTAATTTATTAGCTGCTAGACATCCATGAAAGAGGTAGGCAAGAGGAGAAAAGGCAACAAAAAGACGGCAGCCCCAATGAAATTCAATCCATTCGAGACTTGGTTAAAGCCAACCTCCGTGTCTAGGTCGAATATCAAAGACGCCTGCCTACCTTAGTACATTGGATGTTAGTTGTTGTAGGTATGCCTCTACCCCACAGCCACACCCACTCCTGGGCCGTGCGCTACAACCTACTCACTAACCTACCACCCTACTAACCTATCGTGATCACTGCTTTTGATTTTCTATCTACTTAACGACAAAAGGTAAACGGTCCCCACACCACACTCCTGGATGTCGAACCCCCAGTTTCCACGACTCAATCATTTTCCTTCCGCTCAGCCTCCGATTCTTCTTCTCTCTTCACTTTCAAAATAACCACGACCGTCCAATTTGCAACTACCCGAACGGGCGACCGCTTGTCCCCGCGAAACCTTAAGTCACGGCCTGAGTCGACACCCATTGCATCACCTTCACCTTCGTGACAGTTCCAAACTCTCTCCCGCCAACTCCTCCGCCCCAGCTGGGGCGCCGACTGTCCCCAGTTCCAGTGCGGGGAGCCACTGACTACATACGTACCCGTTACTTCTCCATAAACTCCCCGGACGACTTCGGGTCACCTCAGTTCAACGCTCTTGCGCCGCAGCAGCAACGTTTTGAGCTGCACAACAGCGGTACATGCTAACGTCCTTAAAACCTTTATTTTTTCTCAGTCGGACTCTATTCGCAACCCATTAGCCCGTGCCTGTTCTAGACGTTCTGCACCACCGTCGTCACGGTCCGATAGATTTGTTTCCCATCGCCAAATTCTCGGCCGCGGAAGGCTCCGCGTCACAACTCTTGTCTCTAGCAGAGTCATGTCCGGTCGTGCCGTTTTGAAACCTCAACATGCCCAGCCATCCTTCGATTCCGGACCCCAACTCTATCGCGACGTTCCTGAATTGCACCCTACGCCTTCTCCCTCTCACGGCGCCTTGATGGATACCTCACATTTTGACGATTTTTCCTTTGCTTATCAAGGTCTTCCTGACCAATCCTCTCTCGTTCCTCTCGCAGATCACACCCACGCTTCGCAGTCTCCTACCGCGTTCCCTCAACATCAAGCCATGTCCGGCCTTCCGCACGCTGGTCTACCGTTTGGCGCTCTCCCTCCCGGTAACCGAAGCCAGAGCATGGAAGGTTCTGAAGTTATCCCAGATCGGATCTCCCCCGCATCCAATGCCCTCGAAGATTCTACCACAGATGAGTTCGGCCTGGCTTCCCGTAATCGTGCAGATGGAACAGATCTGGGCGGTAAACCCAAGGAAGATAGAGCTGATGCCACGCCTGCATGGAGCGAACTTAAAACGAAGGCCGGTAAAGAAAGAAAACGCCTCCCGCTCGCCTGCATTGCATGTCGCCGAAAGAAGATCCGGTGTTCGGGCGAGAAACCCGCTTGTAAGCATTGTTTACGTTCACGAATCCCGTGTGTCTACAAGGTTACGACTCGGAAGGCTGCGCCTCGAACAGACTACATGGCTATGCTTGACAAACGACTGAAGCGTATGGAAGAACGCATTATCAAAGTCATACCCAAGTCAGATCAGGAGGTTGCGTCATCGGTAACTCGTGCCGTGGTAAAACCGGCCATACCAGGAACTGTGCCTTCGAATAAGTCAACTAAAAAACGTGGTGCTGAGGAAGCGTTCGGCCCTGATCTGGAGGCTTGGGCGAAGGCGCCCTCGAAGCCCAAAATTGACGGGGACGACAGGCCGAGCAGCTTGCAAGTGCAGGAAGCCGAAGAGAACAAATTGCAACATGAGGGAACCGATGCACTTCCACCCAAGGAGATACAGGAACATCTTGCTGAAGTTTTCTTCGATAACATATACGGCCAGTCTTACCATCTTCTGCACAAACCAAGCTACATGCGAAAGCTGAAGTGAGTTCGTCTAGTTTTTAGCCTTTATCCACCACTGACTTATTCCTTCTTTCCACAGAAATGGCACACTGCCCCCGGTGCTCGTTCTTACAGTGTGTGCTGTAGCAGCCCGTTTTACTTCAAACCCTCTGGTGAGTTCCTCAGGACCAGAGTTCTTGCGCGGTGAAGAATGGGCATCGCATGCTCGTGATATCTGCACCAGGCGCTACGAATGGCCAAATCTCACAATCTTGACATGCCTTCTCATTCTCGGCCTGCACGAGTTTGGAACATGTCAGGGCGGCCGTAGCTGGGCGCTGGGTGGGCAAGCCATCCGGATGGCCTTTGCTCTCCAGTTGCACAAAGATTTGGAATACGACCCTTCAGGTCGCAGCGGTGCCAAGAAACAACTGAGCTTTATTGACCGGGAGATCCGACGACGCATAATGTGGGCTTGTTTTCTCATGGATCGCTTCAACTCCTCCGGAACAGATCGACCTATGTTCATACGGGAAGATACTATTCAAATTCCACTGCCGGTCAAAGAGAAATACTTCCAGTTCGACATGCCTGCGCCTACGGAGATGTTAGACGGGCAGGTGCCTCATCCAGCATCTCCCAACGACGGGCAGCTTGCCGACGCACGAGAGAATATGGGTGTAGCAGCCTATCTGGTCAGGGCCATTGCCTTGTGGGGACGCATCATAACCTACTTGAGCCAAGGAGGAAAGGATTTGGACCCAAATCCAATGTGGGAGGATGAGTCCCAATACGTCAAGCATCTCAACGATGTTGTCAACCTTGAAGCCAGTCTGCCCTTAACACTTCGATACTCCACAGAGAACCTTGAAGTTCACAAGACAGAGAACACGGCAAGCCAATTTCTCTTCATGCATATCTGCCTACAGCACAACATCCTCTTCGTGAGCCGGGCCGCTATGTCTGCACGAAAGCAGCAGGGCGTACATGACGATTTCTTTTCTGAAGCAAGCAAGAGAACGTTCAATGCGGCTAATCGAATATCAGAGCTCCTACGAGAGGCTGAGCAGTCGCGATGTTTTGTCTCCGCCCCGTTTGCAGGCTACTGTGCGTTTTCCTCGACAACAGTGCATATTCTGGGCATCATTTCCCGCAATCCCTCTATGAAACCCACTGCTGAGGCCAATCTGACCACTAATGTCAAATATCTTCACAAAATGAAGAAGTATTGGGGCATGTTTCATTGGATGGTGGAAAATGTTCGCACGCAGTATCGAAATGCTCTGGACGCTGTGCGAGCTGGCGCAAATGTCAACGAGCGCGCTACGCAGTCGTCTTTCCTTCAATATGGAGACTGGTTTAACCGCTACCCGAATGGCCTTTCTGACGCCGAATTTATGGATCCTGCTACTCACAAGCGAAAAGATTCAGGAGCGGACGGTGTTCTCGAAGCTAAGCCCGAGCTGCAATCGGTAGAGGAGTATTTCTCCACGCTCCCAACACCACAAAGTGTTGAGAACAAGGATAATACCCGTGCAGCAGCACCGAAGCGAAAGCAGGGTAACAAGAAACAAACAGGTATACCAGCACAGCCTGGCCAACCTATCGATCCTTTACAGGGTGCAGATTCCGATGTGGCATCTGTAGGGGGTCAAGAACGCCGTTTCTCGGGTGCTTTAGGTTTACAAACTGCCAGTGCTGCTGGCTTCAACCCTCTTGCAGTCTCTAACCCGCAGAGCCAAGCCTTCAGCACTGCAATGTCACCCATGAGCCCTGCCAACATGAATGCCTTTTCCCACCACGGGCACACGCCGACCTTCTTCCCGCCTGAGTTACTGGCTATGAACTTTGGGCAGGGCTCGAACGGAAACATTGACCCTCTAGATCGCCAGCTTGTTTTTGGAGGATACTCAATGGATGTTGGCACCGGCATGAGCCATGGCCACGATATGATGGGTGGCATCGACTGGGATACGGTTGCTTCGGGCGCTCAACCGGAGGAAGACATGCAAGCTCGTCGGTCTAATGTGAAGACAAACATGAATGCACAAGGAGCTGGCATGGCCGATGGGGCAGGGTTGTCTGGACCTGAGGCATCCTCCGCATGGTTCATGCCTTTCAACATGGAGCCTCCAGAGATGGGCCAAGAACCCGGCTTCAACATGGGAGGTATCGACCCATTCACTGGAGTGTTCGGTGCCGGAGGAAGCGGTCTGGCAACACCGAATGCAATGGGCGGGCTACAGCAACAGGGCCCTTAGGGAGGACTGTCTGGTAGATCAACCCGAATGATACCATGTTCTCGGGGGTCTTCTCGCTCAAAAACCTAAAGTCGAAAGGTACTGATCTTGATGCTACAATCAGCAATGTAACTTGGTAGGGCATTTCATCACCGAGTGTCATGGATCCTGGGGAAGTTTCTCTTCACTACTTTGTGTTATATTGTCTCTTTATTTAAGTTTGGGGGTTGTAGTAGGGTAAGGCTTGGATGTGGTTGGGTATTGGCGAAGAGGCACATTGAAGTTCGCAAAGCGATTATTGTTGGACATGTCATCTTAACATCGGGACGGAAAGTTGTGTTTTCAGCACTTGAGATACCATCATACCCGTCAGCTCATTTGGAGATGAGCTGACATTCGTTTATCATGAGATGAGATAATTCAACTTCAAAATTTCAAGATTCATTTGCATTAACTCAGGTTTAATATGAATGATTATGCTTTTGTAATGTACCTGATCATAAGGAAACCATACCTAGATATACAACATTGAACGCCTGGTTTTCTTTTTCAACTATGTTAGCGCAGTGGTATCTCGCTCAAAACCTCTCCAGAGAATTCTTCTACTCTTCCGCTGCCACAGCGGCTGAAGCATTCTTCTTGCCCTTGGACCTCTTTCGCTTCTTCTTTCTCTCGCCCACATCACCAACGACGTTGTCCTCTTCCTGCCCATTATCCTTCTTCTCCTTTCTCTGTCTATCACCCTTAGGCTGGATGACAGCACCGCTAGCCTCATCGTCGGCAGTGGCCAAACGCTCGAAGCCATACGTAGGGCCCTCGCGCTCGAATTCCCTGCCAAAGATGTCGCGACGCCATTGTCTTAGACGGGCCTTCTTTCCAAGACGCTTTTTGTCTTTGCGCTTCTTTTCTTGATCGCGGAAAGTGGCAAGCTTCTTGAGACCAGCGTAATCGTTGAGTGCAGCGTCAGAAGGAGCCAGTAGGATATCCCGGGCAGTCATGCCAAAGGATTGAGGAGAGGTTTCGCGATAGCGGAAGGGTGCGTGGGAGGGCTTCTTGAGAAGAGCATGGTCAGAGAGTTCAAGTTTGGAGTCAACGAGAGCCTCGATCTTGGCACGCTCCTGACGAGCCTGCTTCTGGGACTCTTTGCGAGCCTTCTTGTGATCTGTCTTGCGCTTCTTGGAAGGTCGGCCTTCTTCGTCCTCCTCGTCTTCATCCTCTTCGGCGGCATCTTCCTCGATATCGCTCAGGGCGACGCTTGGCTTCACTTCCTCATCCTCGAAGTCCGGAATGATGTCCTTAATGTCGATATCGTCATCCCACTTCGGCTTCTTGGGCTTTGACTTCTTTCCCGTATCCTCTCCCTCTTGATCCGATACAGGGGCATCGTCCTTTTGAGCATAGTAATCATCACCGAATCGCTTCTTCATCTCGTCTTCCCATTTGTCGTCCTCCCATGCATCGTCGAGGAACTTGATCCAGTCCTCGTCAGTAAGATCCTTGCCTGCGTTGCCAGCTGTGCGCTTGATCTTGCGCAACTTCTCCTGAGCCTCATCAAGCTTGAGCTTCTTCAGACGAGCCTTCTCTTCTCGCCTCTCCTTTTTCTCAGCCTCTTTGCGCTCGCGTTCAAGCTCACGCTGACGCTTACGTCCAGTCTTCTCCTCTCGCCTGACTGACTTGGCTGCGGCAACATCTCGAGCATAAGATCGTAGGAATTCGTTGCTTCGCTCTGGGTCCTCGAATCGCAGGTTATATGCCTGTTCAAATTGATCGGCGCGGTCATCATCATCCTCTCCTTCGTCTGACTCGAATGCTTTCCAGTTGGAACCATCTGGCGGGACCCACGCGCGTGCACTCATGAAATTTGACAAGAAAGTCTCGGGGTTCTTATCGGCGTTGGCAACATCGACTTCGGTGACAGTCAGTGCCGCCTTTCGAGAGGGATGGACACCGTTCGAGTCCACCTTTACGGATGCTTTTCGCTTCATAAAGCCACCATCCTCGTCATCGGAGTCGTCCTCGGCGGCGGCATGCATTTCAGCCACGATGGACTTCTTGAGAGCGTCTTGTTCTTGGTTGTAGGTCATGGGAACATCTCCGTCGTCATCTGCATCGTCGGCACCCGTATCGCCCCGCAAGTACTTCTCTCGGTGGTAATCCTTCAAGTATACTGGCTTCTCCTTCTTGTCCTTGTCGGCCACTGTCGCGGAAGGGTCGTCGGGTTTGTAGAATGTGACATCTTTGTCGTAGACTTTAGGGTCCTTGTTGCGGATAGCTTGGAGAGTTGCAGAGATTTGAGCATCGAGATCCTCGGTAGCGAGAAAACCATCCTCGTCTTCCTCTTCGTCGGATGAGGAAGACTCGCCGTCTTCGTCCTCAGGCCGTTTTCCGGTCTTCTTGAACTTCTCCTCCAACCTTTGTCGCTCTTCTCGCTTCTTGTTGTGTTCGAAGCGACGCGCAAAGTCCTCGTTGACCTTGAAGTCAGGCGCAGTAATGGCAGCCCCTCCATCTTCTGATTCGGAGTCGCTATCATCGAGGAGGTTCCGCTTGGAATTTTTGGGTTCCTCTGCGGCTTTCGCCATGATGCCTTGATGAGTTCAAAAGCAAGTTATCAGAGTAAACGTGAAACTCGCGCAATGGTAGGAGGGGGGAGACAAAAGTGTCCAAAATATAAGACAGTATTAAGTCAAGGCTATATCTTCTTCAAAGACGAAGACCCAATGAGAGCTTGCTTGCGCTTTCCTCAACTTTTTTTTTTTCTGCCGTTTGAAATTTGGCGGGGAGACGGAACTCGGTCATATATTGACCCGAAGGATGTCCAGCTGTCAACAATGGTCCACTCTTTTCTTAGCAGCTTCGAGTGGCCGTCCGGCTACATGTGGCTTCGTCATCAGGGAAGCTGGCCAACCAACGCCACTGAAAGTACAGCACCTAGAGACGCAGGAAACCACCTGGAACCCACCGCTACCGCTTCCGCTACGATGGACTTCACCTCAACCTATTCCATGTACTGTAATTCTACTTAGTTCACTGACGTCGCGTCTTTACCTCCTCCACTCCAGGCAACTTTCATCAAGCCTACTTCGTAACTCCTGACATACCACTCCTTCCAAGAACTTCCAAGTATCTCTTGTCCGTCCTGGGTGACGATATTACCGTTTCATTTGTCTGCTCAGGCCTTGGCAAACCAATCTATCAACTTTAACCTCATCTCCGAGCGATCCCGCGACCATGGCCGATTCTGCCAACGCTCCCAAGCCCAGCAGCAGCGTCAAGCTGGTGCTTCTCGGTGAAGCTGCCGTCGGAAAGGTACGTTTGCTGCGCCTCTTTTATGTGAAGTTCTTCGTCAACATACTAATTGAGTTATAATAGTCGTCTCTCGTGTTGCGCTTCGTTAATAACGACTTTCAAGAAAACAAGGAGCCTACTATTGGTGGTATGTATCCTCTTGACTTTCCCTTAGCATACCATCATTGACAAGGGCATCAACAGCTGCTTTCTTGACCCAGAAATGCAATCTCCCGACAAGGACAATCAAGTTTGAGATTTGGGATACCGCTGGTCAAGAACGATTTGCCTCCCTGGCTCCCATGTACTATCGAAATGCTCAGGCCGCTCTAGTCGTCTACGATCTCACCAAGCCCACGTCCCTCATCAAAGCCAAGCACTGGGTCGCTGAGCTACAACGACAGGCTTCTCCCGGTATCGTTATCGCATTGGTAGGCAACAAATTGGATCTTACGGGCGATTCTTCCGGTACCGCAGATGGCGAGGAAGGGGATGAGGGTGATGACTCTGGCGATGCCCGCAAAGTGCCTACAGAAGAGGCGCAGGCATACGCGGAGGAGGAGAGTTTACTTTTCTTCGAAACCAGCGCCAAGAGCGGACATAATGTTACTGAGGTATTCACTGCCATCGCAAACGCGATACCTGAGACATCGTTGAAGAGCGCGAGGGGAGCTGGCGCATCAAATGCTGCTAGCCGGGGAGGAGAAGAGCAAAGAGTGAATCTTGGAGGTCCCAAGGACGTTGGCGCTAAGGACAGCTGCGCTTGCTAGACAAACTTGAAAGGAGACATGCATTGTTGGTGAGAGGATGAAGTGGGAGGTACAGATGACGAATTGTTTTCGTAATGTACGTAATTCTGCCCTTTTCCTGCGAGTCGGTTGCTTGGGAACGATGCCGAAGAGAGCATCTGGGAGTTGATTATGTGTTTTTGCTTGTTACTACTACCTAGCAATGTTTTGTTGCGGCTTGAATGGGCAATTGGCTGTTACGTCCAAGTCTCTCATGATAACAACATTGTGTGACTGCTGTGAATAAAGATGGGACATATCCGTATGCAGCGAGACATCGACCAAGATATGTGTCTCTCTATCTATGTAAGTCGAAGCAACCAATGCCATCTACAATTGTACGAATTCTACCTAGGTATCGTTGGTTGTCTACATGCATGTACTGTACCTATGGATATGACGCTGGCTCATAATGGAACTCTACTAACCTACCTATCCCATACGATCGGGTCTATGGACCACGTGACTTTTCAAGGTTCCTCGGTTGATGATTGGACGACGCTATGATATGCTATGCGAGGTAGGGAAAGTTCCATGCTTTGAGGCTCGTCAGGGTATCAGAAATATTGACAGCCGAGAAAATAAGAGACGAAATGGTTTGGTTATTTATTTGAGTTTAGGTACCTAGCTACTATAGGTAGTAGGCAAGTTAGATGGGCCATTATGCTAATCAATTGACTTGTACGGATAAAGGATACCTTCTTCTGCTACCTTAGGTACCTAGGTACCTACCTACTAGTATATACAGGTTGTACTAAGGTACCATTCTAGGTGCTACCGGTAAGGTAGAAACTTTGCACTTTGGTCCCACTCTTTCTTTTTTCTCGCGATTGCCAGTTGCTGTTAGCCTTTGCGTCAGAAGCAAAGCAAAGCAAAGCAGACCTGGTTTGGGGTTTTCTCTTTATTCTACTCAATCCTTCTTTTCCTTTCTCTCTGCCTGGAAAGTTGAGTTGAAAGAGCGTATCTGCATTAGTACAGTATTTTATCACTTCTATAATTCATTCTTTCTCATACCTACCTCCACACGTGTCGCCAATTGAACGCAGCAGTGACTGTGTCTCTGTTGCACCAGGCACTACCAAAATTCGAGCGGCCCTGCTGCATCCAACTTCCTTCTCATCTTTCTCTTCCCTCCTCTTTTCCTTCCTACCCGCGCAAAACCTTCTCATGACGCTTCCGCGGTTGTCTTAGGCTTTGCCCTTGGTTTCGAGGCTGTTATCGAGATTTCGCAATGGCGTCAACAATCACAGAAGCTCAGGCGGAGCTGATTCGGTTTGTTACACGAGTATGATCCAGCGCGCCAGCAACCAAACTAACATGTTCTTGTAGATCTCTCTCCCCCGACGATATTCCCATCAAGTTGCGATGCGCGATCTGTAGTAAGCTTGCAGTGAACGCCTTTCGTCTTCCCTGTTGCGAGCAGGCGATCTGTGAATTATGTACGCGACCTTTTAAAAAGTTTCCCACGCAGGAATGTCACTAATTGCGCCAAGGTCAATCCAATTTACCCGTATCATGTCCTGTCTGCGAGCACTCGCCCTTGTCCGCCGAAGATTGCAATCCGAACAAATCGTTGCGGACTACAATAAGAGTGTTCCTGCGCACTGCAGAAAAGAAGCGCGAAGCGAGCCGACCGAAGGAGGCTAAAGACTCGGAGCCTGCAACGCCCGTTGAACCAACGAAGCAAACCCTCACAGCTATCGAAACATCTGTGGCCGAGATATCGTCAGAACAGAACTCGGGGGTGGACGCGACATCTGGCCAAGTCGATGGCACCGATAACGTTGATGAAGGCCCTCTTGCTCAGTCCTCTATTCAGGTACGTATAAATCACTGGTATACATGTTAAAGGTCGTGCTTCTAACAAATTGTAGGACAATCCTCATGATGGTACTCCTGCCCCTGATGGCCCCGAACATGATGAGGCAGGTGATAATCAAAACGCGACTACGGGAGACAGTGCAGAGGAGGCAGGCGTTGAGAATCCTGACGAGGAGGCTCTAACGAAGCAGGATGTCGTAGGAGACGCAAACGGCGAAGGCGAAGGCGAAGGAGACGAGAACCAACAAGGAGACGACGATAACGAGGGGATCCAAGAAAAGCCTGACTCGGAATCCACGAATGGAAACTTTCCAAATGGCAGTTTCTCCGGCTCCAATGATTTCAACCAGATGCAGATGATGATGGCTATGCAGAATGGTATGGCGCCGAGCTCTTTCGGCGGCTTCCCCATGATGGGTAAGTTGTGATAACATGTACTTGGCTGGATGACAAGTATACTAACTTGCTTAAAGGTATGCCGGGCATAGGCATGGACCCGATGACGATGCAGAGCATGTACATGAACGGTGGCTTTCAAGGCATGGGCATGAACGGCATGGGTGGCTTTGGGGGTGGATTTGGCCAAGGCTCCAATAATAACTGGAACGGTTCTCAATCGTGGAATTTCGACCAGAATAATTACAATCAAAATGGCCCTGGTGTGGCAACAGGTGATTTTGGAGGCTTTAACTCAGGATTCCAGACAGGATACAATCAAGGTAATTATGGTCAATTCAGTGACTATCGTCGCAACAATTTCGGACGTGGTCGAGGCCGCGGCCGTGGTTACTACGGAGGCTACGGCCGTGGAGGTTACCAATTCGGAGGTAACACCCACTATCAGGATCAAGGTCAATTCTCTCAGTACGGATCCAGTCAGAATGGCCAGAACAGTATCGATCAGGATGGCCAGCAAGTGGATGAAAATGGCCAGCCTATTCAAGGGGACGGTACTGAAGGGGGTGATGAGACGAAGATTTCAAGTGCTGGACAAGCTGATGGATCCGGTGAGGCCACGGGCAATGAGGCGTCTGGCGATGCTTCCTCCATAACACCTAACATGGGAACTGGTGCTTCCGTTATTCGTCCAGTTCCAGCTCCAGATGTTCCGTTTAATGCACCTACGGGCCCCAAAGCTATGAGGCAAGGTCTTCCTAACACAAGTCTTCATCATCTTCGAGCGCGTGGGTATCAGGTGGGAAGCGAAGCTCCGCCCGGCAAGCTGACTCCTTCAGCAAAGGACAGCCCAGCCGAGCGAGGCCGGTCCAGGAGTAACTCTTTGGCCCCAAGCCGTGCTGGTACAGATGTTCACGAGAAAGATAAGGATCACGAGTCCCAACGTGAGCATAGCAAAGACCGATCTCGCGATCATGACAAACGCGATAGAGCATCTGATGACCGCTACCATGATCAAAACCATACGGGATCAGCGTCTCGAACTGTCAGCAGGAGTCGTAGTCGGAGCAGAGGGCATAGAAGCTCTCGACGACGTAGACGTTACCGCTCAGAGTCCCTCCAGGATGATATTTACGATGATGTTTCCCGGCGCAAGAAGCATCGAAGCCGACGTCATTACTTGGACGACGAAGAATCCTCTCGTTCCAAGGATAAGGACAAAGACAAGGACGAAAGATATACTGATCGAAACCGCTCCACGTCACCGGCAGAGTCCAAACGATCCAGCCACCGCAGCCGCCGTGATAGAGACTCGGATAAGCGAAAGGATCGAGAGAGGGACAAAGACGACCATCGTAGTGATGATCGCAAGAAATCCAGCCATCGCTCCTCGTATCGGGACAGGGACTATGATCGCGAGCGTCGTCGAGACAAGGACAGAGATCGTAGCGACAAAGACCGTAAAGACCGTAAAGATCGACATCGGGATAGGGACCGACGCGATCGCGACCGGGAAAAGGACAGGGACCGTGAAAGTCATCGAGAGCGCGACTCGAAATATGGCAGCAAACACCAATCGACTGATGCCGGAGCTGCTTCCAACGATAAAGACATGAAGCATGCCTCGGGCACTCGCAGCAACGACGCAAAGCCCAGCTCACTTAGTCGAACCGAGAGCTCAAGCAAAGATCCTCACACCCTCGAACGTGAAGCTCGCGATCGAGAACGTCTGCTGAAAGAAGCGCAACGCATTGCAGGCATGACAGGTTGGAAGCGTAATCGTGGTGATGATGGCGTCGACACGGGCTCACGCAAAGGACGCCGAACCGCATCTTCAACATCAGCTCGTCGAAGTGAGGTCATCAACGGCGGTGACGAGGAGGAAAGAATGCGAAGACTCGAAGCAGAAAGAGAAGGCGATCGATGGGGCTAGAAATCCCAGCGCTCCCTGAGGAAGGTTTCCAAAGCACGGCGGGGGTAAGGACATGCTCGGTTCCCGCTACTCCCCCTCCCCCTTTTTTTTCTCCCCCCCCTCTCGCTTTACTGCTCGTTCTGTAACTTTGCGAGACCGACGTAGGGTTTCTTTTCATCACTATCAGGTGCTGGTGGTTGACGCATACCATATGGCACTATGTACGAGTAACAAAAAAAATAAGGGAAAAGGCGGTTGCATTCAAAAATCATACACATCTATTTATCGGTACACCAGCTTGGGTGCTGCTGAGAAGAAGGAACGAGGCAGAAAAAAACATGCATTGGAACAAAAGACCGGCGGGTGCTTGCTTTTATGTTTCCGCAGGCATCATGCGTAGTATTTTTAATCAAGTCTTGAATCAGAAGGCCATTTTTCCAAAGTCTTGTCCTCTCCAAGCCGTGACTTAATCTGAGCATACGACATGACATCTAACTAATCTACGGGATGACAGCGGACCGCAAAGTGATGCTTTGAGCAGGGCAGGTCAATGAGCCATTACTTGAAAGCTGAGAGGGAGGGCGGCCGTCAACCGTGATAGAAATATATACGGACATCATCGCAGCAGGCTTTCAATTGCTATATCAATTCCTGCTCTATCTTTGCTGCAACCCCTAGCCCGCGACGGGGAGAACTTCGCCTGTCTGTACTTCTGTTTAGAATGTGGGTGTAGTTCATCAGTTGTCATTTATAAAACTCGCATCAAAATATGTCGGCGATTCAGCCATGTCTATCATCCGCAACGCCATCTCATATGTCCCCGAATTTATCCATATGCAACATCTAGCTCTCCGTTATTGTTTTCCTCACGAATTGAATCCGGTCGATGCCTGCCTGCTTGCCAAGTCTTGACCATGCCCAACTTGTCTAATATATACCTTGCGTGCGATATTGAAAAGTGTCATAGCTGGCAATGCGTCAGTAAAGTCTAAGAAATCAGGTGTGGGCAGTTGCTTACAGTCGAGTGTAGTAGCTACCGAATGATTTCGCGACAAGATCGTCCACAAAATGTTCGGCTTCATCTGCACTCAGATGAAGTTGGAATCTTTGCCGCAGAGTATTTGTAACTTGAGCAATGCCAACTGCGAAGCAAGGCATGCTGGAATCGTGTCCCATCATCGTTACTAAATCGATGATGTTATCTGCTGAGCGACGTAGAGCTACAAGAAATGTTAATCGTGTTTTCTCTTATAAGTTCATTGAAACGACTCGCCTTGGAAAGCTTGCTTGCAAAGTCTCTTGTAATCCTCAAAATCGGAGGACGTGGGTCCGCCCAAAACATCAACATACTCATGAGTGAGTTTGAATGGAGCAGCTTCAAAACCAACTGAGCCGGGCGAGTTAGAAAGCATGAATCCAAAGTCGATATGAATAATATGACCCTCGCTATCTACCAGCACATTGCCATTATGCCGGTCTTTGAGTTGCAATACATAGGAAATGATGCTGTATGCCGCCAGCGATTTCTTGAATGCATTAACCCCAGCACGGAAATCTTTGCTCTCTGGTTTACCGAAAGCTTTGAGGAAATGATCTCTCAAAGTCGCTATACGATTGCGTGGGTTTTGGCCCGACTCGACAGAAGCCAGCGTAAGACTTCGTTTCAGTGAGTGTAGAGACACGCCACTCGTGATGGTTTCAATGAGACCTGAGGACTCGCCTGTCACCAGGATACGCATACGTTTTACCCAAACGTCAGTGCCAGCATCAACCCAAATCTTGTGGCACACGTCGATAAGCTGACAAGCGAATGCCTCTTGTCGAAGATCCGCGCCTGTCTTGACGATAACGCTCACCAGATCCCAGTTTTTCATCCAACCATAAGGTGAGGATTTGCGAATTCGTTCCTTCTTAGCCTCCCAGGCCTCACCAAAGACGGCCGCACTAGGGTCGTCGCGATCACCACGACGTTGCACACCACCAGTTTTGATATCGTTCTCCATCCGTTCACGACCTGCGCTGGCATTGAGATTAGGGTCGATTTGAGCATCATCCTCCAAATCAGGGTTATTTGCGGGGATCGGAGTTGTGCTAGCTTTGGCGATAATGGTGTCGAAGGTTGGGCCTTGTTCATCAACATCAAAGCTCTTTTCTTCGAGACTCTGCATACTAGCGATGATTTTGGCTCTGATAGCAGCCACCTCCTGCTTTGGACGTTTTCCGCTGGTAGCCTCGAGCTGTGCAAGCATCTGAGACGCTGTTCGCATGTGCGTTGCTAGCGCAGAGAAATCGGGCTGGTCAGCGGGTGCGCTTCGCTGTATTGGAAGGGTCATCCTTCGCGAAACAGGTCCTGGGCTATTGGATCTCGATGTTCCTGTGCCAGATGACAGCGGCGTTGTCAAGTCCAAGGTCGAGGTAGATGCTGTAGCTGCGCCTGCGAGACGCTGGGCATTCTGACTCTGTGCAGGCTTAGAAGAAACCCTGACTGGTGACTCGTCGATACCCTTGAGTAGTGGTGAACTTCCAAGATCGCCGGAAGCGGGTTCAAAAACACTATCCAATGCAGGTTCGGGAGCTTTGACGGTGGGTGAGAGGCGAGGCGAGTCAGAAAGATCAAATATTCGCTTCGCTCGAGATGTGCCACCAAGGAGAGTGTTCAGAAGTCGGTAGTTCTCGGGCGTATCAGGGTCAAAGGAGAAATCGTCTCTCAAAACTTCCACCATGATCAGATAGGGAACCTTCTCGGCGCTGTTGAGCACTGTCGCTTCGGCGGGGTTCACGCGTACGATACGATGGTGCCGGCTCTTCCCAGGTGATCCATTGACCAAGGTAGGGGGGCATATAACCGGGATGTCAACCTCAGCTGGCAAATCCTGCGATATCAAGGCCAGCTCTGCCCGAAGGGCACTCATTCGAGCGGGTTTGGGAACCAGCACTAGTCGATTCGAGATACCCTCCAAAGCCGTCAAAAATTGGGTTTGCGACCTAAAATAATGCTGTCTCAGGAGTCTCGTTTTCTGCACTGGGGACAGGTCATTAACAGCGAGAATCGCCTTGGCATGATGCGAATGTCTCCTACTAGAGTTATCAGTCGGACGTTGCGTAGGACCTGCTGAGATTGGAGTTGTCGGTCTTGTTGGAGGTTGAGCAGACGGAAGTGGAAGAGAAGATGTGCTGAGTTTGGCTCCTTCCAACGATCTCAACTCAAGAGCAGACGGCCGAGTGGTGTTTACTGGTGTTTTCGACCTCTGGGGTGGGAGGATCGCTGGCGGCGGTTGTGGACTACGGGCAGACTTGGGTGAAGAGTCCCTAGATCCTTTAGGGTCGGGCGCACTGAAGGTACGAGTACCGTCTCTGGCGCGTCTAGATCGTGAGTTTCCTGCTGTGACCGTACGTGCCCTTGCCGGCTTGGAGTTCTCCTTCGGTTCCTGTGCGTCATTGTTGGCTACAGGTTGTGGCTTGCGAGCCTGGGCAACTGCGAGAGGGCCAGCCCACTGCGGAAACATCGGCAGCGCAACACTGGCAAGTACAAAACTGGAGAGGACAGTGACGGGAAGTACATTCTCGGTTATCTTCTCATGCCGAGCGGTATCGGCAAGCCCAAAGACAATATGCTGGACCTTGTTGTATACACGGCGACATGTCTGGAACGAGTCGGATGAAGGATTCGACGATAGATCGTGGAGGTATGTCTGAAATAGCCAGAAAGTCTGCGCATGCGCTTGTCAGCACCGTAATCTTTTGGGCAATGATTCAATTTAACGACGTGATTCCCATGACGCGGTGGCTCGCGCATTCCATGCCAAAGATTGATTTGAGTTGAGCATCATCGCACGTACCAACAGCGCAGCTGTGACTGATTCTTCGCACAAATCCAACAAAAACTCCTCCAATGCCATTGACTCATTGTGGACGCTGATTATGAGGTGGCATAGCTGCGGCAGAAAGAACTCGATGTCCTCGTAGGGAAACTGGCGCAGCTTCTGGCAGAGGACATAATGAATCCCCACGTGGTCGGCGTAGCGGCTGTTGCGACGGGTGGCATTAGCGATTGGCGAAGTCGGAGGCGGCGGAAGAAGCGAGGTGATCGAGTAGAGATACAATTGGTATCGACACTCGGCAGATGTGCGTGCAGGGGTTTGTAGAGAACTCACGAGAGGTATGAGACGGGGAGAAAGGGGTTGGAGTTGAAGACGTCGGACTCAAGGAACCTCTGAAGCAGGTCCCACGACATTGGTTTACGCGGGGGAGCGAGCGCCGGTAAGGGACAGCTGGCGGTTCGTCATCTAGGTTTTGCACAAGAACTGGAAAGAACGAGGAAGTGCTCCTAATCTATGGGGGTTAGGAGAGCTGGGAGTTGACGCTGCAGCGAGAGGACGAAATCAAGAGGCCATTCATATGGATGTGACAAAGTTGGTTAATGTTGACGGAACCGTCCAAGCCCGCCTTCTTCAGCGGACGGGTTTACAGGAGTCGCAGCGGGTAACTGTTAACTAATGGAGGCTAGGTTCCATAGTACTGTACGGGCTAGTAGTTGGAGGCATCCCTCTTTAGAATGAATGGATAATAGTGGATAATTTTAAAGAACAGGCGGTATCACCCAGGCCACTTGGCTTTAGCTCAGGACGGGAGCTTTATGAGAACCTGATGGTGGAAGGAAACCGTCCTGGCAGTCGGGTCCAATAAGACAGCTTGCCGGACCCCCTGAAGCCAAGCTAAGCCGGGGTGTTGGACCATCATATTGTCCTGAAAATGGACTCGAGGCCGAATGGCCATGAACCCTTTTGGCGACTCGGGGTGCTATCACCTTCTCCATATTTTTCTCATCGAGATTATCTCATTAATCAGTTTCTCACCAGTAAGTAATCGATGCCAACATGTCCATTCTATGGTCTAAATGAACACTGTATTATCCTGCACTCTTAAAACTTCGTATTAAGCGACTTGTCTCTCAGGTGCGATTTATTATTTAGTAGGAAGAAATGAATGCTGACGTCAGTCACTCCTACGTCAGTGGTTTGGAGCTTGCTCTAGGGTAACCTTGATGGAAATCTGTCCCAAGAAAGAGAGAAAGTAAAATGAATAGAAAAAATAAACACAAGGGAACAACTAGGTAGCTTCTGAGCAAGTGTTCTCTTAATCTGTTGAAAATATCGCTCTCGTTCTTTAATAGGCCAGAGGCAACTCTAGACGGGTGATAGAGACGTGGTATGATCATTGAGTGTGTGAGTTTAGCAGCCCCCCTCGGTGTTTAATTTGAGAAATTACATACAGCTGTTTGATCTGAAAATAGCTGCGCAAAACATTTGAATCAACTGTCAATGGATATACCCTCCCTATAAAATTGTAATCATACACGAAAGCTTAAATGTCACACCAAAAGCCGTGTGACGAACTGTCTTCCGTAGCGCCCAACACCAGCTCGATGCGAGTCCTCCCGAACGCCAACCACTTGATCGTTATTTCTCATGACGCATCCCAAAAAAACAACAAACTAACAAAATAATCCTTCATGTAGAAACAAGCCCCAGTCTATCATGCTGCTTTCTTCTTTCTGCCTCCACGCGTTCTCTTTTTAGGCTCTTCAATCTCCTCATCACTTGAACTATCCTGCTTAGCCTTGGATCTACTGCCCTCCTTCTCATTCTCGACACGACTAACTATGTCGCGTAAGAAATCCCACTGTTCGTCCGTCTCGACAACTTGCTTGAGCATTGGCGCGGTAACCCTCTTTGAACCCTTCTCCTTGGCTACATCCGCGCTTTTTGTGACAAGCTGTATCATAAAAAGCTCAAGAGCCTTTCCTACAGCAATCGGAGTTTGCTGCGCAACCTTGCCAACTTCCTCGTCGGCCTGCATAATTCGCTTGATCCTGGCTGTGGGGAATTTGGTTCGAACCGGAGATGGGTCGATAGCAGGCGCCGCAGGCGGCGCGGCTTTGCGTGGAGGCATGTTTGTATCGAACGGCGCAACACCAAACGCGGGAGCTCGTTCCAAGTCACCGGCTGCTATCGGTGGTTTGTAGGATGGGTCGCAAGTGATCGCGTTGTGATTAGAAGATTGTTCTGGGTACGTTTGGCCGTGGGGTTGTTGTTGACGTGAGTACGAAGAGGCAGAACTACGCCCGAAACCGCTGCTCGGATGCTGTTGTTGGTCTGGCGTAGAATAGACGTAGTGCTCTGGAATAGAAGAATGTCGCGATGGATAGGGTTGATGTTCTGGTCTTGGAGTTCTTGGTTGCGCAAACTCCAGATGATAGGCGGAATCGGCTGAGACACGGTTGGTGTCGTCGAAGTGAGGAGAAGGGGGAACGTAGGAAGAGAAGGAAGCAGATCTGGTGTAGGTTGGGGACTCTGCTTTATATTCGTACCCTGGCCTAAAGTAAGAGTCGGGTTGTGGATGATGCACTTCTTCTTGGGTGGGACCGTTTGAGTAAAAAGAGGAGAGGTCCGGAGACTTGGGGGCATAGCTGTCGTCGGCAGACATAATAATTTTTTTTTGTCTGGGTTGCGGCAGGCTGGGTTTATGTATGGTGGGGCATGCACGCCGAAGCGGCCGGGCTAAAAAGTACTAAAGGCCAGTAGGAAGCCAGTAGCAGTAAATAAATGAATAGATTCCTTCCTGTTTGTGGATGTACTTCGATCAACCTTGATAACAGAGTTCAGTGCTGTGTGTGGATAACACGAAGTGCTTGGCGACACAGATGAAAGAACAGCGGGGTGATGTTGATACTGTACAAACCCGCGTCACAGAACAAGGTAACCCTGAGCGAGAACTTAATGGTGGTTTATGCGATTTGCTGTTGACCGAGTTTGGGCTATGCCTTTGATGGAATACAAAGACAAAAGCAAGGCAAATAACAAAGCTGTGGTAGTGAAAACCTGGTCGCGAACAATCAACGTGTTGGGTATATCGAGTTGAGTCTTTGTGTTGGCCTGTTGTATTTGTTGTTGTACTTGTTTCGTTGATCAGTCACAAAGTACGTAACCACTCAAGAATGGACCAGTAGATTTGCTTTTGGGAGCATGGATCCCGGGGTCAAGAGGATAGCAAGAGAAAGGTCTACCTGGGCTCTTATATCAGATAGCTCCAATTCTCAAGACTGGTTTGCCAGGAAGACTACTGCAGCTGAACGGGTGCTAACAAGAGCCGTGCGCTGGACAGGGGAAACAAGGAGTTTGGCTCACGAATCAGCAAGCTCGGGTTCCCGTCCCTTGCCGGTTTGAGAATGACGATATGATTTGGTTGACGTGATGGTGGCCGGCCTGAGGGGACCACACATGAGTTGATGTGGTGAGGCTCAGAGGCGCAGACAAGGAAGAAACGACAGACAAAAACCTTTACAACTATCGCAAAGAGGTTGGTTGCAGCGCAGTAGGAGGGGAGGGGACGGGAACGGAGACGGGCAGGCTAAGACACCCCCTTGCAACTGAGATGCAGGCGGTACAGTAAGCAGCCGGTTGAAACAAGGCTCGGAAGGTGATAGTGAATGTGTAAGCGGAATGATCAGGCAGAGTGCTTTCAGCCTCACTCAGTCAGTTCAAGCTGCAGTCTGGTATGTAAGTAGCCGTAGAGGTGCAATAACTTCTCCAGGTTGACTCTCGTCGCGAGATGGGCGCGCTGTGATATGATTTGGGAAAATAAATAAGAAACCGAGAAGAACGCTATGGTAGAAGATGACTTGATACGGCGCTGAATAGAGGTGATCAGATTACCAAGTATTTGCTGATGGAACTGATTCGCACAATAGCTGAGATCAAGGTGCGTGTAAGTGCAACCTAGGTAGATGTGATGATATGGAGTGAAAGGTTGGCTGGGGGTTTGGGCGGCGTGGAGACCATCAAGATGCAGCGAGTATTCTACCAAGCCTGGCAAGGTATAAATTTCAAGGTAGGTAAATAGCCTGGTAGACTAATAATCAAAAGGCAACCTGATGGTGAGGGATGTATGTGGTCATGAGTCGCTTTCGCATTGCAAGAGGCGTCAGTAATCGGCAATCGTATTTGACAAAGCAGCGGCAAGTGGCGGGGGAAACGAGGGAATGCCAGCCGTTTATATGCACATGGAAGGCGGAGCGGCACCTCCTGTACTTACGAGACAGAAGGTACGATGCAGAGTACTACTAGGAAGGTAAGAGAGAGGTACTATATGTACTAAGGTTGGCCCTTGTGACTTTACGCCCAAACACCAAATCAGAGATGGCGCCGTCTCAAGTGGAAGCTGATCCCTCGGGCAAGCATGTACCTACAGTACCTACAGTACCTACCTAGGTACTTACGCACCCGCACCTAGGTACCCGTGCCTTAGGCAGGTACCTACTTACTTAGACAGGTACATGGACGGGCAGGTTTGACAGGATGGAATCGACAGGAACGAGTCGCTATTACCTTAGCACGTGTGCCCCACACTATAGATGAGCATCATCTTATTAGCGCCTGCCTGAACGAACTCTATCAATCGCAATTAATTCTTTCAACACCACGTTGATGCACCCTCAATCATGTCCAGGTCTTGACCTCACCTTAGCTTCAAGACCATGGTGCCCTATCAAAGCTTGCATTCAAGCCCTCAACAGCTAATCTAACCCACATGCACCTATCGTCAACCTAGACATAACATGGCATGAGCTATCTATGCTCTGTATCAGCCGCACAATACGCCTGCGCGCTGGTGGAGCCCATTCCATCCTTCTTCCTCAAGCAATAGGTGGAAATGTCGCGCTGATCCAGACATCGGAGTAACTGGCATGACCTGGAAGCCTGTTGCAGGTTCAGACGATCCACGCTTCCGTTCTTGTGGTGTTTCGCACCCAACCTAGCCAGTCCCAGTGTTAACTAACCTCCATATCTATCCTGCATTGGCAGCCTGGAGGTTAATAGTGCCTGGTGGCCTCTTGACAAGTTGTCTAGGTAGCGAACATCTCGCAGGCAGACATATTCGTTCCTTATCTACTAGGCAAGTCTCACTGCTTCTACATATGCTTGCCGCCCGTCCTCTACACATTTGTGATGATACAAGTTGAGCTTTAAACCTCTGAGCAGGGCTGGTGAGGACGAAGCCGAGTTATACACTAGGGTTCCCGATTCACCAACTGTAGGCTCTGTCCGTGAATTTTTACTTGATCTAATCTGATTATTACACTTTGTCACCGTTCAATGTACCCCATTCAAACATTCTTCTTCTAATTTCTTTGACAGCAGTTCGAAGTCCTTGCAGTCGCTTCTCCTCGGTGCTTGAAAGAAACAATGAGGCTACCGGCCATGCGTGGATACCCCCATCAAATTTCTGTCCTTCAGCTTGGACACCGATCTTGGTTTGCCGTTTGAGGAATTCTTCAACGTCTGGCGCGAAAACCTCTTCTTCCCCAAAGATAACAAAATATCCTCGTTCGGGACTAGCCGCTCTCCAGAGCTTGTCGTCGACGCAATTACCAGGAGAGGCTGGCTGTTGTTGAATCATGTTCTCTCCTGCGTACTCATGCGCATATCTCCACAAGGTACGTTTGTCCAAGAAGTCGCTTTTGGAACTGTAGTGCAGCTTTGACATGAGCGTTATCCATGGCGAGATGAGTGTCGCCATTCTAGGCAATGGCAGTTGTGGCGGATCAGGGTCAGCAAGACCACCTCGGACGTCGGCCCTGACCCCTATCTTATCTTGGTTACCAGCCTGAGCGCCCAACTCGAGCAGCAAGCTGAGAATCAATGAGCCACCGGCTGAGTCGCCCGAGACACAGACCTTTGAGGCGTCCTTGACGACTTCAAGGACATGGTTGTAACCTTCCAGTGCCTCCAGAACCTGTCTTGGGTAGACTTGGTCCGGTACCAAAGTATACTCGAGCGCAAATATGGCCGGGTTCTTGAACCCTCCCTCAACCAGCAGGTGATGCCAGGCCATAAGGAACTCAAGGTAGAAATAACTCGAGCCCATCAGGAATCCTCCACCTTGTAATAGTTAGCGCTACATGAAGACGAGTTGTGTGATTCCCGCATCCTACCATGGATATAATAAAGAACAAAATCGGGAGGATGCTCTGGATGATGCATAATCCAGGTACCTTTAGTCTCAACATTCCCCTGCCACCGATTAGCTGAACTGCTAGACTCCAGGCACCAGAAACCAGAAACAAGAGACATACTTTCCCAATGCTATACTCCCGATAGTGGACCGGGGATCTTATATAACCATGACGAAGCATCCGCCATCGAGTGAATGGCAGTGCAACGTATTTACCAAAAAAGACTCTCCCGACTTTGGCAGGGATGTTGGCAAACGCATATCGCACGCAGCGTATCACGATGTCCTCGAACACTGTAGCCGTCTGCGTAAAGGCCAATTGTCGACTTGGATGAGTCAAGTAACGATCTGTGACAAAGTCATAAGGTAATTGAACCACTGTGCCATGTGAGTTAAACTTGCAACAGACGTTTGGTAAATGATCACCAACATAGAAATGGCAAAGCCTTGAGAGCCGTGAGCAGAGTCAGAAAGAACCCAGCATTCCATATGAGTTGAGGTGCAAGGAAAATGAGAAAGACTGCACAGTCAATGAGACTTATAGGACCGAGGATCATGGTGAGGAAACCGTTGTTTGGTGGGAGAACTGTGTCATGGAATGCGAGTGAATGGCTGGTTTGTTTCAATGCACCACTGAATAATAACCGTGAAAATAATGGAAGCGAGTGAGAAGCTATCAACACTGAGATAGTGTCCTAATTGGGCTTGATCTCAGCAGATCTAGGGGTCCCTGACGCGTTGAGGACGGCGGATGTCAGATCGATGATGGAGGGGGCTGGCGTCGGTTGGGTTAACACCTGGAACTGGAAATATCAAGGACGCCTAGCTTTGAGAACTGTAAAGAACAGACGAACCCTGTTCACATGTGACGATCTTGATCATCAAACCTAAGCGTTAGAAATACACTCTCTTCCCTTACCCTAAAGATGCATACAAAAATATCCATTACTCGGTTCATTCGAAAAACAATCATGTTTCGTCGTCTTGCACCAGCTGACATAATCCGGTTGGGGCCGACTTCTCACCGCATGCGCATGATAGCATTAGGAGCGAGTGGGTTTCAAACATCGTTCTAAGTTAACGGAGCTTAATATCTTAGAATCCAAGTCACAAAGACGTAACAAGCTGTCGACATTGGCGGCTTGGCATATATAACAGAAGAGAGTTTTAAGATCATTTACCTCGACAACCCATTCAGCTAAAATGGGGGAATCTCTTCCAGAAGAAGCGCCTTTCCCGCTAACTGAAGTCGATAAATGGGTTCTTTCGCAAACGGACGAGGAATTTCACAAGCATGACTGGCAGGAGCTAAAGGAAATCATCGGTAAGCGGCTTTAGTGGAATATCTACTCGGCATTGCCTTTTGTTCTAAGACCAGCTACTGATACTATGCAGAAACGAACAATCTATCAGTTTTGAAGCGCAAACCTTCTGACCTTCGCCGGTATATGGCATGGACAGCCGAAACAAAAGCAGAGTATGGCTCTATGACAAACTTCCTACTCGCGAACCGCCTCCCCAAGGAATGGGGCAGCCCGCCTTTCACGCCCGCTTCTTCCATCCCATTCGAGGATCCCTCAGATTACCGTGTCCTGATCAATGACTGGCCCTACGGCTTGGATCCAGAAATTCGGCACATTGTTGTATGGTTGCGCACGACTATTCCAACAGACCCCGAGACTGGTGATATGACGCCTGAGAGTAGAGCATTGGTTCGGTCTTTTGTCAAAAAGACATTCATTGATGCCCTTGGTCCGGATGGAGAGAAGCGAGTGTTGTGGTTTAAGAATTGGGTCGCTCTTCAGAGCGTACGCGCTCTAGAACATGTCCATATTTTGGTCCGTAATGTAGATGGCGATACCCTGGAGCGCTGGACAGGAGAGCGTCCAAAGCAAAGCACTTAGACAACCAGACCAACCGAAGACGCGTGAGTAGATAGTGCTCATAGAACAATCAATCTAGTTAGGCAGCCCGGCGTGCCCTGCGGTTGCTTGGGGGAGCTGCACCAGCACCAGCACCAGCACCAGCATCACTGGCTCCCTGGAACTCGGCCATCTTCTGCTTTCCCATACCAAACAAACCACTCCCCAGATACAAGCCATAAGCCGGAAGGACAAGCCACAAGAACCAAGCTTTGTTTCCGAACAGAATAACAAGAACCACTGCAGCCCAGGTAACCCAGATAACGTCAAACATATACTCGGTCAAACCAGGAGAGGACAGATCCTCTCCAGCGGTGCGCAGCGCCTTGGTATTCGGGTCGTACTTGGGTCGGCCGGAAACCTCGAGAACATACTCGCAGATGAGCGCTGGTACAGAAAGAAGGACGTAAAGCCAGAGGGATCGATTGCGGAACAGGAAATGAGCGAGAAGAAACAAGACGTTGATGATGAGAGAACCGATATGGAGGTTGTTCAGCGCGGCGGCGTTGGACTTGGCGCGGTCCTTCTTAGCTTTCTGTGCCATTGCGAACGTTGTGTTTGAGGCGATGGAGTCTTCTTGTGCAATTGACGACAGGAGAAAATACGAATCAAAGTGAAGCCTCCGTGTTAACTTGAGAAGTGGAATGACATAACTGGATGGTGATGACAGGGGATCGCTTTCACTTGCAGCGATCTGATGGGCACCTCCACTTTCCGCCTTCGGGTTGGCCCGTAAAGCGCTTCAGAAGAGTACTATACAGGAAAAATCATAGGGCAGCATCTATTCTGAATAGTAGTAGGCTTGGATTAAAAGCTCTAGAGTTTGAGATTTTCATATACAGGCAGAGAGTTAGTTGAATTGAAACTGTATTATGGCTGTTATTAATTTCAATGCCCTTTTTAGAACTCCCTACCTTAGAGCTGTCTGACAGGAAACCTTGGCTTAGACGGGAGAAATAGCACCCCGGAAGGTCACGTGTCAAGAGTGGGAGACATCCGATAAGAGCGATAAGCGCACAAATCTTTGACAATTGGGGCTAAATCGTGGACTGAACTCTTCTTCAACCAACAAAAGGAATATTCCCTCATCCCTCCCAGGCCGTCATCACGTTACCGTTGCAGTCACTTTTGCCGAGTCTTGACAGCCATACACAATGTCTCACCAGAAGAACGAGAAGGACGTCGGTGACGCTCCCGTACGTTGATACCACTCCCCACCCGCAACTGCGACTGCGACTTTGGCCACGATGCTAACCCCTACGATAGAAGAGCCACCGTATCCGAATCACCCTGACCAGCCGAAAGGTCCAGTCCCTCGAGAAGGTCAGCGCTGAGCTCATTGAGCGTGCTCGCAGCAAGGGTCTTACCATCAAGGGCCCCGTCCGTCTCCCCACCAAGAACCTCAAGATCACCACCCGCAAGACCCCTTGTGGTGAAGGTTCCAAGACCTGGGACTCTTACGAGCTCCGTGTCCACAAGCGTCTCATCGACCTCCACGCCCCTACCGAGGTTGTCAAGTCCGTCATCGTCAACAGTAAGCGGTCCCGTTCTCTCGAGGTAGCCACGCAGATACTAATCAATCTACAGTCGAGGCCGGTGTTGAGGTTGAGGTCACCATCGCTGCTTAAATGTGGTCACGTTTCTAGTCAGTGGTAGAAAAAAATAAAGAAAAGCCTGGTAGCATACTGGCATTGTGAGGGAAGGAATGATGGGAACATCAGGATCTTGCTCGCAGCAAGAGTGGTGGATATAGGATACTCAGTTATGATTAATGAATCTCTGGGAACCCCGTGTTCTGCCCTGCAAGACCGTAACCATGCGCCATCATTCTGCCGTGATTGTGTATTATCTCTAAGACGTCTCGTACCATTATTTGCAGGTCTGCGATCCCCATATCCAAAGGAGAGATAGTAATGAGGCATCTTGTTAAAGAGGGGGAAGCTTACAATTGGCTGGATCCGTTTGCACTTGAAAAGTGATGTCCATTCTGAATAATCTGCTACTACTACAACACATGTTCCAAAATGTTGATAATGGATGAATTGCTTACTAGCTGGATCGTGAAACTCACCATGAACCAACCTGCAATAGGATCCATTCATATAATACAGACGGGCAGCCAGTTGGGAAACTTCAGCCCTGGAGTGGCTCATGTAGGAGAGACCTGTGGGTTTTGGTACTTGTGCTCAGGCTAATACCATATACGTTGATAAGTACATATACTTAATGGTTGGTTGCCAGGCGCAACCCTGAACCAATCAAAACACAGTTCATCAATGATCCTAGGCAGGTCCCGCGCGCTTGCCAACCCGTTACCACCAAACATCCAAGCCTGTTTGGCGCACCTTGACGTTCACTTCCTGGACCTCGACCTGAGTCTTCCGTTTCCATTTCCTTTCACATTCTCTTTGAAGCTCAGGCTGAGTTCTTAATCCGTACTATGAGTAACTCATATAGAAGTCGTATTAGCTGGTAGCAGGGAAAATTGTTCTTTTTCTTCACCCCTTCTAGATCTACGAGCTTTCTCTTAGTCCCATCTTCATCACCATTCTCGCTCGTTCAGGACCCACCGTTCCCGTCCGTTCACGAAACGTTGCCAGCCATTGATTGACTTTTGACGACTTCCATTCGACGACCTCTTGCTTGCCCCCTAGGCTGCCACATCAAGAAGCTGCCCAGAATTGAAGGCTTTTCTCGCGCACTGCATTCTTCCGTCCGTTTTATTAATTATTAATTCCTTTGGCGACGTCGAAAACGACTGCGATCAAGCTAGCGATTGAACCACGGCTGCTTTGTTTTCTTTCGACTCGACTGTCCCCGCCACCTACGCGAACGACCCATCGACAACAAACAATTACTAGGTTGAGCAGACCGGCCATCCTCTTGGTCGCGAGTTGTTGGGCCACTCCGCATTGAATCCCATTCTTCGATTTTGTGTTCATCGACATCTCATGGCCAGAACACGTCGTTAGAAACTCTGCAGCGCCTTCACCTTCCGAACCCCCCGGCCTCTACCTCAAGCCTCTTCGCTGGACAGCAACATCCAGCATGGCTCCTACACCGACGGCTGTCAACGGTCTCTTAAGACAAGTAATACACTATCATCTTGACAACGCCTCCTACGATAATGCACTATTTTTCTCCGAACGTTTGACGGCACAAGACTCAAGGTCCAGCGAGCCTGCATACCTCTATGCGTTATGCCATTTACGTCTTGGGGATTTTCGCTCTGCTTACGACACGAGTAAGCTAATAGGCCACCGAGGCGCTCACTTAGGCTGTGCTTGGGTTTTTGCTCAAGCTTGTTTGGCCCTCGAACGGTACAAGGACGGCATCAACGCTTTGGAAAAAGCCCGGGGTTTCTGGGCATCGAAATGCAACTTGGGAAAACATAGCGCGACAGCTCGGTCAGCTCTGCCTGATGCGCCTGCTGTGCTATGTCTCCTGGGAAGATTGCATCGCGGCTACGATGATAAGAAAAAGGCCGTTAGTTGCTATGAGGAGGCTCTCCAGCTTAACCCTTTCATGTGGGATGCCTTCTCGGCTTTATGTGACCTTGGTGTTACGGTTCGCATGCCCAATATATTTAAAGCCAACGACACCCTTGTTCATAGCTTTGACGTCGAAGCTAGCCCGATAATATCATCGAGAGAAGGCTCTATAGCAATCGCCCCCGATGTGCCCGCGAAAAAATCCCAACGAAGCGCCACGGCAGAGGCTGGAAACGATCCTTTTAGCTCAAGTCATGCTCCTGCCATTACCGAGCTGGCTAACGGTGATTTTGGCCAGGAAGGTGATAAGAGCGACTTTATGCAGAAGATCCAGGACGGACGTATGCGCTATGCAACATCAACTAACAGCAGCTCTGGCTTTGACGGCATGGAGACACCCCCAGGTCCAATATCATCATTCACAGGCTCGTCTCGCCTCGGTCAATCCCACGACCCTCCCCAAGCGCCACCTCGCCGGACACGGCAAGCACAGGCCGTTGATCAGGGGCATGAGGCGCCTCCAAGAATGAACTATCGCATAGGTTCCCGACGCACAAGGGCGCAAGATAAGGGGCAGCAAGAGCAGTCAACAGAAAACATAATGACTGACGCATCTAACTCGGCGCCTTCAGCATCGTTGCGGTCGTCCATACCAGCAGCGGAAAGGAAACGGACTGTATCAGGACACCCGGCACAACGAGTCACAAACTCGGAAGAACCAGCGATAACCCGGCGTAGTGCAAGACTCAATATGTTTAGACCATCATCGAAAGCAAACTCCGGCGCGACCACGATAGGAACGTCAGCACCCAGGGAACTCAAGAAGGCGAGACCCCCAATCTCTCGAATCGTCCGACCTGGATCCAGCGGCAATAATGTTGGCCGTGTTGTCAGTGGTAATCGCAAACCTCTCGAAGACCCCCTACCTGATGTTGATCACGGCGAGGTCCAAAAGCCTAAGGACATCCCCCCTCCCCCGCCTATCCACAAGTCATTGGAGTTGGATGCTCAAAGGCTTGAAGAAGGACTCAAATGGATACTTGACCTTACGAAGAAGCTGGCCAATGGATACTACTCTTTGTCCCAATTCCAATGTACAGAAAGCCTCCAACACTTTCAATCGCTCCCTGTACCTCACCAAAACACACCCTGGGTTCTTGCCCAGATGGGACGAGCTCATTATGAGCAGGCATCATACGCCGAGGCCGAAAAGTTCTTCCGGAAAATGCGAGTGCAAGCGCCTTCGCGCCTCGAGGATATGGAGGTGTACTCAACGATCTTGTGGCATTTGAGACGGGAGACAGAACTCTCCTTCTTAGCGCATGAATTGGTGGACTCAGCTTGGCTTTCGCCCCAGGCTTGGTGCGCACTTGGCAACGCCTGGTCGTTGGCACGCGACCACGAACAAGCTCTCAAGTGTTTCAAGAGAGCAACTCAGTTGGACCCCAAGTTTGCATATGCTTTTACCTTACAGGGACACGAGTATGTAACAAATGAGGAATATGATAAGGCACAGACAGCATACCGACAAGCGATTTCCGCCGACAAACGCCACTACAATGCCTATTACGGTATCGGAAGAGTTCAAGAACGCCTCGGCGCATACGACAAGGCGTATACACATTTCCATGCTGCTCAAAGTATCAACCCCAACAACGCTGTCCTGATCACTTGCATCGGAACAGTGCTGGAGAAACAGAAGCAGATCATGCCCGCGCTTCAAGCATACAGCAAAGCAGTAGAGCTCGCCCCTCGTGCCGCTCAGACTCGATACAAGAAGGCCAGAGCTCTGCTTGCTGTTGGCCAACTCGAACCGGCACAAAAAGAGTTGATGATATTGAAGGACTTGGCACCAGACGAGGCAACCGTCCACTTCCTTCTCGGCAAACTGTATAGAAGCATGGGCGAAAAGCAGCTCTCAGTGCGGCACTTTACTATTGCTCTTGCCCTAGATCCCAAGGTAAATCAGTCAAATATTTTGTTTTCACGGATGATTCAAACTAACTTCTCGTAGGCAAGCCAACAGATCAAAGAAGCCATTGAGAGTTTCGAGGACGACGTGGAGATGGATGACTCAATGATGTGATGATTGTAATGAACATTGCGATTCTGAAGAGTCTGCACTTGCGTTTGTTGGCCTTTGGTTTTGAGATGATAAGCGTAATGAAGTTCATGGAATCTAGTTCCAGTGATTGAAAGACACGGGATGGGCTGTTTGATAAACCTACGAGTTGGAGGTGGAATAAACGGGATAGAGGCCGGTGGTCGGCGCTACTGTTGACTTTGGTACGAGAGCATGGCATCGGCGTTTTATGGTATGAACAGGCTCATTGAGTAGCTTGTATTCGCACACGCACATGGAGGAGCGGCCTCGCGTCGTGTATATGTAGCCTACGCATTTACGGGGTAGTACTTGTACATTATCAAGACTTTGGGGCAGGACGTGGAGAAGATATGAGCTGATGGATGATACCCTGATAGGTAGTCAGAGTTAGAAAGTCGAGCCCATGAATGCCTACGAATTAATGAGCTCCCGCACCTCCAGGTTGTATCTTTGACATGACAAAGATTTTAGTATTTGAGTTGGGAGCCCCCAAGCACAACCTGGGTACATCAGTAGAATGTTAGATCGACCTCAATTATAGAGTCAATATGGTATCTAAGAAGGATGAGAAGAAACAATAACCTCGATTGGACGGGCTCAATCATGTAACTGATATGTCCAGATAATCCACACCTATAGCTCTCTCTACATCTGGGTACTCTATAGATACAATTTAGGTATCGTGTGGATGAATGAAATAGGTTCTGACCTTGAACATAAACGCGACGCAACGCGTTCGATATCTGGACCCACTCCCCGCCTTCCTCAGCTCAGTTCCTGCCTGTTCCATTTCTAGATGCAAGGCAGACGGGAGTGATCTGACTAGTAATCGACCAATCAAAAAATCGGACATCGCAATCACTCAAGCACTCTTCCGTAAGCAGTATAGCGCTTGAGATTCAATGATTTTAGGTGCCCATTTTTCACTGATTATGTCCGCATTTTAGCAGTGATTTTCGGCGCCTGTAGTCGTTGGTTTTACTGATTGCCTGCACGTATTTATTTCTCGTCTTCTCGCCCCCCACAACATCTCTTTTCCCCTTCCACTCTTCTCACTCCGCATCTTCAACGCGTTTTCTGCAAACCAACGTCATTCTCAATATCGCGACAACGCGCCACATTCACCTCTTTTCATCAAACACTTATCTCATATATCTATCAACATGACTGGACGTAAGTATTTTTATCTCTTCTGATGTATTCTGACAGGGTCGATTGGCAGTCTTCGAACTTGCCCGACGCGTCAACACCATGCATCAATCATCGTGAGCCTCACAACAGTCACTAACCTTCTTCCAGGCGGCAAGGGCGGCAAGGGCCTCGGCAAGGGTGGTGCCAAGCGTCACCGAAAGATTTTGCGAGACAACATCCAGGGTATTACCAAGCCCGCTATTCGACGTCTCGCTCGTCGTGGTGGTGTCAAGCGTATCTCTGCCAGTAAGTTTATCATGGTTATTGTCAGTATCCAACAGTCTACTAACAGTTTTGTCCTAGTGATCTACGAGGAGACCCGAGGTGTTCTCAAGACCTTCCTCGAGGGTGTCATTCGTGATGCCGTTACCTACACTGAGCACGCCAAGCGCAAGACCGTCACCTCCCTCGACGTTGTCTATGCTCTGAAGCGACAGGGCCGCACCCTTTACGGTTTCGGTGGTTAAACGCTTTTCACTGGGTTCACTTGGCTTTGAGAAGGATTATACAGTTGCACAATTGACACTGGGATGGATGTACTTAACTAAGGCGTTGGGGAAACACGGACATGATATTACCACTAGGCGTCACGGAAGACGACCTTGCAAATGAATACCGCATTGAACATTTAACAATTCTCTTACATCCTCCGTAGGGCTGTTGTGACTGTAATTATCCATTTGACTGATAACGAGTCGTGGCGAAGATGTTTTGCAAGAATAAAGCATCGCGTTGAACTTCTATTCATTGAAATGCAAATTTGGTATCATGATAACACGTAACTCAGTACATTAAAGATATTTTCTCCCTGCTGCTGCCACCCGTGTCCTAAAGATGGGACTGCGTACCTCCATGTTGGCACGATAGAACGGACTCATGATTGCCTTAACCCAGTTCTCATACACCTCTGTAAAGAACATCTTGATAGCCTCTTCGGTGGCTTGGCTTGTGGGATTGGCACCGATGGCGGTTGAAGACCGTGATGATGTACCAGTCGGGGCGATGGGTTGATGAAGTAGGAGGAATTTGACATTGCCGGCGGTAACGAAGCATGAGATATAGTTGTTGAAGAACTTGTCGATACACTTTAGGTACCTAATATGAGCAAGGTCAGAATGTTAGCCTTTGCTGTCAGGGTTGTAGCTGAAGATGTCGGCATGGCATTGTGATGATGTCCCAGTAAAGCAAGCCCCTTGCTACTCTCGATGCTGAACCACATGCAATGCGCCTGCAACTACTTACATCTGCCCATGTGACCACTGCACCTCCTCTGCGATATCAAGACTCGAGTGTAAAATGAACTGGTTCAAATGACGGACTTGGTCGCTAAAGCGTGACTGGCCGTCGCCGCCTTGCTTGGAGGTACCGAATTCATGTTCAAACAGTGGATTGTCCTGGGTGCCAACGATGGCGAAGTAATAGCTCATGATGTCGCGTAATGCATCGACTGTATATGTGCGGTTCTATCCTGTTACCCTGTGTTATAAGACCAAGTTAGGAGTCGGCGATAGCCACGCTGATGTTGACTATGGATGTTTGTCCGGATGTGCTGAGGTGTTGTGCTGAATGAAACCTTGGTAGGATGGATGGAATGGATGTCTATGGGCTACCGCTGCTTTAGGTAGCTCCCGTCTGTACCTACCTAGGTACCGGACCCCCCACTGGCGCATCCATGCTAGGGACATTCCCCCACTAGACGACATCTGCCCAGGTCTCCTGGGCCCGCCCGGGTTTCACAATATTCCGCTTCAAGTGTCTACTAAGGTATGGAGAGCAGCCAACCATTTGCTCTGCGCTTAGCACCCCGCGTCTATCTTAGCCGCAAGCTGCCGGGAAAAAGTTGACGCTCATTCGATAACCTTCAAAACCCTCTTCCGCCTGTGTCTATAAATCCGCAGCAACCCTCCACCATGTTCGGCGCATTCCGCATCACGAATCCTTTGTCCAGTGGTCTTCTATGGAAGGTGCCTTGGAGGCTTTCCAAGTTCCAGAAGCGCCGTCACCGACTTCGTCTCCGAGCCGTCGACGATGTTGTAGCGACCGTTGACGCCGCTCTCGCCAAGAAGGGACAGACTCTAGAGGCCCTTGAGCGATGGAAGGCTGAGATGCCTACTGAGGCAGAAATGCTGCCAAGGGACAAGTACACTATGTTTGACCGCAAGGCTAAGCGCTATCGCAAGGGCATCCATAGTATGTTGCACCATCTACACCAATCTACTCCTTCTAGGTCAATACTAATATTTAAACAGAGCTACCCAAGTGGACGAGGGTGTCACAGCGAGTCAACCCCCCCGGTTACTAGAGAGTCGACTTCACCAAATTGGAGGAGCAGGTCAGCTGGGTCGAGGATCAGATGGAGAACGGCGTATTCATCCCACAGCGGGAACTACAAGCAGATCCATATTGGGGTCCATGTACAACACCTTTGTTTCAATTACGAACTGCGAGATAATGACAAAATTTGCCAACATACCACACAAAAGTTCTGGCGGCGGTCTTAAATGCCAATTGGCGGAACAGATAAAGGATGGGCATTGGGAGAAGAGCAGGAGAAAGAGCAGGAGAATATCCATGGAGACGCAAAAAAGAGTGTTTACAGCTGATGTTCTGAAATGATGAAAGCTTTTTGTTTAGAAATCAAGGGTATCGAGTCCCAAATCTGGCTCCAGGGACAACCTCTGCTCTGATTCAATCCACTATTTCCCTTCGGCATACTCGTCTCGTTCCTCGGCCTGTATCGCCCTGCCAACTCCTCCTCTCCCCTCGTCAAAGTCTTCGCGGTATTCGTCACGCACTTGGCCACCAGACTTGCCACGGCCGTATTGGCGACCCTCCTCGAAACCAGGATCCAAGTCGGTACGAATGATACGCTCGTCGAGTTTGGTGCCGCCAATGTATTTCAAACAGTCGAGAGCATCCTGGTGTGTGTAGTACTCAACGAAGCAGAACCCACAGGGTGTCTTGTTGAAGCGATCGAGACCCATGACGAGGCGCTTGATTTCGCCGCATTTTGCGAAAAGCTCGTAAACTTGTTCTTCGGTTGTGTAGAAAGACCTGTTTGTGACATTCAAAGTTAGATTTTGACGGCTGTCATGCAACTAGCTTGGGGATGACAAACAGGTTGCCCACGTAGAGGGTTGTGGCATTGGCCAGTGGATCAGCCTGAGGTTCTTGTGGTTGGTTGCTATCGTCATCGCGATCGCGTCTCCGCTTGTTCTAGCATTAAGTTAGCAAGCGGATGGTGTTGAAGGTCGCGTAGGGATATCGTACGCGGTTCTGATAGTAGGCGCTGGGCCTATCTAGGCGTTCTACGGTACTTCTGACGCCTGGTCGCATTCTGCCTCGTCTTGGCAAAACGATGCTGTCAAATTTGAGTTTGTATGTATCCTGAAGGCAATGCGCCGAAAGATTTTTCACGCGACAAAGTTCGTATCTGACACCTCGAGTCGTCGAACAGTTGTGATGATGAATGTTGGTGTAGCTCAAGTAGCCTTGCGACGATGAGTGGGTCTTGCCTATGAATGTGGCGGTGTCAGTGGCTTTACCTCTTGGTGCCGTGGTGACAAGCGCTAAAACTTTCGGCAGCGCATTCTGCGCCATTGCCAGGTCTTCAGCCTCGTTATTATTTTCTTTCTCATTCAATATCGCGACTAATATTAACCTTCACGTGCATTTTGCAGCTCTCTCCCTTTATATAATCATTTTACGAGCTTTTTGAAGCTAAAAATCAGTTGCACCTATTGGATTCTGACACAGACCCCTTGCCATGCCCAAGGTTAAGAGCTATTCGGCAGCTTGGCTGTCTAGCAACGCTCCCGGCCACCGTCTCTTTGAGCAACCGCCTGAAGGTTCCAAGTCTCGTGGATTGGAGTCGACCTACCCTTCCAAGAAGAAGCACATTCCCGGTCCGCGCAGGACAATTGCTCGCCGAGGCACCGAAGTCTTTGTCGCTGTTGGTCGTGAAATTCGCTGGGGCGATCTTGCGTACTTGAAGGATGAATGGGCGAATCGTCATTCAAAGGGCAGATCGTCGCAAGGCGTCCGTATCAAGCGTGAGGACTCTACACAGTCGCTTGATGACGATAACCTAGAGAACACCGCTGGGTTAAGGGTATGTTAAGATACCAGGCCTTGTGAATGTATTACTAACTTGGTGTCATGAAGACGATCAAAACGCCTGTTGCAGACGATATTCGACAGCTCGTTATTTCACCGAACTCGAACTTCTTGGCCATTCTCACCACCCACACTATCCATATCTGCGTCCTGCCAGACCCGTCGCATCTTACTAGTGAAGATACCGGCCCTCTGAAGCCCAAGATCTTCACTCTCGGGCCTACTACTCATGTCACGTCGCGTTCTCCAATCGCATCGGCCATATGGCATCCTTTGGGAGTCAGCGGCTCGTGCATTGTCACAACCACCGCGGACGCTATCGTTCGTGTTTGGGAACTGTCCACTACCGATCGATGGTCATTCGACACACCTAGTACGTCTGTCGACCTGAAGAAGCTGGTAGATGGTACAACTCTGGATCAGGATTTCTCTGCTTCAACAACGAATACAAATACGGCCTTCTCACCCGATTCATTCGATATGGAGGTGGCTGCTGCGAGCTTCTCTACTAAAGGGGCCGGAGGCTGGAACCCGATGACTCTGTGGATTGCGATGAGAGAGGGAGACGTTTACGCTCTATGTCCTCTGCTTCCCCAAAAATGGGCACCCCCTCCGACGCTCATACCCTCTCTGTCAGTGTCTATTGTCACCACAGTAGCCAGCATTGAGGATGATCCTGAGGTTGGCGAGCAGGAGAAACTGCTCGCCCAGCAACAATTGGAGTGGATGGGCGAGCTGGATTCCCAAGAGCCAGCAATTATGGAAGGACCAATTGGAGAGCCCATTACGGAGATTTACACACGACCGAGCCGTCCCGGCATCATCCCTCGCTTGCAGGGACCATTTGAGCTCCAATCGGATCCTGATACTGGCGATGAGCTAGATACTTCGGTCACTGATATGCTTGTAATTGGGAAAAAGACCGAAACCGAAGAGCTCATGATGGGAGAGGAAGAGGATCTCGATATGGACGACGGGGATCAAGAGGGTCTTTCCCTTGCCGTGATTTGCTTGCTGTCAACGAGCGGCCAAGTCCGTGTATACCTTGATCTTGAAGGCATTCAAGCCCAATGGCTTCCACCGAAAAACAAGAACAAACTTGGCCGACTCCTTGCTGAGTCCGACCCTCCTTCCCTTCTTTCCTTCCAGGCCATCGACACCATGAGCCCTGTAGAAGTCAACGAGGATAATTGGCCAGTCTTCAGTACTGATGTCACATCCCGTTACAGCTTCTTCGTCACTCATCATGCTGCTATCACATACATATCGCTTACCTCTTGGATCTTTCGGCTTGAGAGTGAGCTAAACGCAGACTCCGAAGCAGGAACCGATTTCCGAATCGGCCTACTCGTCAACTCCCAGTCGATAAGGGATCGAATCTACTCTCAACCTACCGCCGACGTCGCAGTGCCCTTGGCTGCGTGCAATATCTTGCGGGACCCTGATGTTGGCTACTTCCTCCTTTCAGCAACCCCCTACGAGCCCATCGCCCTGACTTTTGACACGCCTGAGGCTGATCTTGCGCCGATCCGTCAGGATAGCCCAACTTATGACCGCGAAACCAGCATGGCGCCATTGGACTTTTATGAACCCCGTCCCGTTTTCAACCCATCACATGCATTCGATGAGGGTTCTGCTTTGCCTACTCTGCTAGAGAGGCTCCGTACATCTCGGCATAAGACAATCGTTAACCAGGAAGTACGACTAAGCCCGCTTACACTGCAAATCTTTACCGATGCGCACAAGGTCTTGGCAGACGAGACATATCGCCTTGGGATGGCTGCGGCAGAAGTTTTCCGGCGATGCGAACTCCTTCAGAGTGAACTTAAACAACAAGTTATGAAAGCCAATGAAGTAAAGGGAAGGACTGACGCTATCAACGGGCTGCACCGTGATGGCGAGGCGGACAACGCCATGTATGATCGGCGTATTGCAACAGCGAAAGATCGTCAGGGCCAGCTCATGGAGCGCCTGGAAAATCTGCGCAAGATTGTAGGTAAGGCGACAACACGCGACTTGAGTGCTAAGGAGCGTGCTTTTGTGGAGGAAGTTAGGTCGATGGAAATAAGCATCGCGGCTCCAGAGTACGCGGAGTTGGCTGCGGGCAAGGCGGCACCATCACCTGCGCAGGCTAAACAATTGTGGAAACGTCTGGAAGATATCAAGCACCTGAAGACCGATCTTGCAGTTGAGGTGGAGGCAATGAGCAAGGCGGCAGGGGATACGGATGGACCCGCTACACCATCGGCCGAGTTACGGATCCCACATGAGGTTCGCAGGGCCAAGATGCAACAGGTGCAAGGGTTGCTATCCAGAGAGACAGCTCTGGTGGAAGCTGTCACTGCACGACTAGAACGACTACAAACCAGCCTTTAAAGCTGGTATATATGTACGATATTTACGACTCTGCCGAGTATGAAAAAACGTGTTCCCACATAGATCTTCAGTCATTTCTACACGCTTTTTGACAATGTTTTCCGAGTCAATAATCGTCGCATGATATTGAGCCTGTGGTGAATGCGACCGATCAACTTACTACTGGCGCCAATGTACGAGTGAAGCAAGCAGAGAGGAATATAGCCAGGGCAAAGATCGCCACGGCTATAACCATGCACTATCTGGTTGTCAGTACCGGATGAGAACAAAAGAGTACAAAAAGATCTGGCATTAACATCGCAAGAAACTAAAAACCAGTCACACTGCCTTGGCTTTCTTAGTGACCCAACTGAGCTTACAGATCCCCAGCCGGTATCAGCACGATATTGCTTTGTTTAGTTGCCTTCGATAAGAGCGGGTGATGCCTGTGGTCCAATCGTTTTGAAAACAAGGCGAATGGTGCACACGGCATCTGGAGCCGACTGATAGAATTTGCTTTTGGCTACACGACAATCGCTCCAGGAAATGCCTGCTAATACCTCCTTTCTAGTTTCCATGGTTTGCTAGTTGCCAATTGAGTACAAAGCACGAGGACAGATGATACCGATTTGTCTAATCGTGTATGTGTACCACAAACCACCTTGAAGGTTGCAAACATTCTCGGTACGGATGGATGCCTACAATACTACAGAAAAGGGAAATCCTTGGCTATGCTACTGGCCGAGAACTGGCCTTGATGTAGCCGCAGGCTGGTACAGTAGTCTACGTCTCATTACAGTGAGTGGCTGCCTTTGACGGGAATGCAAGCGCATAGTGCCCGTAACTGAGTCGTTCATTGGGCCGTTGGGAATAACGCTTCGACAGCGTACCTATCTTTTGAGGTTCTACCGAGAGACCTCGGGTTTACGATTACAAATTTATGTTGCTAGACCGTACCCAACTTACACAACATGCTGAGCACGGTAATGGCCTCGGGCGACTGCAACCAGAACGTCTCAGGGTTGCGCAATGCTTGTAAAACAGTTGGTGCCAGGTATATCTATGTCTCTCGGTTAGTCATACCTCCAGGAGTACTCTGGGTAGAGACATGTTTGGCCGCCTTGCTATATGCGCTTGGGGGCGACATCCTTGACCTTGACAAGCAATCATTATCCATGGTGTGGACAACTTGGAAATCTTGGGCACACACCCTCCGCCTATTCCTATATCTAGGTACATAAAGGCATTGCACTTCCGGCTCTTGGACAGAATCAGTATCTTCCAAAGGCATACCCTCAGCCCGGAATCGTAAACGGCAATTTACAAGCCCCCTTCTTCATCAATGACCCTATTGCGTTCAGCTTGTCAGAACCCAGCACCTTCAACACAGTCAAATATGGCACCCCATCACCTGGATCTGGAGAGTCTCATCTTACGTGAGTCTATCACCTTGTCTTTGAATCTTCTTGCTGAGACCACGGTTGAACTGACTAAATCGAACAGAGAATTGCCGTGCCTTTGTCGGAAGCTCAGATGCTGAGTTTGACGTGTTAACCCGGATCGACCCAAGCGAACAATGGTATGCTTTTGTTCTCAAGACAGAAGGTGGGAAACGCACCAAGATTCTAGAGAACAAGGCACCGAGACCAGAGCGAGCTGTTGAACTGCTTCACGAGGCTTCGGCACGTATGGTAGATCAATATGTAACCTGCCATGGCTACGATCTGCCACCCGGCACCGCATCAAAGACCAAAACCGGTATGCGTGGCGGACTGGTGAAACCAGATGTCATTGCATGTGGTTCTTCCGATAGCGAGGCATTTGTGTCTGATTCTGACGATTCTGTGCTTCCTCCTCGTCGGGCTCACCGCCGGGGGCGTCGCAGTGGCCGAGAGGCTGGCGAAGCAAATGGTTCACGCCTTGATAGAACAGAGACGCAGTGTGCTAGCGATAGCGATGAGACCTCTCAGCGCCGTTCCACTCCCTGGGGGATGAGTATTCCCCAACGCCCAATCGTGCACCCACAGAACCATACTCAGGCATGGGGCCATCCGATGCCACCTCTTGGACCAGTGCCCATGCCCGCCCCGATTCCAAGCAGTCGACCAGTTCAAGGGATAGTTCCTCCACCCCTGGGCAGATATGCATCTACTCTTCCTCACCCGGTGGCCGGCAAAACTTATCCCGCGCGTCTCAACATTAACTGGCCAGGCAACGGGAAACGAAACATGCTTGTGAATATTTCGCCAACTCTCCAATGTCTGCAGCAGGTTGCCGTCAACGAGGCGGTCATGCGCCCTCTGACTTTCTTTAACCCATCATGCCATCCTCCGTCTGGTGGTCGTGGCAACAACATCATCCCCCCTTTCAGAGCTGTAGTTCGGCGCGTTACATTGGGCGAGGATGACACCTACGAGATGACGGCTTTTGGAAACGATCTTTCTGCCTTATTCCGCAGCGTTTCGAGCATCCCCAAGTTCGAGATTGAGCTTATCACGGCGAACCCCTCAACTTTCCCTCCGATGCCGCCTCCACGCCCTGCGTCCGCTGCTTCCTCACGTAGCAGCATTGCCGACTGAGGCGAACATTATCTATTCATTGACAGACACCAACATGGGTCCTCGGCAGTGTTTTCGGGGCTTGGTTGCATCAGTAGGCATGGACAATGGCGAACTGGTTGGAAAGGGTATGTGGAACTGGGGGTTTTGATGCGGGAGTTTGGGAAGCCAATCGGGATAACTACTGGTTCGTTAAAACCTGCGCACGTTGGATCGCCGGCGTACTATGTGTGAGCTAGAATGCTTCATATTTCTTACATCAATCACAACCCAATGCAGACCATTTGAGGGTTGCAATCATTCCGGAGGCGTCTATTTTGCATTGAACACGTGCGTAGGCAGTCAGCAGGTTCAATTTACAGCTGGGCCTGTCTCAACCGTATTGCCCCTGACTTGCACTTGTGCAACGAAATCATAGGCCTTGTCAATTGTAGCAGTGCGAATAGATGGCATGCTGTATGTGTAGGGGGTTCCTTCGACGAGCCGTTGATCTACCGCTGCTCTGAGATGACAGACTGATCTACGGGGTACAGAATGGATCAAGGCCTCCTAGCTTACGCCTCACTTAGTAGGCATGGCAAGGCAGTGCAGTGGCGATACTTGGAAATATTGTCTCTAAGACTCACAGGCAGGTAATGAATGGCGTTGCAATGCAATCGACCAAGGGGATTTAGACTACAGTACTCTGTACCTACTATACTAAAACTTTAGACCGGGGAGTTTCTCCGGATGAGGCGGTATAAAATGTATGGCTCATGTCCAAAGTCGTGACAGGGATCATGGACGGGTGGGAGACAAGGATTGAGTTAGTTCTGAATGAACGATGATACTATACAATACCACCGGATGGAAAACATCTGTATTGGATTAGAAGTCAGTTAATCAAGAGCATCACAAAGTTGTTGTTGAAACATGGAACATGCAAGTCGTAGTGACTAACTGCTAACCTAACTGCTAGACTACTATGCTCTTCACCGACTGAACAATCTGTGTATGCATATGTATACATACAGCGTGAAGCACGTCGGGGATGCGGTGTGACTATCACTGCTGTCATTGGCATTGCTCTTACTGTCAATGTCACTATCACTGTTACCTACCTGTTCGACCATATAGTAACCTCGAAGACTATTTACATTGAAAACACGATAGTTAGCGTATCAAGTTGCTGAAGACTTGCTCCAGTGCCCCTGCATCAGGCTCCCTTTCAAACCTCGTGAGTTACACTATAGTCTAATATTATATTTGAGGCCAGCAACCTTTTTATGGTACCATCATGGCGGCCCACAGCATTCGGGATCCGGCAGCATGGTACGGAATGGGAGAGTGGTCATGGAAATGAGGCGAGAGAATCTACATTGGGTTATAACAAATATACTTTCGTTGGATGGGGGCTCCAAGAAAGGTGTCGAGGAATGTTGACAGGATGAACAACGCACCACTATAACATCGTGTTGTATGTGAATAGGACAGGGCGTACTAGCTTCCCCCGTTGGTGATGAGCAACATCAGCACATCATCCGTTATGGCATGAATGGATCACTGTACGGCGTTAGGTAGAGTATTGTTTCACAGCACACTTGTGTTTGTTTACCTTGACCACCTGAAACTTGGGAGAAGCCTCAATCTATCGACATCCAAACCACGAGCCAGCCCTCTCTCGTCTTCTCATAAGGATCATCCTCTCTTCTTCTCTTCCAGGGCGGCAAAAGCCTTGGAGACCTGAGACCAACTATCACGCAACAACACTAGGAAGAAGTCAGCACAAATCCCCTCACTACAATCACTCATCTGGATTCTTACCGAGAGGCACAATGGCCCAGGGCAGGTTGAAGCCCACGTAATAAACCCAAAAGTACAGCGCCTCGGGGCGACTATACGCCACGCCATGCACTCTCGACTCGTTCCAGTTGGTCAAGTAATAAAGGGCTACACCGTATACATGCGCCGTGCACACAATAACCTGCACTACATGGCGGCTGTGCCAGTCTCTGAGGATGCCAAATACCGTGAGCAGAGAGAGGGGACCCCAGGCGAGCTGTACAATGCAGGCTGTGTAAGACGACGAAGAAGCAAAAGGACGAGGGCAAGGGCAAGAGCAAGACGACTTACACATGTAATGGTTTCTACGCTGACTGTAAATATGTCATGGGTCAGGTAGCGAGAGTCAGAAAGCGTGTATTCTTTCCATAGCTGTGCAAAGAGTGTTGACATGCTAGGAAGTTGATGGCGATATACGAGATAGTACCCTTTGGAGGTGTCAGCATCAGTATCAGCAAACAATAGCCGTACAATTACCTTCAAAAGCCACATGCAAGAAACCGCCTAGAGTTAAAGAGCAAATACCAATCAGTCAATTCTTTCTTATTTTGTCCAAGGTCTGTCTAGTCTGACTTGACTTACACAAGGCAAACCATCCAACAGCAAATTGATCAATAGGGCGTACTGGCTTTCGAGTACGAGTCGCCTGCCACACGGCAAGTCCGATAACAGCACTGACGATGGCCCCAAAAGTAGCTATCAGTTCGAATACTCCAGTGGTGTTTGGTAGATAGTCCGGGATCACAGCATCCAGAGGGAAGTATGGATGCCCAGGCTCGGGCACAGAGGTGATGGGATCAGCCATTTCGTAACCTTGGGCTGTCTGTTTACGGTACAGTACGCAGATGTATAGTATAGACTAAGAGTTTGTGCAGATAATGTGTTTGTGAACATCGCGGTCAGACCGGTAATTAATTAATTAATCGATGCAACCCACTGTCTATCACGTGATGACCCTGACGATATGCAATATGAATATGAATATCAATGTCTACTGATAATCGTTTGTTTGTTGACATCAAACACATATGTATAGAGATCTTAGGTAAAACCGCCTCAATAGTATACATCACCTTTCATCAGAATCCTAGCGGTTCTCAAAAGCTGTGCCGACTCAATCTTACCATCCCGAATTACTGTACCAATATCAACCCTCCCACTAGGATGCCCAATAGTGACCGTATTCTTGAGCTTTCCCCCTACAATCTCAGACGCAATTGTACCTTTGAGCTGAGAAGCAGCTCCAAGGCAAAGCGCGAGAGTCAATGGCACGGCTTTATGTGCTTGGCCCATCGACAGGGCGAGGCATCGGATATCGACCTTTGATGAGCCGCTCGAGGGGAACAACAGAACAATCTTGGGCACGCTCATGATTCTGGGATCAAGACCCATGCGACTGGCACCTGCTTGCCGTATTTCTTCCAGTTTTTCCTTGAGTTGGGGGTTCGATTCAACCTGAGCTGGTGTGAGGGATAGATGATCAGCCAGTCCCAGACTCTCGGTGCTAATAAAGACGCCAGGATTTCCAACATCAACCAGAGATGCCTTGACCGTAGTCCCATCACTCAACCTGAGAGTGTCGACAGTGTTTCCTGTAGGGAGGGCTTTCCCTGTCTTTGCTCCAGCAGGGTCGAGGAAGCTCATGATGACCTTTGAGCCTGTGCCTGGGACACCATCCATGGTATAGTCTCCTTTGTGCGTATAAAGCAAGGGCTCACCTTCAACCCGGAACTTGGAGGACATGACCTTGTCAGTATTAGTATTGAGGAACCTCACAGTAGCCCATTGCATCCCATCTTGGTCTGTCTCAACATCCATATCCTCTGATGATATCAAGCCACTGTCCCAGGCTGCAGGGCCGACCAGGGAAGACATATTCCCACAATTACCAGCCATATCTAGACTGCCGTCTTGAATTCCGACTTGAACGAAAGTGAAGTCAACGTCAACATCGTCTCGAGAAGGTGGCCCAAGAATGACAACCTTTGAAGTGGACGATATTCCGGAACCCATGCCATCAAGTTGACGCCCGTACGGGTCAGGTGAGCCCATTGCAGAGGGGAGTACTTGACTCCATTGTGATTCAGGAGGCAAGTCCTTTCGATGTATGACTAGACCATTTGATGTTCCGCCGCGAGCGAACCATGCGGGGAAACTCTGTAATGAGGTTGTCATGAGACGAGTTTGGTTTTGGTATGAGAGGATTGACGATGATGATGATGATGATGATGATGATGATGAGATTCTAGCTGAGCGAATCAGATGTCGTGATAAGAGTTTATGAGATACCATAGCTATAGCCATTGGAAATGGAATTGAACTCATAGATAATCACTGGATATATATAAGCCAAGTAAAGTTGATGATTAACAAGATGGGGTGGCTCGGAGATCCGACCTAGGCCTCGGTCTGACCATAGCCTGAATATTTAGTGGTTGGTGCACTGTACTATACTGCACTGTACTGTACTTGTACTGTAACGCTATCAACTAAACAAACTCCATACCAAGAGGAAACATGAATAAATAATCATCAGAAAACAAAGACAGGCTCACTCCCAGAATCTCCTCATAAATCTATCCGCATACTCTTGATCCAATCCCCAATTCTCAACCGCATCCTCGATACCATCCTCCATCCTATCGACATACTCCTCCTTGGGCAGATCCTCGTCTACCCTCATCTCGTCGACATAAACCAACGCCCTCAACGTCTCGTCTTCATCTCCCGTGGCAGTTGCCCACTTGACATCCACCTGGAACTTCTGATATGCCCACGGCACGCCCTCGTATCCGTCCAGCCTCTCTTCATCCTGGGCCGGAACCAAGTACAACAGTCCGTACACTCCTTCCTCCTCCTCCTCTACCTTGTTGGTAGCCTTCTCTTTGCCCTTGTCAGTGAGTTGCTTGTTGGATTCAGCGTCGGGCGTGTCGTCGTCTGAGTCGATAGGCAATTGCACCACGTTTGCATACCCACGGCTGTTTATGATCCATTTCCATCCCTTCAGATATGCCAGACCGACAGGAGTAGAGTATGGACAGCGCTGGCGCATCTGTTCGGTCGAGAGGTTGGAGCCGTAGGCAAAGTAGAGAACTTCGGAAACGTTATCCTGCATCAGAGTCATGGTGCTGTCCTGCGACTGCTGGCTGTCTCCCTGTGAGCTCATGACTGCTGTGGTGCAGCTGCAGCGTATCTTATATCAACTGCAAGTCTGGGTTCGTATTGGTTATAGATGACCAGGCCAGACCAGATCAGATAGACAGAGAACTGCCTAATAATAGAGTGGTAGATTCCCCGGCGTTGACTCAGAACTCAATGTGAGTTTAAAAGATGACAACGCGAACTCTTGTTCCCCAGGGTCATCATCATGAATGGTTGATCTACTTAAATCTCAATTCAAGTCGTCAAGTTGGCGGCCTGATGCACACATCAATAAGGCGACGGAACTTTGACTCAACTCCTTGTTCCGTGTGGGTTGTGAATAGGCAGCAAGGCTTTAAGCGCTTAAGCTCAGCTTCCCCTCCCAAAATAATACTAGGATGGAAATCAATCACATCCTCAAGAATGGAACTTTGGTGCATGTATCCCTTGCTTGGCTTTTGGACTTGTTTGTCTTCATTCGTATCTGTTTCTGTTTCTGTGTCTGTCTTGAGTCTCTTTGTCTTCATATTACTTAGGCTCATCTCATCTCATCTACCAAACTCCTTGTCCCTTATTTAACAAGCAAATGCTGTCAAACCATCAAATCCCCAAATGCAATCCTCTAGGTAGTAATGCTAAATTAAATATAACGAGCGAAAGTGGTATCGCAAATCAATCATCAGGCGTAGCATAGCATAGCATAGCATAGCATATTCTTTGCAAATCATGCATTCTGCTTCTTTCAACCTCTCCATCTCCATCTCTCTCCAGAGTCAATCGCCAACCCCTCCATTTCAGCAGCCCTGCCCTTCTGTCGCCACGGCTGTTGCTATCCGACTTTGGGTTCCCACGGAGGTCGATGGACCCGAGCGAGTTCAGATTAGGTGATAGGGATCAGGAAGGGGCTGAGTATCAGCTGGTCTGCGCTAGGACGTAGGTTGTGGTCGATCTCAAACGTTTGCGCAAGGAACTCTTTGGCTGCCTCGCTTGCGTGCTCAGGGATTGTCGGGGCAGCTTTTCCGCCCCCAATCTTGAAGATAGCCTGGAGCTGACTACAGTCGGGGAATGGATGACTGCCAGTCATCATTTCCACCACCAAACACCCAAGCGACCAGATATCTGCTTTGCGGGTGTATGATGTTTGCTTTACCACTTCAGGAGCCATCCAGAATACGGATCCCTGTAGCGAAGGGCGGTGCTTGTTGTTGTTGGCACCGTTCAGAATGTTGGAGGCCTCCAACTTCTTAGAGATACCAAAATCGGAGATCTTAATAGTTCCCTTGTTGTCCACCAAAATGTTGGCACCCTTGATATCACGGTGGATGATATCCTGGTTGTGCAGGTACGAGAGACCCGTCAGGATCTGCCGCACAAAACTGCGCACCAGCGGTTCAGGGAGCGCGCCGTACGAGTTGAGTATCGTCTGAACTGAGCCACCAGGCACATACTCGAGGAAAATGTTGAGATAATCAGCTGACGAGCTGCAGCCAAGATACTGCACGATGTTGGGATGACGAAGATCGCGAAGAAGACTTATTTCTCGCTTAAGTGCCTCAATCATGCTCTTCTTGCGAGTATCGCCTTGGCTGTTGGCTCCAGGCGCAGGCGTCTCGACCTGCTTCACAGCAAGGAGCTCGCCCGTGACGGCATGCAAAGCTAGGTAAACACAGCCGAACGATCCTTGACCTATGAGCGCACCCTTCATCCATTTATCATCACCCCAAGATTCTCCCGCCAAGAAGCTTTGCAGCTCCTCATCCACATCGTCGCCGTCGTTGGTCAAAGCCTGCCGAATTTCCTGGAATGATCCAGATCCTGTTGAGGTGTCGCCATCATAGTAGCTTGTGGCAGTCGTGTTGCCTTCAGGATCAGTGACACTAACGGCAGCTGAGTCGGACCCGCTCTCTGTGAACGAGACATACGACTTGCGGTCAGGCTCAAGGGACGATTCTTCTTGCAGTGTATCAAGAACTGACGAAGTAACTGAGTCACGATTGTAGGTAGTTTGAGGAACCCGAATATGCGAGTCTCGTGTCCTCACCTTGGCGAGTTGAGTGTTAGCGTTAAGCCACGAGTCTGCAATAGTTGGGATAGGAGGTGCATCTTGAATGCTGGAGGCAAAGCTGAGGTTGCTGGCCACGCTAAGCCGGCTGTTGACCTTGCTCAAGCGGGTTGACCGTCGCATAGAAAGTCGGGCTGTGCGGTCAATATCTTCTCTGGTGTGATCGGGGAAGTAGGATGTCAGATCGGACGCGATTAACTCGCTGGGAGGTCGAAGCCCTCCAAATTGTCGGAGTGCCCCAACACGTCGAGCTGGTGCCCTTGACTCGGCTTCTGAGGCGGGACGCTCGAGGTCCTTGGCTGCGTTGTGCAGGTTCCGCTCGCGATCCTGGTAAGAGATGGGCGACAACGGGGACTGAAGCTGGTCGTTCCACTTTTCCCCAAGCATCTTCTGAACCTTGAGTTGACTTCGCTTGTCCACCGTCTCAAGCGCTCGAGCATGTTTTTGCTGTTCCTCCTCCATGGCGATGGCCGCGGCGCGCTGCAGCTCGGCCTCACCTGGCTCGCCTGCTGGTACTCTTCGCAATATCAGTCGGTTTCGTTCTGGTCGTCGTTGGTCTTTGATAATGCGCCAGAGCTCCGTGTCGCCCAGTCTTCTGCATTGACCGGGGTCGGGGTCAATACCAGCCAGGACCCAGAAACAGTAGTTCCTTTCATGATCTTCCCGTAGGGCGAACTTGCGGAGAGTTACCCGCATAACCTCCTCGCAAGTGTTGCATCCGGAAATCTTGACGACCTTCGTAACGCCGCCAGTCGATATAACGCGGATAACTTCTTGACCCTGTGGTAAGGCAGCCATCAGTGAACCGTCCATACTGGAGTTATTCCTGGTATGGGTCGTTACCAGACGGTTTGCCGGAAGATCCGGGTTTGTAGTTACAATCCTTTGCCCTTGCGCATTTGCAGGGCTGGAAGCATATGCTTTTCCTCGGGCCCGCAGATTACGCACATCAGTGCCAGGTAGAGGGGAATTGGGTCTCGAAGATGTCTTGCCGTTGTCCAAAGCGCCATGCAAGTCCATCTGTCTTGAGTACCGCTTGCTGGACGATGCAGGAATACCTCTTGAAGAGTGCAGGCGAGGCGAGTCGTTGGGTGCTGTAATCTGAATGTCGAGCCCGCCGAATGAATCCTAGACGAAAATTGTCAGTCTGTGAGGCCGATATACATGGCAATCACTAATAGCCTACCCGGTTCCGCTTCTTCTCGTTGGCATAAGCTCTAGTTCTCAGTTTCTTAATGCTGAGGAAAAGACGAACGCGGTCGCCGACCTTTTCGACGCCCATCTCTTTCAGTACGTCCTTGTCCATTTCCAAGAGGTTCTCGCCATTGATGTGGTTCTTTCGGAAGATCTTTTCGTACTCGCCGCACTTGACAGTTCGCAGGTACTCACATACCTGCTCCTCGTCCCAGTTCTTGACAGATTCGGCAGGGTCGCTTTCGTTGAATTCGGACTCTGTCGGGCTATTGTAGGCACCTGAGGAGGGCATCGTGGGGGCTCTTCGGGGGGGAGGCATCGCAGGCTGAGAAGTAACGGGAGTGTGGGAGGAGGAGCCCAAGCCGGCAGGGAAGGATGCTTTCGAAGCTAGCATGGCCATTGTGAAAAGGCGGGCGATCGTATGATCGACTGTCAGAAGCAATCAATGGTGCTTGCAAGTGATCGAGTTTGACGAAGGCAGTGCCCGAGACACCGAGTCGAAGTGGGATAACCCAGGCCCAGCTGAGTCGAGTCGAGTCGAGCCGAATCGATCGATGGTGGCTCACGGTAATTGGAATGTGCGGAAAACGGTGGAAGAGCAAACGGTCGGAATTATTAGTAACGTGCAGAAGTCAAGAAAAAGCACAAGTTGCGATCAACGCGAAGCACTTCACAGAGATAGAAGTGAAGAAGGATAGACTGAGTCCAGTTGCAGATGCAGGCAGAGCTGGACGAGAGAAAGCCAAAGTGAGGTTTGGGTTTAGGATTTGCAGGAGGAGGGAAAGGTGACGATGGGCGGACAATGGAATACAAAGTACCCGACTACTAACCTAGCCCGTACCTAGGTAGGTACCTTCTCCCAATGGATCTGTATTAGTGGAGGGGATGGGACGGTTTGACGACCCAGTCCAGCCCAGGAAATGGAGAATGAGCAGGGGACTGGCGGTGGTTGCGGCGGAGGTACCACCAAGACAGCGGATACTTGACTAGCGCGCACCAGCAGGTGGCTTACGCTGGCCTACAGCAGCATTAGACAGGTATCGGCCAAGTCTGCAGGTACCTTCCAGACGGTGAAGTGGGAGGACATTAGCCTGATTCAGGTTGGCCGACTTCCATGGCCAGCTCTGAGCCAACTTTGGATTGGGCAGAACCCCCCGTAGCGATACTGAGCACCTAATCAATAGACGCTCGGTGGTTAACTGACTCAAGAGAATTTTTAATGCCAATACGAAGAATATATCCATTGATTCAGTCATGCATATTAACTCATAATTCCATGCTACAGGGAGTAATTAATGCTTGATAGCTCAGAAGTTTGCGACTCCGTTACGAATAACACGACAAGAAAGATATCCCCAGACCCGAACAAGAAGAAAAAGAAAAAAAAAAGCGAAGACCAAGGTTGTTTTAGGGGTGGTCGATAATAGAGTAGAAACCTGGAGGGTATGATGGCGTGCAGTATTATACAGTAAAAGAAAAAAGGAGTGTTCCACATGCCACGCTCTATGTGAGGGCATGGAATTTTGTTGACTTTACGGATGCTTAATGTGTGGTCATGCACATGCACTGAAGCTGGATCCATAACGTACAGACATGAAGGTCCAGGTACTTGGATGGATGCAAGTTTCAGAACCGTCCATCCTCGCTCACAGATGACAATATTGGATGTTGCATAACTTGATTTTCCTTCTTAGCATCCCTTGATAATCATAATCATAATCACAATCACACAGAACACAGAACACAGCACACAGCATGCCCTGAAGCTC